AATAAAGATACCTTTATTGCACCCTTAGATCCCCCTAGAACACTACCTTGACTTTTGCATAAAGAGTGGACCAAGGCGAGGCCAGCGGGTGGCTCTAACATCGTTGGTGGGAGGGTTGCGGTCTAGTGTAGTGCTGGTGACAGAGTTGAAGTCACCAAGGGCAACGAGAGGGTAGTCATCTTGCGTAAGGAGTTCATCAGGAAATTCTTCAATAAACTCTGAAAGGGAGACATCCGAAACATATGAACTCGGGACATAAATGTTGATCATGCGAAGACGTTCATCCATGTTGTCATCGACATACAGATCGATCGCTAAAATACGTCCATTGAGAAAGTCTTGTTTTAGAGTGTAGAAGAGACGAGGGTTGTTGATGAGGATCGCACAATGCTTTGTAAACACTGCTTTTCCTGCACCCCATTCTCTTGTCCACTGATTATTTTTGACTGTTGTCCATTGCGGATGCTGGGTATCTGTTTCCTGCAAAGCAATGACATCGTATGGCTGAGTCTTGAGCCATTGGAAGAGCGTCCTTCGTTTTTCTTGGTTGAAAATTGAACAGACGTTGAGTGTGCATACTTTTAGATTTTCAAAATCAATCATTGATTAAAAAAATAGTGAAAGCATACGGTTCTTGTGAGGGGAGCAAGGCACGCAAAGAAAGTTTGAGTCTTTTTTTTTTTTTTTTTTTTTTTTTTTTTTAAAGACTGAGTGACTTCCTGGCCCGCTCCCCAGGGCAATTATCTAGCATCGTTGTTCTTTGCAGTAGGTGTTCTCGAAGGTCGCGAGGCCTTCGAGACGGTGAGAGGGTCAACGAAGGTCCGCTTCAGCCTTGACGAGACCGCTGATACTGCTTTGCCAGAGACTTGGCGAGGCTTGGTTGGCGTCAGTACTGTTTCTGATCCTTCTTCTTGCATGGTATCCATCTCAGAGTCCTCAACAATGGGGATAGCCGAGGGGACAGGGAGGGGAGGAGCAGGGGAGGAGGAAGAGGAGGAGGAGGAGGAGGAGGAGTCAAGATGTTCTTCTATGGTCTTTTCGGTAGTCAAGTCCATTTCTTCGTCTCTAACAATGGCATCAGTTGAGGAGACGGAAAGAGGCTCCGGCAGCGGCGCCGTCTCAGCTGCACTAGGTGCCTCTGGAGACTGATCCACAGACGCATGTGTATCTGCAGGACCTGAGGTGGCATCTTGTGTTGAGGAAGAAGAAGAAGCGGCAGCATCAGCTACCTTGATCTCTTCTATCAAAACAGTTGGCTCCTGTTGTGTGGGACCGGAAGATACGGGGGCGGGGACAGAGGTGCTCTCCTTGGTGTTGAGTTTGCGAGCGGTAATCTTCTTCCTTGGGACATCACTTTCCGATGCCGAAGTTGAGCCTGTGCTCCGCGAAGAAGTCCTCTTTGCTGCCTTTTTCCTCTTGGTGGAGGTGACAGTTGTCCATTCCTCCTTGTCGGAGGATGGGGTGTCCTTATTGACCTTGGGACCCTTGGTAGCCTTGGGAGCTTGAGGGACCGCAGGAGGGGCCCTTGCGGGCGCGTTCGCAGGCAAGAACGCGCGAGCCATAATGACTCTTTTAGGGGCCGAGAGGAGATCGAACTCGGGTGGTTGGGGGCAGGACTGCTTGACGTGGTTCTCCTCACCACACTTGTAGCAGTACTGGGGCCCATACCAGTGGAAAAGCGTGTTAATACCCTCAGCTTGGGCCACGCGGGGGATAAGGAGGTCTCGAGGGGAGTCCCCAGAGAGCTCTAACACAAATTCAAAGGAAGGGAGCAAAAGAGTCTCCGATCCCTTGACGTAATGGAACTTGGTGTGGATTACACGGCCAAATTTACCAAAGATATTTTTGATATACTCCAGACGATCCTCCGGAGTAGAGAGGGTGATTCGGTCAACCCGAATCCTGAGTCGGCTTCCTGTGGAATGGACCGTATGGTATGCTCTGACAGGAGCAGGATTGCAGGGGAGAGGTGGAGACGCAATGGCCTCGTCCACCTCTTTTTGTGTCCTCACGAGAACCACTACGACCCCTGGGACAACAGGGTCAAGACCAACTGCCTTGGGGAAAGCCAGGCGAATGGCCTCCACCACGTCAGAGACGAGGTGGGTCTTCCTGTCATACTTGACAGCGAAGGTGGTGGGAGCGTGGTGTGGGGTGAAAAACACAGAGTGCTCCTCAACCTCTGTGCTGAACGCACGGACAACTGCGTTCTTACGAAGTGCATTCCAACTGGTCTGCACTTCTTTCTTGGATAAGCTTTTGCGGGCCATCTCCGCAAAGCTCAGGGACTGCTTAATTTTATTGTTTTTTACTACATCCCCTGCCTGAGCCAGGGGATCGTGTCCCTCATCTACCTCATTCGAGGAAGACGGAGGGGGAGATGGCGGTGGAAGTCGATCCGCCATTAGATGAAGGGGAAGGGGGAGATAAAAGTAAGAGAATAGGCCTATCCGTTGGACTGACCGTTGCGAATTGGCTGAGTAAATTAAGTATTTCTTTATTTGCAAAAGGGCAACCACAATTTTATTAAAAAATTTATGGTAGGAAGGAAAGGTGCTCTGCTCTACCCACTCTACCGACTAAGCTAAACGAGCTCGTTTTATGACTTCTTTTGACTTTAATAATTATTACTCACAGTCACCTACTATTTCTATAAGTGCATGTGACTGGCATATAAGCCTGTCACAAAATTTTCTATAAATACAAGGGCATTGCAGTTAGGGGAGAAATGGCGAAGCAGATTTATAATGCATATATGGGAGAATACTTTTGCCACTAATCCCCACTAATTGAAAGTTCTCTCCCATATTTTTCTTTGTAAAAAAAAAAAAAAAAAAAAAAAAGCAGGAATGAATGAAAAAAGGCTTTCTGTTTCCAGAGTTCACGTTCTTTAGTTGATAGTGATACAGTGTTTTCAATTGTTTTATCTACTTTAAAATATACTTTATGTTTTTACTTAGAATTGTTTCAATCAATAAAAAAAATTGTCAAAAGTTAAGTCATACAAATTTTGTCGGCGCGTCCTGAAAATTATCAACCGCGTTGGGTTTTTTCTTCGAATTCAAAAAAAAAAAAAAAAAAAAAAAAAGGTTGCCAGTTTTTTTTTTTTATTTTTATTTTTATTTCTTTAAGATGTCGAGATGCGTCACGAAGATCATGGTACATGTACGTTGGTGCCATGCCAGCAGGCACTGGTGGGTCTATGTATAAAAGGGATTGGGTTCAAGGGAAAAAAGACAAAAGTTACCACCGCTTTTATCCTTTAATCGAGATCGCTTCAGCACTCATAATCACCAAATTCACATTCACTATGGCATTCACCAAGAACCAGCCTAAAATTAGCAATTTGGCTGACACCGATGGCGACGAGTTCTACAGAGATCTCGAGGCTTAGAAAGCCATCTTGAAGTGGGATGACAGCTTCAACGTATGTGACCTTGGTGGTTCTTTTGTAAATTATTACATCTTCTTGGTTATAAACATTCGTTCCTCTAATTTCCAATACCCATAGGCTATTGAGGTCAAAACTGAGGGGAAAGGCGGTGACAATACTATCCTCAACCCGCATTCCCCACATTTCTCACTATATACACATTATACATTACTCATATTAGTACCAGCTCTCACGTTGCTACGCACTAGTATAAATAGCCAGCGCCATCATAGCAACGTGAGGGCCTTTAGACAAAAAGCATCCTCAGATTCCCCCTAGACTCACCTTTGTTCTTGTTGTTAACATGGTAGCAAAGGTTCATCGAACCACCAGCACCCAGAATTGATCCCAAAAACACTAAATAATTATTTTTCTTCCTCGAACCTTATTTTGAAATTTTTTTCCCCCTAACCGACCTTCCAAAAAGTTAGAGCCAAAGTTCATTAGACCATTCAAGATTGTAGAAAAAGTCAATGACAGCCCCTATAAGCTAGAGCTGCCTCTCATTATGAAACAACACCCTATCTTCAACACAGATTTGCTGCGGCCTATAACGAATCTAAAGGACTTAGGCGAGCGTGTGCCTGCCAGACCTCCTCCTGAGTTGGTCGTTAGAGAAGAAGAATATGAAGTGGATAAGATTCTGGACTACAAACTATTCGGCAGAACCCCCGGGTGACTGGTGAAATGGAGAGGGTACGAAGAAGCAACATGGGAACGGAAATCTTCGTTAGCGAAAGAAGCATTGGAGGGAATTTGAGGTAACATTATAATTATTTTCTTTTCTTTATTTGTTTATTTCCCCTCCGGTCCTCTTCTTTTGATCCCGTTGCCGATCATCCCAGTATTGTAATAGCTGCCATATCTCCCGTTAATCGACGACGCTCTCCTGTCTTCGCTCCTCGACACTCATCTCCCGGGCCCGCAACACACGGAACTCGCTCGCTATCAACAAGGAGCGCTCCTTTACCATCGACAGACTCGACTCACGACGACAAACCCTCTTATTTCGCTCCTCTGGTTCCCCACGATCTTCTTCCTCGTTATCACTAGGGGTCCAGGATAAAGTGTGGCTTCAAGAGCCCCAGCAACAGACTCACTACCACTGTCAGCAGACCCTTGTAAGATTGGTACCATTGGCTGCTGTGTCAACACACCACGAGAAAATACGCGACCTTTGCACGGACATTGGGAGAGAATCTTTGCGTGGAAACATTGTAAAAGAAGCTTAGTTTTGCAAGAGAGTAGAAACAAGTGTGGTGGAATGAGGAAAAAATGCGGCACGAATGAACAACAACTCGCCATTTCGATTCACCCATGTATTCTCATCCACATGACTTGCATGAACCGCAGGCCAATTGCATCGACCAATCAGACATGATCAAATCTATTTTTCTCTCACTCTCTCTCTCACTCTTTAATCCCCACTCTTTGCCACCATTTTTTTTTTTTTTTTTTTTTTTTTTTTTTCCCTCCATTTTATTTGATCCATCAATTTTTTTTGACGGAAAGGGTAGATATTGCCCACATTGCTTGCTGTATACACATTATACATTACTTATATTAGTACTGGCTCTCACGGCGCTGCCAACGAGTATAAATAGCCAGCACCATCGTAGCAACATGGGAGACTTTCGACAAAAAACACCCTCAGACTTCCCCTTTGTTCTTGTTTTTTACAATCTAGCCTCCTTGTCACAGTCTCGTCCTCGTCGGATGATTGCAGAGGAAGAGAGCGATGAAGGGGCAGATCCATACAACCCTTGGACACCCTCCATATATACTGGCCACGAGCTTGACTTCGATACACCTGCCATGATTGTGTGCCTGCTGCTGAAACCCGTGTCATTGACTCATCTCATTGGCGGGCCTGTTGATAGAAACAGTAACAAAGGAAAAGGGCCTAAAATGACCTGCATCTATTCGCAGCTTCAGTTCGACGAGGATGAACTAGAAAGAGAGCTTAAACTAGCACCTGAGCTCCTTTTTGATCAAGACGAAAATGACTTTGACCTCGAGCATGAGGAGCCAATGTGTCGTAAAAGGAAACGTAATTCTCTTACCACATATTCCAAGATTACAGAAGGGCTGCTCAAAGATTGATTGACTACTGGACAGTACACATGTGTACAGTAGCTGAAGCGGCTAGGGCTGTCCACATACATTCAAAGAGTGCCTGGAGGTAATGATTAAGTCTGAAGACAACTTGTACTAAACGACACCTCGGAATATTATTGCTAATTATGCTTACCTAAGGGTTTTTGTTATAGATATATTAATCATTGCAGGGAAACAGACAAGCTCCCTTCCAAGAAGCGTCGAGTGATTCCAAAATTGGCAACAAGGCATTACAAATACTTACCTTCTTTCCAAGGTGTCTCAACAAAGAGATCAATTTATAGGCCTACAACAATACAGTTTTACTGGAGAAAGAAGAAATGCTAATGAATAGGATAATATGTATGCCAGGTTACTCAAATCGGTCATCTATGTTGCTAATAAAGACATGATGTTTGGATAATTGTGATAATCAATTCGGTTATTACGCTTGGATACACACAATAGGATAATTTTATTAGCTTATTGGATAAAGCTTATTTCCAAACTGAACATGCTAGCATGTTAAAAGTTAACTCATTTGAAATGCATGCGTGAATGCGTGTGACCTCTGTGAAGGAACTATCCTGCCCCCCCTGCGCATAAATCGAATTGTTTAGGCCTCAGCCTCGCACTCGCGCACCACACAGCATGGATATCTATCTAGAGGCACTACAGACGGTTGCATGGATTGACCAAGATCGACAATGTACACTGAATGTGAACTAAGAATAAAACAGGTTCGTCCAAAATATCCGCATCGTTTCTATACTCTTAAAATTGGGGGAAGGGGCGGGGTAAAATCAGGGTCGTTGCAATCAAAAAATAGAAGATTTGGTGTCCTAAAGTGATTCGCTGATAACCAATGCTTTTTATTACTAAGGGAACTGTACAACGCAAAAAACAAACAGCTGGTCTAAACAAACCATTGTGACCTTTGTGCTCAAGCATTTCCTCCTGTAGCGTTTGAAAAATGTTTCGAGGAGCCCGACGGAAGAGAAGACAGAGCATAGCCAAAAGTTGGTCCATATTCTTCTTTAAAGGTGGGAAGAAGGTTGTTGCTTGATATTGCGATCGACACAGCCCTCCACTTTTCTCTTGCTTCAAATTTGGTGACAGGAAGTAAAGTCGAAGAGTCAAATAGTCTCATTTTATTTATATAGGAAAGGGCTCCTGATGCAGATCCTTTAATTGATGGAATAGCTGCTGTGTGGAAGAAATCTACAATGCACATAAATATACATGTCCTTTACTTTTCGGTGGTTTTGCCTCTTTTGTTTTCTTTTTTGGACCTTTATTTAAATACACGTTCGCATATTCACGCACTCCCACACATCCTCACGAACTCTCACGCCCACACGTTCATACACGCATATTTGCTTTCTTTTTGATCCTTTTATTATCGAGTACATTATTATTGTTTCCCTTTTTTTTTTTTTTTTGCTCTTTCGCACAATGGTACGCAAGCGACCGGATCAAAGTCATGAAGATTATCGAAAAGTAGGACGTCAATTAAAGCAGCAATATCACAAACAAGCATAGTTCAAGAAGACATACAAGATTTTTTTTTTTTTTTTTTTTTTTTTAATGTGTGAATCTCAAAGCAGTTTTCTTTTTTTTTTTTTTTTTTTCTTTTATTGGTATCTTACTGCCTTGCTGGGGATAGTTGGCAAAAAATAAGCATACCAAACGTCATGAAATCAGTCAGCAAGCACAAATCGCCTATAAGTCGGGCAATAAAGCCAGAGCAAAAGGTGCACATTTGATTTGTGTATGCGTTTACTCTTTTTATTTTATTACATTTTTCTGGTGGACAATTGACCAAAACGTCTTTCAAATGCAGAGCTTTCGCTAATAGCAAAGCAGCTTCAACGCGAGGCGGAAACATACGATACCATGGCAAAAGACATTGTATTTAAAGGTATTTTTTTTTTCCTCCAAACGACATCAGATAAACCTTTAATATTGAGTAAATGTGATTTTCATTATTTTATCCATGTTCTCCTTAGCCAATAATTCCTCTAGGGCGTCAAAAAGGCTGGATTTACATGGTCTCACGGTTAAAGAAGCAGAAGAGGTTGTGTCTGACCGAATACAGAAGTTTATCAAGGATGACCAGAAAAAGATGACCATCATTGTGGGTAAAGGAAAAAACTCAGCGGATGGTGTCGCTAAGATCAAACCAGCAATCATTAGGTTATTAGAAAGATACGATGTCAAGGCTACGCTCAATAAGCAGAATGATGGATGTATCCTCATCGAGCGTTTACCTGAAAATGAGCGTTTACCTGAAAATGAGCGTTTACCTTTGGTCCAGCTTTTGCCTTCAAATCAGCCTTCGTCTTCAAAGCAACTTGTGCCTTCAGCTCAGCCTTCGTCTTCAAGCTCGCGTTTACCTTCAAATCAGAGTTCGTCTACAAGCTCGGCAATGTCTTCAAATCGACAATCATCTTCAAATCAATATCTATTTACAAGCCAGGATTCATCTACCAGCCAGGATTCATCTACAAACCAGTATTCGTATGAAGGGCGATGTTCATCTTCGTTTACAATACCATTGCCCTCATATCAGCAATCGTCTTCAAGCCAGTATTGGTCTACAGGGCAATATTCGTCTACAGGGCAATATTCGTCTACAGGTCCGTTATTGACTTCAAGTCGCCTATCGTCTTCGAGACAGTATCCAATAGCGCAGTATTCGTCTACAAGCCAGTATTATTCGTCTTCAAACCGAGCTTCGGACAACCACCAGACTTGGAACAGTCGCTCATGTTCAGATGGCAACAGGGCATCAGTTTGTGCTATTGTAACCAGTTTAGTTTTGTTTATCGGTACTTTGCTTTATTTCCTCCTCCGTTAGAGGACAGGTGACAAACATTGGTGTGGCAAAGCTGAAATAAAAGAAAAAAACAAAGCATAAAATGCATAAAATGCATAAATGCATTATTGTTTTATCTTTCTTTTTTTTATTTTTTATTTTTTATTTTTTTATTTTTTATTTTGTCATTCATCTCTCCTCCCACGCATATACGGCTACGCATGCTTGCTTTATTATTTCACCATTGAATTCTTTTTTATCATACAATGGATTACGAGTCAGTTACTCAAGACCAGGATCATGAGCGGTTTCGGAATGTAGGGCGTCAATTGAGGGAGTCTTATTATATTATATTTCAAAGAGACATATAGGGCTTTGTTCAGTATGTGTATCTCAAAGCAGATTCACATTTTTCTTTTTTCTTTTTTCTTTTTTCTTATTGGCCTCTTGCTGTCTTGTTGGGAAATAGTTGGCAAGAGTGAGTAAGACGCAGCATCAAGAATTCATGAAGCAATCAAAACTTGCCTCTTTATCGGGTGATGTGGACAGAGAGAGAGGTACACATTTATATATGATATACAAGTGTATCTCTTTTACTTTATTTTGAATAGTTGACCAAAACACCCCTGCCATGAATGCATCAATTTCAAATGTAGCATTTCTACTAAAAGCAAAGGAGTATAAGCGCGAAATGATCCAGCACAATAACAAAGCAAGGGACATTGTGTTTAAAGGTGAGGATGTTTTTAAGGTCATCCACTTCTCTTGGCTTGGCATTAGGTTAAACTGAGACTAATTTTTTTTTTTTTTTTTTTTTTTTTTTACTTAGCCAAGAATGCTTCCAGTGCACCTAATGAAATAGATTTACACGGTCTCTTGGTTAAAGAAGCTGAGGAGATTGCGCGTGATCGAATAAAGAAGTTTATCAAAAACAAGGAGAAGGATCTGATCATCATCGTGGGTCAAGGAAAAAATTCTCCGAATGGTGTTCCCAAGCTCAAGCCAGCAATCATTGAACTACTGAAAGAGTTCAATGTCAAGGCTACACTTGACAAGTTGAATAATGGACGGATCTCCATCGAGCAATTGGCTCCAAGCCAATCTTCGTCTGCAAACCGCTGTTTGCCCACAAGCCAGTATTCGTGCGATGGCCAGTGTTCATCCACTGGCCGCTATCCATCCACAAGCCAGCATCCATATTCATCTACAAGTCACCACCCATATTCATCTACAAACCAGTATCCATATTCGTCTTCAAGCCGGCCGTCGTCTTCAAACCAGTATTCGTCTGCAAACCGGTATTCGCCTACAGGGCGCTATTCATCTGCAGGTCAGTATTTATATTCGTCATCAAGCCAGACTTGGGACAACCGCCAGACTTGGGACAACCGCCAGACTTGGGACAGCCGCCCGCCTCCAGACGACGGATCCTGGTCTCGATTATCCAAACTTTTACTTTTCGGAGCCGCGGTATATTTCGCTTTCTTCCGTTCGTAAAGTGAGCTTACTTTGGTGTGGACCTTTGTTGCTACTAGAAGAATTGCTGTGTTAGAACTTTGTTATTTTTTATTCACAAACCAAGGACAATAAAAAATAAAAAAAAATTCCTTTGTTAATTTCGTTTATTCAGAAGCATTGCTTCTTCATTCTTTTACATTCACTCGTCTTTTTTTTTTTTTTGTCATTCATCTCCTTACCCATTCATATACATTCACACTTGCTTTATTTGCTTTTACTTTTTTTGATTGGTTCTTATTTTTTCTTATAATGAATTACACTTATGACTCACTTAGTCAAGACCCTAACGATCTTTGGATAGAGCAAGACCCTGACCATCTTCGGAAGGTAGGACGTCGATTGAAGCAGCATTATTATAGCATTGTTCAGAGAAACATAAGGGTTTATTCATATTTTTTTTTTATTGTCTTGTTGGGGAATAGTTGGCACTAACAAGGGATGTACAACGTCAAGCATTCATCCAGCAATCAAAACTCGCCTACAGGGCGGGTAACGTTGTCAGAGCGAAAGGTACACACAATTAATTGTGTAATTAAGCCCTTCCCTTCCCTTTTGATTTGTATTTTATTTTCTTCTGAACAAATCGATATATTTCAACTATAGAGTGTTTGTCAAAGGCAGAGGAACATGAGCGCCAAATGATTCAGTACAATAGGGAAGCAAGAGATATTGTCTTCAAAGGTAAAGTTTTTTTTTTTTTTTTTTTTTTTTTTTTATTAGTCCACTTCTTGGCTTGCCATCAGCTAATTCTCATGCCTTCCATAGTTAATAATACTTTTAGGGCATCTAATGAGTTGGATTTACATGGCCTCAAGGTTAAAGAAGCACTGGAGGTTGTGTCTGACCGAATAAAAGCGTTTACCAAGGACAACGAGAAGAAGCTGATTATTATTGTGGGTAGAGGAAGAAATTCATGGGATGGTGTTCCCAAGCTAAGGCCAGCAGTCAATGAACTATTGAAAAAGTACAATGTCAAGGCTACACGCAATAAACCGAATGATGGATGTATCCTCGTCCAGCAATTGCTTTCAAAGCAACATTCCTGTACAAGCCAGCCGTTGTCTACAAGCCAGCCATTGCCTTCAATCAAGCCAGCGCCTTCATTCAAGCCAACGCCTTCAGTCAAGCCATTGCCTGCAACTCAGCCATTGCCTTCAAGCCAGCCGTTGTCTACAACTCAGCCATTGTCTTCAATCAAGCCGTTGCCTACAACTCAGCCGTTGCCTACAACTCAGCCATTGTCTTCAATCAAGCCATTGCCTACAACTCAGCCGTTGCCTTCAATCAAGCCATTGTCTTCTAGCCAGTATTCGTCTGCAGACCGGTATTCATCTACAGACCGCCATTCATTTACAAGCCAATATTCACATTCGTCTTCTGACCACCGCCAGATTTTGGACAATCCCCGGCTTTGGAACAACCACCCGTCTCCAGAGAGTGGAGCATGTTCTCGTTTATATGACCGTTTTACAGACTTTATTTGTTTTAGTCTTACAGCCACAATCTTTTTGTTTTTCCTTTATTGGTTGAGCAAGGATTCAGATGGACCTTTGGCAACTGGATTTCGGCAAGCAATTATGGAGGCGACCAAGGTGGCTATCAAAGTCTTTGAAATATTGTTGCAAGTAATTGTGGAAGCGACCAAGATGGCTATTAAGATCCTTGAGATATTGCTGCAAGTAACTGTGGAGGCGATCAAGATGGCTATCAAAACCCTTGAGATACTACGGCAAGTAATTGTGGAAGCGACCAAGTTGGCTATCAAAGACTTTGAAATATTACGGCAGGTAATGCCCAAGATGACTATCAAGGCTCTTGAAATATTGCGGCAAGTAAGTATGGAGGCGACCAAGTTGGCTATCAAAGAGCTTGGGATATTGCGGCAAGTAATGACCAAGGTGGCTATCAGAACCCTTGAGATATTGTTGCAAGTAATTGTGGAGGTGACCAAGTTGGCTATCAGGACCTTTAAAATATTGCTGCCAGTAATTATAGAGGCGATCAAGATGGCTATCAGAGTCTATGAAATGTTGCTGCAAGTAATTATAGAGGCGACCAAGTTGGCTATCAAAGAGCTTGGAATATTACGCCAAGTAATGACCGAGCTGGCTTTCAAGGTCCTTGAAACATTGCTGCAAGTAATGACCAAGGCGGTTATCAAAACCCTTGAGATATTGTTGCAAGTGATTGTGGAGGCGGCCAAGATGGCTATCAAGGCCCTTGAAATATTGCTACCAATAATTATGGAGGTGACCAAGATGGCTATCAGAGTCTATGAAATGTTGCTGCAAGTAATTATGGAGGTGATCAAGATGGCTGTTAAAGACAGGGGGGCGGCCAAGGCGGGTATCGAGGACTCTGAAATATTGCTGCAAGTGATTATGAAGGCGATAAAGACGGTTATCAAAGACTTTGAAATATCGCTGCCAGTGATTATGAAGGCGACCAAGATGGCTATCAGGGACCTCGAAACTAATCTAGCAGTTCTGAAGCAATGTTATTATAGTTATTACAGCATAGCTCCTGGTGACATAAAAGGCTATATCCAATGTATTTTCAGACAATAAAAATTAAGGTTTCATATTTCCATATTTCCACAAAGCAAAATATAAAATGCTTTAGTTCGAAAAAACATTGATGGTTTTTATCATCTTCATACACTCAAACACACCCACACACCTGCTTTCCCGTTCTCATTTACATTCCTTCTACAATGGATTGCATTCAAAGTTACGCGTCAGCTACTCGATCCTATCAATATTTTCGGAGTAGGGCGTTAATCCAAGGAGTATTGTTAAAGCATAATCTCTGTAGCCCTGTTGGGGAAATGGCTGGCAAGTACGAGGAATGCAGAATGTCAAGAGTTCATCTAATGGCCAAAACTCGCCCATGTTTCGGGCAATAAAGTAAGAGCGAAAGGTACGCGTATCATCCCCGCCCCCTTTTGCCTTATGTTTTTGTTTTATTTTGTGTAATTTTATTTTATTAAACAACAATTTCAATTGCGGAGCTTCCCTTAATAGCACTGGAGGATGGGAATTCATATTCGTCTTCAGCCCGGCCATTGTCCTCATGCCAACGCTGGAACACCTACCCGCCTCCAGACGACGGAGCATGTTCACGCTTAGCTAAACTTTTTATTCCAGGGGCTGGAGTTTATTTTCTTTTTCATCCATTCGTAGGGTGGGAGCACAGCAGATGTGTCTTTAAAAAAATTGGCGAAGTAAAAAAGGCTTCGGTGCATTGCTTTCCTCATTCTTATATAATAACGTTCACTTTACCCCTTTTTTTTTATCATTCATCTCCACGCACATTCATTTGCACGCATGTATTCCTACTTTGTTCTGTTACTGTTGAACCCTTCCTCTCTCTCTCTCTTTTCTTTTTTACTTTTGTTCATACAATGGATTACGGACCAGAAGTTCAAGAACTTCGGGAGGTAGGTGGCCAATTGAAGAGATATTATTGTATTATAATACAGGGAGATATATAAGACTTTGTCCAATGTGTATATCTCGGAGCAGTTCCAATTTTTTTTTTTAATTTTAATGGTATCTTGTCGCCTTGTTGGAAATAGTTGGCAAAAAAGTGTTGTTTCGAAGAGCAAAAGTTCATCAAGCTATCAGAAAAAGGCGGTGCTGAAGCGGATGGTACACGTGTATTACATGTTCGCCCATCCTTTTTGCTTTTTTATATTTATTTTTCTACTGGACAATTGATGATCCTTCTTGATCAAAATGTTTTTATGTATCAGAATTTTCTATAATAGCACAGGGGCATAGGCACCTAATGGATATGTACAGTACAATTGCGAAGCAGCGAAAAAAATATATAAAGGTAAATATTATATATATATATATATTTTTTTTGTTTTTTCCTTCAGATAAAACTCACATATTAATTTTTTATATTCATGTTTTCCGTAGCCAACAATGCTCATTTGCCACTAGACAAGATGGATTTACATGGTCTCAGGGTTGATGAAGCTGAATATTATACGCAAGAGCGAATGATAGGGTTTATCGAGGACAAGGAGAAGAAGCTGAAAATAATTGTAGGCAGAGGAAAACATTCTTTGGGTGGCATTCCCAAGATCAAGCCGGCAGTCATGGAGCTGTTAAAAGAGTTCGAAGTTGAGGCTTCATTCGACCCGTCGAATGATGGCTGTATCTTCGTCAGGTCATTACAGCAGCCTTGTTCTTGTGTTTGGAATAATCGCGCTCTTCTTTGTTTGGTGTTAGACTATTAATTATCTTCATATTGTTACACAACAAGGCGAAATAAAGCATTGATTCATTCTTCTACATTTGTTCGTCTTTTGTCATTCATCTCACATACCCATACATTCATACATTCATACATTCATACATTCACACATACTTTATATTCTCATGTTGTTGAGCTCGTTATTTTATTGTATCTTTTATTTGTCCTTATTCTTTCTTTCATACTATGGGATCCACTCTCAGTTCCGAGTCAGCAACACAGGACCATGAGCATTATCGAGCAGTACGGTGGCAGCTGTAGCAGTGTTATTGTTGTACAATTCGGAGATATGCATGTATAAGGCTTTATTGAGCATATCATCTCAACCCGGCTTCATAAACACCTTTTTTTTTTTTTTTTTTTTTTTTTGTTTTTCTTATCGGTTTCTTGTTGCTTCATTGAGGTTAGCTGGCAAGAAAGAGCGCTGTAAAACGTCAAGAATTCATTCAGCAATCACAAATTGCCTATAGATTGGGGGATGGTGCCAAAGCAAAAGGTATACATACATGCTGTAAATGCACCCAACTCTTTTTTTGCCTTTATGTTATTTTGTATTCTATCGTGTTCTTCTGCTGAACAATTGCATGCATCAACTTTGCATGTAGAACTTTCGTTAAAAGCAAAGGAGTATGAGCGTGAAATGATTCAGTACAACAACAAAGCAAAGGATATTGTCTTTAAAGGTAAGGATTCTTTTTTTTTTTTTTTTTTTTTTTTTTCTATAGTTGTCTATGTCTATTAACTACAGTGCATCGGATAAAACTAATCTCTATTTTTTTATTTTTTATTCTTACTCAAGTCAATAATGCTTCCAGGGCACCTAATGAACTGGATTTGCATGGTCTCAAGGTTAAAGAAGCCCTAGAGATTGCACGCGACCGAATAGAGTTGTTTATCAGGAACAACGAGAAGGAGTTGATCATCATTGTGGGTCAAGGAAGGAATTCATTGAATGGTGTCGCGAAGATTAAGCCAGCAATCACAGAGATGATGAGTGAATTTAAAGTCAAGGCTACGCCCAATAAGCCGAATGCTGGGTGCATTCTGGTCGAGCGTTTGCACTCAGGCGAAGGAATTGATTTTTCCTGGATCGATTCGTTTTTTCGACATGCGGTTCAGAAGCTGTTTCGATCTATCTTTGGGTGAAGAATCCTTTTTCCCTTTTCCTTTTCCTTTTCCTTTTCTATCTTTGAATACAATGGCAACAAAAACAACAAAAAAAAAGCCTTGTGTTGTATTATCTGTGTAAAATATAAAAAAGATCATTAATATTTCCAATGCCCAATAAGTATCCCCGCCTTTTTTTGTTTTGTGGCATTGCAACGATTTTTTTTTTTTTTTTTTAAAAAAAAAAATGGCTGTGTTTGTCGTTTGCCTTTTTTCATTTCTTGTCGCACAGACATCGAAAGTGGCTTTTTTATTCTCCGCTCTCAGACTCAGTAGAGCATAACGACCATTTCTTTTTGCATGCAACTTTTTTTTTTTTTTTTTTTTTTTGTCACATTCCTTTACCTTCTCTTGCTGGACAGAAAACTACAACAACAACGATAGCTGGAAAAGAGAGCATTTGTGGGTACTTTGCACCCAAAGCCATCTAAAAAGAAAGAAAGAAAAAGAAAGCAGAGAACACAATGTCCTCAGGACTGGCACATTCCGTACCACCATTACAAATTAATGCCAAATGTTGCTCGAGATGTGGCAAAGACTTTCACCTCTTTCGCTCAAAGAAGAATTGCTATAACTGCGGTACGCAGGAAAAAAAATAAAAGAAAGGAAACTAGCAATGGAATAAAAAAAAAAAAAAAAAAAAAAGCTAATGGAAAATGTCAAAAGAATGCTTCATCTCATCAACTCAATGTGTCTTCATCGCTCATTTGCTAGGAAGCATGGTTTGTGAAAGTTGTAGCGAATTCAAAGTAAAACTCCCACAGTTCGGTTATAATCAGTAAGTACGATAGCTTGTTATGATCAGATGACATCTTGACGGGACAGTGAAAGAACTAACCTGACTCAATTTTCTCTCATAGTGAGGTTCGTTGCTGTTCTCACTGCGCTCATTTCCTAAAAGGTAATTTCTAATTGAAACTGTAATCTCGAGGGGGGAGAATAATACTTGCAACGATTTTTCATCTGTATGAGTTTTTTTCCCTCTTTTTTTTCATAATAGTCTTTAAAATGGATTACGCAGCACTGTCGAAATTGAACATCAAAACCTTACGTGGATATCTACGCTCATACAACATACCAACTCAGGGCATGCTGGAGAAACAAGGTCAGCATAAGCAAGGAAAAAGAAACAAAAAAAAAAAAAAAGAAAAAAAAAAGAAAAAGGCAAATCCATGTATATCACCGATTTGGGTTGGATTTATATTAATAATGCCGTTTCTGTTTTTAGATTTGATCCAGGCAATACAGAGTTATAAACCGATTCCTGAAGCATCTGAAGTTTATTTTCGACAGCATTTACCTAGTACACCAGCAAAATCATCGTCTCTATTAGAAGAACTAACGGGTTTGGGCAGGTCCGAGTCACCCAGTGGATCGTCAGATGGATCTTCATCATCAAACACTGGAGAGGGCTTTCTCAACGACATTGACAGGTTTTTTTCACGACTCTTTGGATCAGAGGATCAACAGTCGTCTTCTTCCCCTCAGGCAAACCGGCCTCGTCCCCAAACCCAACCACAACCTCGACCCCAACCTCCACCGGGCGCATCCTACAGACCCCCTCCAGGAAATCCCCCTCCAAGAGCGCAAACACGAGCATCTCAACAACGAAATGTACCTCCACAACAACCTCCACGACCTAGCACAATGCCTAATACACCTCTAACGCCTAATACGCCTGCATCCTCATGGTCTCAAACATCCCAGTCCCCTACACAGCCAAAGTTAACACTAGAGGAGCTTTTAGCATCAAGAACAGATCCCTCAACTCTCTCAATCAAAGTCATCAAAGGACTTCTGGATGATAGCTGTGTTACATACGTCGGCGTTGTTGAGAAAAAAGATCTCGTGGAGAGACTCCAAAAGCTGATCGACAATACCAAAGCAGAGAAAGCAATGTTGCAGGAGCAGGAAGCATTGTCAGCATTAGGGTCAAACAAGCCAGCAGAATCATCAAAATCATCTAACAGTAAGCACGACGATGATAACCTTTGTAAGATTTGCTGTGATGCCGCTTTGAACTGTGTTATGCTCAACTGTAACCACATGTCAACTTGCATGGACTGGTATGTGGCTCTATTGGAATTGGTGTTTAATAGTTGTTGAAGATATCTTGTCTTGATGCCTCATCTAACTCGACTTTTTTTTTTTTTTTTTTTTTTATCCCCAGTGGTAAACTCATTCTGGAGGGCTCGAGGATGTGTCCTATATGTAGGGAGTATGTAGTGAAACTTCTACACGTCTTTAGGGCTTAGTTTCCTTCTCCTACCCTTTCTTTTTTTTTTTTTTTTTTTTTTTTTCTAGCTAGTACAGAGAAAACAGAGAAATGGCTCCACCTCCTCATGGCACTGTGCATTATTCCTACGCGACGCGTGATAATAAAAAATTAAATAAAAAAAGTAGCCACGTGACGCTTTCCCCTTACCAGTCCCCTGTCATTTTGTGGAGGAGATGCTGCCCCACTCTCAGGTTCAATGTCTCTCTTCTTTTTTCTATTTTCTTTCAACACACTCGAATATGGCGCGATCAGGATCTCCTAATGAAATGGGCAAGTAGTCATCGTCATACTTGGCTCTCATTTTAAATCCGAGCTGCATGGAATATACCTTGACTTTGGGCTTTTCTTTTTCTTTGTTTCGTTTTTTCACTGACATTCATGCTCTTCCACTTTTATTTTATAAAAAAAAAAAAAAAAAAAAAAAAAAAAAAAAAAGACGGCGGCTTGGAAGCAAATGCCATTACTGAAGAGAAGCTCATCAATGAGGAGTACAAGATCTGGAAGAAGAATTCACCTTTTCTCTACGACCTTGTTGTTACTCATGCTCTTGAGTGGCCCACATTGACCTGCCAATGGTTGCCCGATATTGAGAGGTAGTAAAAAAAAAACAACAACGAGGGACGCTCTTGCTATAGGTCAACCGGTCTCAGGATATTGCACGTTGGGTGTCTAACCTATTCCTTAACCCAAATCTACTCAATTAGACCTGAGGGCAAGGACTACACTGTACAGCGTCTGTTGATTGGAACGCACACATCAGATAATGATCAAAATTATCTTCAGATTGCTCAGGTTCAGCTTCCATCGGACTCTACGCCAATAGACACTCGCAAATTTGATGATGAACGCGGAGGTAATTGATCTATCTGTATTGCCTTACAGTATTTTGATTCATCCAAAAGCCTTTTTTTTTTTTTTTTTCCTCCTTTAAACTAAAACAAGTCACTCTATTTGTTCACTCTAGAGGTCGGCGGCTTCGGAGGGACAGAGTGCAAGATCAGTGTGACGCAGAGGATCAACCATGAGGGAGAGGTCAACAGAGCACGATACATGCCTCAGAATCCTGATATCATTGCCACAAAGACAGTATCGGGCGACCTCTTTATTTTTGATCGTACTCGCCATCCATCACAACCTGCTGCTGGGGGTGTCTGCTCACCAGAGATCCGCCTAAAGGGACATACCAAAGAAGGGTAAGCTGCTTTCTCTCGAAAACAAGGTGTGTTAAGTTAGACATGTTCTTGTTTTTCGACTAGGACGGCTGATTGTATTTATTTCATTTCAATAGATATGGTCTTTCATGGAACCCTAACCTACAGGGACATTTGATCAGTGCTTCGGAGGACACCACTGTGTGCCATTGGGACATCAATGCGGCTACTAAGGAGAAAAAGGTGCTGGACGCTCTTAGAATCTATCGTGGCCACACTGCCGTTGTCGAGGATGTTGCCTGGCATGCTCTTCATGACAGTCTGTTTGCCTCTGTCGGCGATGACCAACGCATGTTAATGTAAGTAGCAACTACATCATTGTTTTCAAAACTGCATACATGAATAGAATTGGCTGATCTAATAAATATATATTTGCTCTATTTTCATTGAAATCACTTCTTAGTTGGGACACTCGCTCGACATCTTCTGATAAACCTGTTCACAACATCCACGCTCACGTCGCAGAGGTTAATTGTGTGGCATTTAGTCCCAGCAGTGAGTTTATTTTGGCTACTGGATCTGGCGACCGCACAGTAGGTCTTTGGGATCTTCGCAATCTGAAGATCAAGCTGCACTCGTTCGAATCTCATCAAGATGAGATCTTGCAATTGGCCTGGTCACCCCATAATGAGACTATTTTGGCTTCTGCAGGAGGAGATCGTCGCATCAATATTTGGGACCTTAGCAGGATTGGAGAGGAGCAGACCGCTGAAGATGCTGAGGATGGTCCACCAGAGCTTTTGGTATGGATTGTAGAAGCCTTTTTTTCTTTTTCTTTTTCTTCTGGCACATTGGAAGCAGCGAGTGATTTATGATTGGGAGTGTCTTGCTAATACCAACTCTTCTGACGTCAATCATTTTAGTTTGTTCATGGAGGACATACCAACAAGGTTTCAGACTTTTCATGGAACATGAACGAGCCTTGGGTCATTGCCAGTACTGCTGAGGATAATATCTGCCAAGTTTGGCAAATGGTATGGAGAGAGCAATTCAGATGGACCATGCTTGCATTTTAAATTATTGTGAATGAAATGAACTAGTTTTGCTAACTATTCTATACTTGCCGCTTGTCTTTTTTTAATGGTAATCATTTAGGCAAGTAATATCTATAATGCTGACGATGCCGAAGTTCCAGCGAACGAATTGGAATAAAAAAAAAAACAAAACAAAAACAAAACAAAAAAAAAAAAAAGAAAAAGAAAAAGAAAAAGAAAAAGAAAAAGAAAAAGAGAGTGCTTGAATTTCAAGCTAAAAGAAGAAATCCAGATTAATGTCTTCTTTCCATCGAGATCATCTAATAAACAGCTTGAATTCAGCGACAGACACAGCGGTCTATGTCGTGTGGATAATATTATTTAAAAATAGTTTTGAGATCTGCTTGGATATATGGAGCAGCTTGCATAATGATATGTTTGTTTGCGCTTTATAATTGTTCAGTGAGAACAAAGCGAAAGGGCATAGATTTGGGAAGATGATACGTTTCCAAGCTCCAAGAGCATCAAAAACAAGAGCGAATCAGATTGCTGTGGATCCTACAGGAGACTTTAAGTTTTGCTACTGCTTGGATAAAAAAAGGAAAGATCTTTTATTACCTTTGTTTTAGTTTGTGGAGAGGGAAAAAGTAGCGCTTTGTTTGAGTAAATTGTACATTGCAGCTACATATTATGTGTTACATACTGTCTCATTTGGAAGAGTGAAGTATTTGTCCATTCATATTTCGTCCCTCTTTGCCTCTTTGTAAACACTCAAAAGAGATGTGTCTCTTTAGTGTCGTATTGCGAGCTTCTACTGCAGTTCTTTCTCTACGGATCTAAAGCTTATAAATAAGATGGATCTCCAGATGTGTCGTGGTATGATTGGTAATAGGTCTGTTTTCTTTTTCTTTTGCAACAAGTTTTATAATACAGTTTTTATTCCCATGTTCCTGAGGTCTATCTAGTCCGGCGAACTGAATTTCGTGAGCTGTGCATTCTTATTAAATAAACTGAAGTTGATATGGGTTGACTCCAAATATTAACAAGTCGTGTCTTTTTTTTTTTTTTTTTTTTTTTCCCTTTCTTTCTTTATCTGACTGTGGTAATAGTTGCTCTGTCATGCCGTGTTCTCGTCCAGTCCAGTTGGGTTTGCTTCAATTGAGATTTAATATGCAAATAGATATTGTTTAGTCGTATACATGAATGATTCCGTAAAGCAATGTCCAGAAGAGGATATAACTCAATAATCCGCCAAGGACGCCTTCAGTGAAAACATCAAGAGGTTGACGGAAGTAGAGTGAGGGACGAGCCTTGGCTTTGATAGCAAAGATCAGGAAGGAGAGGAAAGCGGATCCGGTGAAGTAAAAGATAAATCCAGACCAATTGGTCAAGCCGAGAGTTCCAGCAGCGATTCCCAAGATGGCAGAGTATGATGAACGGATGAAGGTCATGGTCTGAGAATTCTTGGCAATGAACATGTCGACGTATAAGGCGTCGTCCGGGTTGATTTGTTGACCAGACATGGTTGCTGAATGAATGCTGTACTTCTTTTGTTGTTTTGATACTACTGAGGAATCTGGATATATCTCTTATGAATCCCTCTGCTGCAGTGTCCGTATCTGTTTCCAGTCTTGAAAATAAAGAAGAAACGCGGTTCTAATCGTGAGACACGAGACGATAACAGACAATGGAGCAGATGTAGATGAGAAGTAAGGGATGATTAAAAAAAACCTTGTCAAGCCTAAAGTCCATGCGATATTTTTGATACAGAAACGTGATTTAGAGACACATGACATGGTGGCGAAGACAATAATTTGTCCATTGGTCCAAAGGTCATTTGCTTCGTTTAGTCAACATGGCTCTGACCACACAACACACAGAGAGCGTCGTGTAAAAATAAAATATATTTGAATCCACTCTTTTTTTTGGAGTCAATTTCATTCTTTTTCCTTCTTCTCTCTTCTTTTTCCTTTTCCTCCTCACTTGCCATTCTCCTTCTCACCAACACTCTCTTCTTCACCATCCTCAATCAACACTTCTACTAAGGTAAATAACGTGAAACATGATTCATCTTTATTTTTATTATTTTATGCAGCATATATTGCATCTCTTTATTAAACTTTCTCATGCTGATGCTGAATTGCCTGTCATCTCTTTCTTTCCTTTCCGTCAAGCAGCTGTCTAACGAATATACACATACACATATCCATATTTACTAGAATCAAAAACATATACACCATGACTTCTCCTCTTGACGCCCTCGATATGTCCCTTGCTGACATCATCAAGACCAACAAAACCACCAAGCGTACCCGTAACACCAACAACAAGGCTGCCTCTAAAGGCAGTGGTAGCACCCGCACATCAGGTGGTCCTATTCGTAACGCTCGGGGTAGCCGTGACAGAAAGAAGAAGCCCTTCAAGTCTGGTGTGGAGCAGTACAAGGGCAAGGTCAAGGCCGCACCTGCTGCCCCTCTTCACACTTCTGTCATCCGACAGAGCGTTCCCGATGGCTCAAAGATCCAAATTTCCAACCTCGACAACCGAGTCACTGCTGAAGACTTGAAGGTAATTTTCACCTGAGGAATAAGGAACGAGGTACTCCTTCGGATCCTCTATCCTTCAACGACTTCTTTCGTCTTTTTCGAGTCCCAGTGGCATTCGTCCTCTGTCTGAATCTCAAGTCGTGTTGGCCGCTCGTATATCGGATTCTTTTTGTTGTTAAAGAGACATACAGAGCAAGAAAGACTGAAGAATTGGAGGGAATGGAGGTGGCACGAGTAACAGCGGATTGATGTGTAGCAGGATGGCAGCAGATGCTGATTGCAGGTTATCTATTGGAGAGCCAGCATGAAAGGTTCTCGACTGCCTACCAACCTGCTTACTTCTTTGTCTTTGCCATCATTACTCAGCGCTCTCTATGAGGACCACCATCAGTTATTTTATCGCTCAGTCGTGCAATGATGATCTTCCTTCAGCCATCCTTGTTTCGGGTTGGCAAGGCTTTAGCACAGCAAGCCACTCAGTATTGTGCAACGTTACGTGGGATGAATTTTTTTTTTCTTCTACTTTATTCGACGTTTTGCACTGGATTCAGAGGGGGGGTCAGCGAGTGTTGTATCCATCCAATGCTCAAGTAGCTAAAGTGATGTGATCGTATTAGGGTTTATGAGCAAGCAGGACATAGTTGGCGAAATTGTTGGTATCTCACCTATTCTTTGCCCTGTTGTCATTCTGCTTTGACTCCTTCCCACACTCACTCTTTAGAGTCATGCATTATGGATGAGGAAGCTCTATCCGACTCTTTATTTCCCCTTTCCATTTTCCCTTTTTACTCTAATTTTGAAGAGAAAAAGAAGGGAAGCTGAGCATTCGAGGGCAATGAGGTTGATTTAAACTCACTCTTTTGTCTACATGGACGTATGAGTTCCGAGCGCTTGACTTTGACGGATGGAGCAGCGAAGAAATTCAGCTCATCACAACAGAAGAACAGACGGACCAATGCATTGCACGGGATGGGCTCAAGGACAAATGTCCCTATATAGTTTATTTTTGTTGAGCAAGGCGTATGACGCCATCCAAGCAACGATTTGACCGCTCACCCACCCTCCGTCCTCATCCCCTTACGTTTTCCGCTGCGTGCCCTATTTTTCTTTTTCTTGGATATGGCTCGTTTTTTTATTTTATTAGGTTGTTTTTACTTCCAGAGTTGGACCGCTCAAGAAGTGCACTCTTGTGTATGATCAGCATGGAAAGTCTACTGGAACAGCCTCCGTCCACTTTACTCGTGTTGGCGATGCTGCCATTGCTATGCAGAAGTTTAATGGAGTGCCCCTGGATGGTAAGTATTTTTTTTTTTTTTTTTTTTTTTTTCAGCATTTAAGCATATTCTTCTTAATGAGCAAAAAAAAAAAAAAAAAAAAAAAAAAAAAGGCATTATATTGAAAACAACATGTAAAACTGTTATTAGGTCGTCCTATGAAGATTGAGTTGATTGTCGCTCCTGGTGCAGCCCAAGCGGTTCTCGGTTCAGGAAAGCCACCCAAGTATGTCATCGACATTGCACATGATCTTTAATTTTGTTGATTTTTTATGCGTATTGAAAGTTTAGCGTGGTGCTAATCTGAGACGATATGATGTATTTTCTCTGTAACATCATAGAGCTGCAACCAGTAATCAAGGACAACAGAAGCGTGGTGGTGGAGCAGCAAACCGTGGTCGTCGTCCTGCTCGTGGCGGTCGTAAGCAGGGTACGAAGAAGGAACCCAAGACTGCAGATCAGTTGGATGCTGAGATGAACAGCTACATGCAGGTCGACTCTTAAAGAGCCATTATTGAGCTCACCCTTTATAGTTCTCATGGCAGACCAATAAGCTGTGCTTATTTTGTTTTTATATTCTTTTACCCTTCACATTGTCGTTTCATGTTCTTTGCCTCACTTGTAATAATAAAAAGGAAAAAAAAAAAAAAGTATAATCTTAATTACGAATCTATTAATAAACAATGTATATCTATGTGGTCTATGAAGTTTATTTCTTTTTTGCCCTTTGGGTGTTGAGGAGTTTGCTTGTTTGTTGTCGCCACACTACGCCTCGTTATTATCGATTGGCCACAAATCTTTTGCATTGATGTGTGGACTCGGCCGCTGACAGAATTCACTCCCTTTTCTGAAAGGCCTGCATGTTATTTTTATCTTTAAATATCCATTCTATTTTTATACAACAATTCTTCATTGCTTGCTGCGACTAAAATGAACCAGACTTTATCCAATTTTGACCGCGATGTACGGTTGCGACACCAGATACATCTGTTTAAATACCAAAAACATGTAATGCTACAAGGCAGGGCTGAGCAAAGAGCAAAGAACTAAGGTAAACAATGTATTAATCAATGGGTTGCAAACAACAACAGCTACAACAAAAGAAAAAAAAAAAAAAAAAAAAAAAAAATAGAACACGAGGACTGATTTTTATTATGGCACCTTAGAGGACATTGGCCAGCGCGGCAGTGTCAGTGTTGGTTACATTGATGACAGTGATGATGGTGGCAATAGCAATAGCAACAATCGTGGCGGTGAAAGTGAGGGCGAACAGGACGGAGAAGAAGGTGTTATAAATGTCAGAGAAACTCGACAGTCCTTGTTGCCACATTAACAGAGACCTTGCCTTTTTCTTCTTTCTCCCCTTCTCCTTTTCCTTCTTCTTTTCCTTCTTCTTCTTCGCCTTCTCCTTCACCTTCACCTTCTCTTTCTTCTCTTTCTCTTCCCTCTTCTCTCTCTCTCTTTTTTTTTTTTTTTTTTTTTTTTAGATTCTTCTTTTTCTCCGTTCAAAAAAATTTACACGCTTATTGAGGATCAGTTTCTTCCTCGACTCTGCAGCAACAGCAAGAGCGACAACAGCAATAGCAGTAATAACAAGAAAATCTTATGACACATTCGTCGAGTAATTCTACTCCCTATCCTCCACATGAAACGCCTATGGTATATCCGTCAGAGACTTTACCTCCTCATTCTTCTTCACCTTCTCGTCCTTCTTCAATATCAGAGCCACCTCCTTCATATGATTATATTTCGAGGTTGATGGGGCACTTTGGATGGAATCAAGGAACTAGTACCACAGATACAGATACAGATCGACAACACCTTCGGGGACAACATGATGAAGATATCGACATCGAGGCTGACAATGGCAATGGCAATGACGATGACAATGACTGGCAGAGCCAGCGTCATGTCACTATCAACATTGAGCCTATTCAGATCAATAATGAGGCCATTCCTGCTACTACGGCCACTACAGCCACTACAGCTACTACAGCTACTACAGCTACAACTACAGCTACAGCTACAGGCATAACTACAGTTATCACTGCCGCTAATGTCGACATTGGCTCTGAAGCCTCATTGACCAACAACAACAACAACAAAAACAAAAACAACAATAGTAATAATAATAGCAATACCAGCGCTAACACCAACCGTCCTAATCGTATCATACTCAACAATCATACTAGTGCAAACGTCGATGACGATGAAGACGAACGTCGTTGTCGAATCTGTTTAGAGACGGATGATGATAAGGATTCAGAATCGGGTCTATTGATCTCGCCCTGTTTATGTAAAGGATCATGCAAATACATTCATTTGGGGTGTCTGACTAAATGGCGAAAGATGTCACCCCGAGCCTCCAGTTCATTTTCATGTGATACATGTCATTACCATTATTCATTTTCAAGACCCTGGATAGCGAATGTGTTGGCGAACCCTTGGTTCCTTCATGTGGTGACTGCGATGATGTTCCTGAGCTTAGGTTATGGATGTGCATGGATAGGACGAGAATTGGATTTGAGACACATCTGGGGATGGAAAGGATTGGTAGCGGAAAGGTTGAAGTACGGGAAGAATAAGGAGGAGATGGTTCTTGTCCTTGGATTGGATTGGATGGATTTTGTTTGGGGGTTTGTGATGATGGCAGTGATAGGATTGATGGGCATGGTGGTGGGGGGATGTATTTGGTTGTGCGATGATACACCGTACGATGAAAGGAGAAGAAGAAGAAATGGAGGGGGAAGAAGGGGTGGTGGAGGAGGCGGATACGGAAGCGCAGGAAATGGAAATTCAGGAGGAAGATTTGTGGACTGTTGTAATGTTTCCATGGATTGTTGTAGTGGGGTACGATGTAGATCATGTTGTGACGATTGTGATGAGGGGATCCTAATAGTCATTGCTATTCTTATCCCCGCCTTGATTATTGCAGGGTAAGTTTTTTTTTTTTTTTTTTTTTTTTTTTCTTTTTTCTTTTTTTTTTTTTTTTTTATATATATCTTCCACTGCGATGAATGCGGATGAAATTATTTCTTGGTCAAGAGTTGAGATATCTTTATTAATCGTTTTCTTTTTATTCTTCACATGAAAATATAGTACATTCGGTGCAATCGCCGCCATCTACATAGTCATGGCAAGATTTAATACTCGAGCACTGGACTCCATGCAAGAGGTAAAAAAAAAAAAAAAAAACTCTTTACTTTTGAGACGGTGGTCTTTTTTTTTTTTTTTTTTTTTTTTTTTTTTTTTTTGAAAATGTTATTAATCATGCCCCATTCTTTCTTTTTTCCTCTCATCTTTACTTCTTCTTTCAAGACCATCCTTGAGGTCAAATAGTAATATATAAAAAAAAAAAAAAAAAAAAAATAATTATTAGAGTTGTATAGTTTTAGCAAGTTATGCAAATAGTTGAATGAGAAAGAAAGTTGTCAAATAGGGTGGTGGCATGTTGAGTTGGAGTGGATGGAACGGCATGGTTATTTTATCGCCTTGTTGACGTATCCCAGGTAGCCTTCCAATGCCTGCACAGTCTTTGCTCTAGTGCTTCGGCGATGCTGTTCCCTCTGAAGTTGATTTAATAGGTCCTGTTGACGACGCTGCATACCACCCACAATCAAATCATAATGAGATTTCAATGCGGCCAACAGCGCATGTTCTCGTTCACCCTTTGCATTTAACCAATGAAGGAGTGTATCGATTTGTTCCGGTTCGCTATAATAACTCCATTTTGTAGCACTGTGTTCCACGACTTGGGTTTCATCATATGGTTTATCCTTGATATGGTTGTTGAGATGATGCGAATATCCAGATCCATTCGTCAAACCGGCACCGTTGAGGACTTTAACATCCCCATTGTTATCTTCGTCATCGTCAGTGTCAAGGGCTCGTTCCTTCTCCAGCTGTAGCCTTCTCTCCTTTGCCTCCTTCTCTGCCGCTTCCAAACCCTTTAGGATCTCCCTCTCCTGGGACTTCAGCAAATCTCCCAATTCACTATCGGGGTCCTCTATCCGTTGTCGTTCCAATATCTTCTCCTTGTCAGCTCTGACGCGAATTGTTTCCAGATCCAGGAAAGAGGGTGATTGGATATAAAGTCGATCGGTAGCATGATTCATGGTGATTCCATCAAAGTACCAATACCGATTATAGAACCGATCCTTGCCCAAGGGTTTCACACGTGCGATCGCATACCGACGAACATCTCGATCCACTTGATCTTCCTTTCGGTTCAATGCATTCTCCTTATCGGTCAATTTCTTTCGAGCATCCGAACGAGCCTTTTGTTCTGCAGATCGTGCTTTTGAAAGTGCCCGTTGACGCAATAGATCCTGATTCCGACGGGCTTCCTGTTGTTCGCGTTCGAGTTGTTGACGTCTTAGTTTCTCTGTCCGTGACAAACCCTCGAGATCGCTGTCCATATCATGAGATGGAGTCGATGGTTCAGGTGTCGCGGCCGCACTGCGATGTTGTTCGAGTTCCTGTTCTGCTTTCTCTAGCGCCTCACTCTTTAACTCTGAAATCTCTTGCCGCTCAAATTCCGCCCAGTCCGATTGTCTATGTTAAAAAAAAGGGAGGGAAAAAAAAAAAAAAAAAAAAAAAAAAAAAAAGAGATTAGTTCCTCATTATGAAAAATAAAATAATATATAAAGGGTCTTCCTCTTTCCTATACACGTAGTGATACTTACAGTTGTCGTCTCTCTTTGTTGAGTTCAAACTTCAAAAGTCGGAGTGCTTTGAGTTCTTCACGACATTGCTCCATAAAGTGTCGAATAGTACTCGTGCCAGCTGCTGTTTCGACCAGGAAGACAAGGATACTCAATTTGTCTTCTAGAGGTAATGATGGGAACAGCAACTCAACATCTTCGCGTTGTGTTGATTCATCTGGGACAAGGTGATTCAAGATTCGATCAACATTAGGGATAGCTTCGAATGATCCAAGCTGTTTTTTTTTTAGGGAAAAAAAAAAAAAAAAAAAAAAAAAAAAAAAAAGGGGGCGTTATTACATGTTGGCAACCAAAAAAAGGTCATATTCTAATTGGAGAGGGGGGTTTTTTTTTTTTTTCCTATGACATTACCTCGTTAACAAGTCCAACAAGAACAGCTTCCCAACCTTCTCGAGGAGGAGCAATCAATTTCTCATCCCATCCTTGACCCACAACAATGACCCGTTCATTAATAGGTCGATGAGAGACCTTACGTCGTTGAATATACTCATCATGACCATTGAGAGACATGTCGCCATCGTCCATGATACTACTATTGTTATCATCATCATCTGTCATGACACTGTTTTCTCGTTCAAGGGCTGCTGTTGCTGCTGCTGAAGAAAAAGCTGCTGCATTGGGTCCGACAGAATTTGCGTTTGTAGTTGTTGATGAGCTGAGTAGGATAGGTTTTGCAATGCCTATGAGACGATCCTGAATAATGACATTCATCAAGGCAGAATGGTATTCTGCTACCATGACACTCGGATGTTGAACGTCTGTATGAGCCAATGAATCTTCGAAATCCTTTAGTCCAAAGGGCGAAAGTTTTAGAGGTGAACTGTACGAGTTTAAGAATTGCCAGACCATGATGAGAGCTTCAAAGGAATCATGGGGTACGATGGCGGAATCTCTTTGAGCCTTTGGACGTGTTAAAATCTGTCCTTGTCCATGTTCTTTTCCATCTTTTTCTTTTTCCTCTGATTTAATATTGTTTGCGATTAGTTGTTTGGTATCCAAATCTAAATCCTCGATGGGATATTTGATAGGTTTGATGACTTCGAGTGGAGGTGCTGATGTGTCTTCTTCCTGTTTTAATTTTTCGGAAGTATTATTATGATTATCTTTTTTGATTTTCTTGGCACTTGACAACTCTGGTGCTGGGTCTGCGCCTCCCTATACAACCAAGTCATTTAAAGCAGATGGCAAAAAAAAAAAAAAAAAAAAAAAAAAATTAATGTCACTGCAATCTGGATGCTCTCCTTTCACTTTGCTTTTTTTTTTTTTTTTTTTTTTTTTTTCTCTTCTTTTAATTACCTTCCGTTTTTTTAGCTTGGTGAATGCTGAATCTCTTGCTGCTTGAAGATCCGCTGGAAGGTTGGTTTCGATTCCATATTTTTTGCATAGTGAAGGCTAAACCAAAGGTAAAGGTATAAATATAAAAAATTTCATTTAGAGTCAGTACAGCTTTAAATATAATAAGTATACTGATTGCTGTTGTAGGTATTTTTTTTTGTTTTTGTTTTTGTTTTTGGTCTTACTACATTACCTTCACGATCCACGGAGCACCAAGATAGGGTTCTTTTGAAGAGCATTCACGGATATACTTTCGCAAGATGTTCTTATTGAAAGCCAAACGATCACGACTATTTAAGGATGAAAATAATAAAAGAAAAAAAGAAAGTGTTGAGGTAAAAAGGATAAGTATTTGATGAGACGAATTACCAAGTCATATGACATTTTTTTTTTTTTTTTACTTGAGGAGAGAACAATCGACAACGCGTTTCATGTCTTGGATAAGTTCACCATTCTGATCAAGAACTTGAACCAAATACTGTCCTGGGACTTCAGGTGTCTCTGCTCCATTGATGACCGTTGTCCATTCCTCTGGTGGTAGAATTTTGATGATCATCGCAGAATAACTAGTAAAAGGAATTGAAAAGTAAGAGTAAAAATTGATATTTTTAGTCCCTTCTTTTTCATCTTCATTTTTAATCTTCATTTGATCAGAAATTGCGAAAGATATTTTTTTTTAAAAAAAAGAGATAAAAACGAACGTACGCTCCTTTGTCCCATGTGACATTGACATGTTCATTTAAATAATACCGATTCTTGAATTTGTCAAATGCATCATCTACGACTGCGTCAATCCTGGCAGTTTCTAGTCAAGTCGAGTCGAGTCGAGTTGAGTCGAGTCAAGTAGAGTTAATAATAATAATAATAATAATAAACGGAAAAATTAAATGATCTCCCAGATTTGGTATAAAAATAGAGCTTCTACTTACGAAATTGCACAAATTCCAGTAATGGTTTTCGAAGTTGTGGTGGGAATTTGTTGGCTACCATTGATTTTTCCTTCTGTTCTGATTCAAGGGCCTGTTCATAAGTAAGCCCAGACTTTCCAGTAGTCTCACATTGCCAAGTCTTTTGTCGATAAAAGAAGTATCGATTGATGTAATCCCTATTTTTTAAAGAAAAAAAAAAAAAAAAAAAAAAAGAAACAGATCAGTCCGTTGATGATGGCGCGTAAAAGCAGTGGATTTAGGCCAAGTGGATCAGATATTACAAACATGTTTTGCGAAACACATAGGAATAGTGGTAAGTACAATAGAGAGTGAGAATTAAAAAAAAAAAAAAAAAAAAAAAAAGGTATTCGGTAGCAAAGGGGCTATGGCAGCTAGGATTTTAAAAACATACTCATAGGTGGTAAAGATCTCGTTGGTAAATCTCATCACATAGACTGGGGTGTTGTTGTCAAAGTCATCCGGATTTGGTGGAGGCACCGGCTTGATTGCCTTGCGTTTCAACAGTGGCATGTCGGGTTTTGCTTTGTCTTTCTTTCACACGCACACACACACTTTGCAATGGCTTTTTACTCCCTGCCTGGTTCTAGGCAGATTAGGGAGAGAGGAGAGTAGGGAGGAGGGGGGATCTGATACTGGTTAAAGTCACAGTGCTGAATGGACAAGTGATGGCAAAGAATGGATGTGTGTAAGAGAGAATGAGAGAGTGAGTGAGGAAGAGATGGGGAAGGTGTGAGACAGATGCATTGACAGCCCGGAGGCTTGTCAAATCCAAATAAAAAAAAAATACTTTTTTTCTTCACAGTGAGGTGAAGGAGAGATAAGAGAGAGAGAGGGTTTACTAAGACCTTTAGTGGCAATCCTAAATTCATACAAGTCTATGTTTTTGTGCTATGAAATCTACTAATCCTATAGAGAATATGGATGCAATCCATCTGCTTGCTTTGCATAGGTGATCTATTTAAGTAATGGATCTATTGATATATATATATATATTTATATTTATATAAATATATTGTCTATGCATGTAGTTGATACCCTTTGGAGGAATGAGATCGAGGGAGAGAAAAAGAAGGACAACAAAAGGAGTTCATTGTGGAGTGGTGTTTGGGATAAGGACAGGGATAGGGACAGGGAAAGGACAGATCAGACACTGTAATAAAAAAAAAAGCGCGACAATGAAAAAAGTGTGATTGTGCAAATGCCTTAGACATTTATAAATTTATAAATTTATTTTATTTAACGCGTTTAAAGATAAAAATAAAAAAGATATATTTTTTGATTTTACAAGAGTTAAAAAAAAAAGACGCGTTGCATAGGACACTATTTTGCTCCAAAAAAGGTTCTGCGCTGTGATTCGTCTGTTTCGGTATAATGGATTTGGGGGTAAATTGACTTGAACTGTCACAAATACTGACGCTAAATCGCCTCGCCCACATTTTTTTTTTTTTTTTTTTTTTTTTTTTTATTTCAACTTGCTTTTTTCTTCTCTGTACATGGTCATCTCTCACTTCTCTTTTCATTCCTTTTTCATCTAATCAACCCTACGCTGGAAAACCATCCTAACCAACCTCACTGCTTTCTTTCTTTCACCTCAGGAACAACCAACTGCTTTTTTTCTATTCAACCCTTGCTTACAAAGCTTTCTTACCTCAACTTTACAACTTTTTTTTTTTTTTAAAAAAAAATCTCACTTACAACCATGGTCGCTTCAAAGAAAGACGAATCTGCCGCACCTGCTGCACCTGCTGCCACAAAGGCTGCTGCCCCAAAAAAGACTAAAGCCACTGCTGCTGCTGCTTCCAAGAAGGAGGCTGACCACCCTACTTACAAGGTATGTCATGTTCTTTTTTTTTTTTTTTTTTTTTATAGAGGAAAAAAAAAATTTAAAAAAGCTGGCTCAGGACCATGGCAAAATCATATGGCTTCCAAAAAACAAAAAAAAAAAAAAAAAAAAAAAAGACAGCAAGATGTCTTCAATGATACAACAAGCTGCTATCGATTGCAGAACAGGGAAGGAGAGAGAGAGGGTATACTATGACATTAGTCTGACAAAATTTCAGAAGCGACGCTCTGATGGCGACATTCCTCACTATCATTCTTTGATATTCTTTTGCTCCTATCCCGATATTCCGAGGGTGGGAAAAACAAAAAGTTGACGGGGGGTTACCCTTTCTTGCATTCCTCCCCTTCCATCCCCCTCACAAAAAAAAATATAAAAAAAAGAATAAATATGAAAGAGAGAGAGAAATGGATGGAAGAATATCGAAAAACAAAAACTAAACAATCATTTATATCTCTTTTTTTTTTTTTTTTTTTTTTTTTTTTTTTTTTAATTCTAACTCGATGACCTATCTCTCTCCTTTTTGCCTTTCAATTACTCCTCAATGAACACAACATTGACGCGCATAATAACAGGACATGATCGTTGCTGCTCTCCTTAATCTCAAGGAACGCAACGGTTCATCGCGTCAGGCTTTGAAAAAGTACATCCATGGCAACTACAAGATCCGCGAGAACTTTGATATGCATTTCAACGCTGCTATCAAGCGCGGCGTCGCCAATGGTGATTTCACCCAGCCCAAGGGTCAGTCCGGTCCCATCAAATTAGCAAAGAAGGATCAACCCAAGAAGAAGGAGGTCAAGGCAAAGCCTGCTGTCAAGAAGGCTGCTCCAAAGAAGGCCGCTGCCCCAAAGAAGCCTGCTGCTGCTGCTCCCAAGAAGGCTCCTGCCAAGAAGGAGACCGTTGCCAAGGTATCAAACAGCAGGTTTTTCTTTTTCTTTTTTAATTATTTATTTTAAATCCGATAGTCCTCTTTTGGAGCTGGTGGTTCGCTCCTTCTTGGGGGAACCCTCACTTTTCTGACTTTTCCGAAATTCATGTGACCCTATCAAAAGAAAGAAAAAAAGAAAAACTTGTTCGAAATGACTTACTGTTTTCCATCTTGAACATCCAATGAATAGAAGGCTGCTGCCACTGCTGTCAAGAAGGCCGTCAAGAAGGCAGAGACAAAGAAGACTGAAACAAAGAAAGCTGCTCCTCCAAAGAAGGCTGCTACTGCTACGACTGCCACTGCCACCAAGAAGGCTGCTGCTGCACCCAAGGAAAAGAAGGCAAAGGCTGCTGCACCCAAGAAAGCTGCTGCCACTAAAGCCTAAACTGCTTTTTCTTCCTTCTTTTTTCTTTTCTTTTCAGATTAGGATGTTCATGACAAAGTAATACTCCTTAATTCTCTTCACAATTGATTTGGAAGGTTGGAAGGAGTTCTTTTTTTTTTTTTCTTTTTTTTTTCTAGTTATTGTTCCCATTTAGTACTACTAGTCCATATGTTTCTTTATACTTTCAGTTTGCTCTGTAACAAAATTGTACTTTTTTTTTTTTTTTTCTTTTCTTTTCTTTTTCTTTATCATTTGAATAGTATATGTTTGAATAAACTGTGTTCACAAAAAGGGAAAATACCATGTACTCTTTGTTACAGAAACTTATTTATTTTCCAAATGACAACAGAATTGAATCTGACTGCATGGAATGGTGGGACAGTGGCTCTTGCGTGGGCTTTTTTTAATAAACTTTTTTTTTAAAATGAGAGAAGAAAAAAAAAAAGAAAAAAAGATAGAAATAGATATAGAAATAAGTTTTTCTTTGTTTGACAGCACAGCAGAGATCATTTTTGTTTACTTATAGCGGAGCATGGCAACTGAAGGGCAAATTTCTATACACTCTTTGCCACCATAAACCAAACAAAATCAAAACTATAAGAATAAATGGCTCAAATGAAAATACGCGTTCAGTTCTGTCTTTGTGAAAAATATATTTCAATATACATGTATCGTAAAGGGACGAATGAGATTGTTTACTGATTTACTATGATTTGTTTTTGATTATAGACTATAGTATGCCTTGAAGAATTTTAAAGTAGAACGGTAGCAGCAACGAGCTACAGGCCAAGGTGTGTGTAGAGTGCAATGAGACTGATACATAAAGCGTTGTACTGGCTCAAGCTCTCATGGCTTCTTGGTGTATTTAGCATTAAGCATCGCTATGTACGCTCACTCACTACTTCGTCTATCATAAATAGTAGTGGTTTAAATACTTAGTATCCTTCTGTTGACTGGGAGACCAAATAATGACCCATACAGTTGTTGAACGCTTGCATTAAGCTCATTTTCTGCGTATTTATTTCCCTTCAGTTCAAAATGTGCCCCTTATCTTTGCCAAGCTGAAGACTGCCCAAGATATGATTAAAAATTCTGGCTGTAATAACGTCAGTCTTAAGCATTTGCATTACTAGCAAGAGATAGGAATCATATCTTATGAAAGCTTGGCAGTTATTCTGGGTCAAACGCCTCAATGGTTTGCGAGATGGACTTCATGCCAACTTTATAATCTTCTTCGGCCATGATATGTGTCGAGTACTTGTTCTTGCAGCTGAGTTGTTGAATCGTCCCTTTTAATTTAATTGCTTAAAGCTAGAGACCTTCCTTATTCAATGACATACTTCAACTCATTGAAACAAGCAGTTCATATCGTACATGATGATAGTCGCGTGTTGGTCCCTAGCCTGGTGTGGTGCTCCAAAAATGCAGGAAGACATATCTGCAAACCTTTTAGGTTTATTAGAGGTGAGTGCAGCAGTACTAATATCTGAATTGGTGATACTAGTCAATGGCAATACTACTTTGTTAGTACATGTTCTTTAATGGCAGCAGTCTCAGAGACAGTGCGAGGCTGGATCCATGTGTGCACAGTTTCCCAAGATCACTTGATTTTGTTTATAAGCAGATCGTGGTGATGTCATGGTATTGTCTTCAATGCAGGAAAAACCTGCCGTCGGGTTTGCATTGCAAAGCTTGTTTGTTGTTTGGAAAAAGGGGACAGAAATGAGGCGAAGAGGCGAGACGATTTTTTTCCTTTAAAATATATGGCTTCGCCAATCTCTACTCCTTTCTTTTCTTTTATTGTCACTCTTTCCGGCCCATTCTTATTCACTATCATATACACACCACCGCAATTTCATACAAATCATAGCCGAAAGCAATGAGAATTGGTGAGAAAAGACTTCAGGCATTTCGGCTCATCAGCTTGGATGAACCATCGGTCCCGTTGTCTGGTATCAAACGCATCGGGGCTCGCTTCGACCATAAAACACAAGAGCATATCATCCTCTGGAACGATATTACATCCGTTTACAAGGAAGCAAACCATCTAGAAATCGGAGGAGAAATTCTATCATTCCTTGCAGATGAGGACTTTGAATAGTAAATTGACCCATCAGTGTTGCTTGTTGCACAGATGGATGGTATCTATGTTCTGGTGCTGTAAGGCATTTGATTTTAACTCGACCGTTGTAAAACTACAAAATAGTATCAAACCGCTCCGAATCCGTGCAGAACTAGATGGTGTACTAGATGTTGTCCTTCCCTCTCAAGCGGGTGTTTCAAGGGAGGTGGATACAACAGCAACAATACAACCAAAGGTAGACGGGTCAGTTATACCAGAATCGAGTGAAGTTATAGTCCTTAATTCTGACACAGCAACCAACAGCAATGACACCAAAAGCCTGGAGACAGATATGAAGGATCTTTCCATAAGAGAAGATGAGGCTGATTGTTCGACCGTAGCCGAGGCTCAAGGAGAGTGTATCCCAAGCAATGAATCAAAGGTTTCAGGAGAGAAAACTACCCTAGAAAGTGAAGAATTGGCGGTAGGGTTGACCAAAGCACTCAAAGAGGATGCCACGATCCAGATGATCCTAGGATACATGTTCTCAAGTGGGAAAGGGGCTCCACAAGATTATACAAAAGCATTTGAGTGGTACCTTAAGGCAGCTCACCAAGGAGAAGCTATTGCTCAATACAATGTCGGCCTCATGTATTATGAAGGCAAGAGCGTCCCACAAGACTATGCAAAAGCGTTTGAGTGGTATCACAAGGCAGCCGACCAAGGAACTGTCGATGCTCAGTACCATTTAGGCCTCATGTACTATAATGGCAACAGCGTCCCAAAGGACTACTCAAAGGCCTTTGACTGGTTTCTTAGAGCTGCTAATCAAGGAAATGCTAACGCTCAGCACTATCTAGGCCGCATACACAATAATGGCAATGGAGTCACCCAAGATTACTTAAAAGCCTTTGAGTGGTATCTCAAGGCAGCCAACCAAGGAAATGCCGACGCCCAGAGCTCTTTGGGTCTCATGTACCGTAATGGTAAAGGCGTCCCACAAGACTACTCAAAAGCTTTTGACTGGTACACCAAGGCTGCCAGTCAAGGACATGCAACTGCTCAGAATAATCTAGGTTACATGTACCGACATGGCAATGGAGTCACACAAGACTACACAAAAGCCATCGAGTGGTATCTCAAGGCTGCCAATCAAGGAAATAACTCTGCTCAGAACGCTCTAGGCAAAATGTACCGTAAAGGCAATGGCGTCCCACAAGACTACACAAAAGCCATCGAGTGGTTCCTCAAGGCTGCCAATCAAGGATATGCAGCTGCTCAGGATAATCTAGGAGATATGCACTATTTTGGCTATGGAATCCTACAAGATTACTTAAAAGCCATCGAGTGGTATCTCAAGGCTGCCAACCAAGAAAATGTCGATGCTCAGAATAGTCTAGGCGTCATGTACTATAATGGCAATGGAATTACAAAAGACTACACAAAGGCCTTTGAGTGGTATCTCAAGGCTGCCAACAAAGGACGTGCTAGTGCTCAACGCATGGTTGCCTCGATGTATCGAGACGGCAAAGGAGTCTCAAAGAACCTTGTTGAAGCAATAAAGTGGTACCAAAAAGCCGCTGACCAAGGTGATGTTGATGCCCAGGGAATATTAGACAAGCTCCAGTGTTGAAGTCTCTTCCGTATATGTAAAATGAAGTGCTCGTTGATACGCTGCGCTAGAGATAATTTAATACAGTTGGTTGTTTACTGGACTTGGCGGTTGTTGTATAACAACAGGCCTGAATTCAATATCAGTGACAACCTCATGCATAGCTTCTCCCATTTTATTTTTGCTTTATAATTATCTTCCAGATTTATTTACATACGACCGTTGCTCCCTTACGAAGCTACCTTCTCGTGAAATGGAGAAATAAAAACCGTGTGGAATTTTATCATCGGTCGAAGGTTTTAATTTTCTTTATCCCTTTTTTTATATCTTCAGGGATAGATGTTTCTAATCCTACGATCGGTACTTCGCAACGCGAAATCATTAAAGCAAAGATCTACCTGTCTCCTTACATCAATATCACCAAGCTCACCAAGGCTAATCCTTCAAAGCGTCCAGTTCTTCAGAGTCAACAAGGGAGAACCCCAAGGTTGTGTCATCAGCTGCCTTGCCTCCGTCACGATATATCCGTGACCAGTCCTCATTGTCTTTCAGACTATTGTCAATTATTGCCTATTTGTACCTTCCTATTGTTATCGCCATATATTCCTAAAGAGCGAAGAATATAATAAAATAAATAAAAGTGATAATAACAAGAAATATATATAACCACCACGTACTCTGATCTGCAGTAGGTGCACAATCCCTTGAAATTGGTGTTTCTAATCTTCTTCCTTAGCTGGCAGCAGAATAGTTGGATATAAGTTTGACAACATGACATATTGACTTTGAGGACACCCTCTTAGTCCCATAGCCTTGAATCTGCGACCTTATTTAATGAAGTACCAACAATGAGACTATGTAAACACAATCGATCAGTAGTAGCTTACCAAGAGACGATCATGTACTTAATCGCCTCCAGAGTATATGGAGAAGAATCGTGCAATATCCATAAAGCTATCTGAATTAGTCTCTTTGCTCCGACGAATCGCTATTAAGTGAAGTTCTTCAAAAAGTCGACTTCTGCTCTCATTCAAGACCTCGGTAGATAGCTCGTTCTCGTTCCAGTCTTTGATTGATTCTACAAGGAACCAATCATAATCTGGTAGTAGCTTTGCCAACACTATCAAACCCTTTCTTCCCTTCATCCACCATTGTAGTGCTGCTTATATTCGACAATAGTTCTTTCAAAAGTGGCCGTCCTTAGCGTGACCATTTATGTTCCGACATCCACTTATTTCCAAAAGGTGATGGCTCAGCAGGATAGAGATGAGTTCTATAAACATGAGCAAACGTGTTAGTGATATTTTCACGAATAAAAAAAAATAACATAAAAAGAATAATATGCCAGCGAATAAGGTCATATAAATATACCAAGAGAGTAAGGACTTTAGAATCTGCTCACATGAGAATTGATCCACTGTAGGTTCAGGTACTGATACAGCATGGTCTCCACTGTTGAGAGCTCTTCATACAGAGTTGATATACTCGAGATTAAAAGGTGCAAGAGCTGGTAGATCAAATGTATTGAACTGACTCATTTCATCCCATTCCTTCTCAGTAAAGAATGATTATGTCTGTGGACAGTCGAAACCAATGGTGTAGGAGTGTGCACTGCCATTAGCAGGACCCAACAAATTATTGTGTAAAGGACATGTTTTAATAACCATGATATATTAAAATAATAAGCACTACTTTTATACGTGCTCGTACTTGAAACCGCCTTGTCCCCTCATGCTACTTTCAAACAAGACCGCCTCTATTGTTCGACCACTATCAAGTCTCCAAGTTCCGCTTTTATCCATTTCTTGAAAGCGCTATTGGCACACACACAAAGAAAGGATCGTATTAGTAATATGCCAAGAAAAAAGTAGAGTATTTTGAGACAGGTCATAGCACTGAAAACATTACCTTCAGCTGGGATTGCATCAACAGATCGTCGTATGAGTCCAAGGAAGTGGATAGCTGACCCAGTAATGCTACTGAGCTTGGCCCCTTTAGTTTTTTCCTGGCAGGTGATGATTGTAGGTGAGCTGCTGCTGGTCGCTTACTAACTTTTGCTCCTTTTGCTTCTTGTTCCAGATTCGAAGTTTGCTGCATCGCTGTTGATGTACCTGCAGCAGAGGCTGACTCTAGTGATACTTTCTGTGCTTCCGGTGATGATGATAAGGAGCTCAAAGGCTCCACTTCATCTTGAGACAATACTGGTAAGCTATTGGTTACGCTATTCCGTGTTGAAGTTGAATCAGATGGTTTCAATGGGTGATGTTGTATAGAGTTATTTTTTTGATAATAAAGAGGGTCCTGATGCTAAGAACGAAAAAAATAAAAAAAAATAAAAAATAAAATAAAATAAAATAAAATTAAATAAAATTATCAGTGTTGTCACATCGACACCTAAAAAACCTCAACCATCCAAAAAAAAAAAAAATCATCTATCTTGAAGCATAGATATATTTTAATATACACATAGACTTGATGCATTTTGATGCATTACCTCGCAGTTCCATCTCTAGTTCCCGTGTCATTGCCTCGCCATCCATTCGAAGTTGCTGAATATTCTGTCTTCGCAAATCTATTTTCCGTTGACTCAATAGCTGTTGCTGCTGACGTCCATATTTCTCCTCAGCAGCGAGGTCTTCCCAGAACTGCGTCAATGTCTCCTTCTTGAATCCGGTAAAAAGGTAAACAGCCGTTTCTTGTAGGACCTTCACATTAGAGCTTGCAAACTCATTGATCCAATTGCTCCATTCAAAGCTTAGGGCGTTCCGTTGTATGGATGTAGCGCCTCGATAGTTGAAGTAGTCAATGGGGTTAAATTTCGCAGGGATGGTGGAAAGAAAGTAGGTGGCACCAGGTTTGGTTTTGTTGATTGCAGTTTTCCATAAAGGTTGTGGTGATGTCGTATGCATGCTTTTGCTCTTGCTCTTGCTCTTGCTCTTGCTCTTGCTCTTGCTCTTGCTCTTGCTCTTGCTTTCGTTTTTTATATTGACTTTGATATTACTATCACTTCTGCTTTTGTTTTTGCTTTCGGCTCCCTTTCTGCCTTTTCCTTGGCCTTTGCCTTTATTTTGGCCCTTACTTTGGTCCTTGCCTTTGCCTGTGCCTTTGCCTTTGTTTTTGGTTTCTTTAGAGGGTTTGGTCTGAGGTGGGGCGCGTTTCGTCATTGTTCGTTCCTGTATATTAATAGAACAACACACACCAAAAGGCCCCCAGGAGATGGTCAGTATATTATGATATAGAAAATTGTAAAAATGAATATATATATCAAAGGACCCCCCCAACGTAAAAGAAAATAGTAAAGATATACATATGGAGGCGAGCACTGGTTAAAACAGACATTGTACGAAGCTGCTTGCGTAACTTGATCGTACAGTGTATATAAAGAGACTACTTCCCCAACAAGAGGCTCTCATCACCCTTGAAATGCAAACGGGTCACAAATAGGTTGGCTTATTAAATAGGCCTAATGTCAGGCGAGTACACCATGACTGAAAAGCATGATGATTTTTGTGTGTATGAATGTGTTAAGAGCGAAAGCTCTTTCTCTTCGGGAGAAGGGAAAAGAATCATCATACCTATCCAGTCGAGCTTGGACTCTTTATTATCATCCCTACATATGAATGATACTGTTTTTTAAACACAGCCGTTGATCAAAAGCTCAAGAACTTTGCATATCGATTGGACGTTTAAAAGAGAGGGAGGGGGGGGGAAAGTCTACATCCCCATTCAATCAACATCTTTGTCATTATTAAGATGCGTCTTTTTTGTCCGTTAATAACTTATAGTTATATGTACATAAGTTGGGGATGAACAACAAAAAGCTTGGTCATATCCTTTTTAGGTATACAGATATAACGAGGGCTTCTCCGATTGAATGGACGGGCATACCTTACTAAAAACTTTAGCAAATGCTTTTTTTTTCTTTTGCTTCCCACTATCAAGAAGGCTTGGACCACTCAATGCTCACTTGCTCCACAATGACAAGAAATGGTAGGTTTACTAATCGTATTAAAAAAAATAATAATAATGAAAGCTTGAATGGCAAAGGAATAGCAATTTTTTTTTTTTTTTTTTTTTTGTCTGAAATTGGATTTAAGCGCAATGGTGAAGGTTAAGGAGATGGTGGGTAATGAGTAACTTTAAAAAAGTTTGTATTTCATATTGACGCGTTTGGGTGGCTTATTAATGGCTGCGGAGCAGAAATAGGGTAATTTGTGATCAAAGAACCCGACAATTATTGAGGAATTCCCTCAAAGATAAAGGAAATGAGCGATGATATTGAAAAACTAACCGCTAACAATCTGCTTAAAAAAAGTCAATACGTATAAACAAATGCGACCTTTTTTTTTTTTTTTTTTTTTTTAGCGTCCAGTTATATACGTGTTCCGATAGTGAAGTCTCTGAAAAGTCAACATTGTAAGCTGATTTCACAATATTGGCGGTTTATCGAATGCAGGATATGCTTTACAAGGGCCATCACATCATACGCAGTGTGCGACAAAGGGGTGAAGGGTGGCCGTGAAGTGATAGGGGAGAAAACGATGGATGACGAGGAGATGGAGGACTGAGAAGGGCACAGCACATGCATTTTTAAATAAAACCGCCTAGCTGAAAATGGAATAGAGAGTCGTATGCCTCTAAGTAGCACCGCGGCTCAGAGATTTAATCAAGGTATCGGATTAGGGAAACATTGGGTTTTAACCGGACAAGGTATGAAAAAGGAGAAAGTACCAGATGTCCACATACCAAGAAGTATTTGTGAGTTTTATTCGTTTTTTGTCATTAAGAAAGTAAAAAAATATACTTTTGTGCCTGCATACAGATTACCATGAACATTCATATTGTAAACTCATATAGTAAAGCCCTGTCAAGAGAATACAAGTAGTTGGCCTGCGTGCACAACAGTTGTCGAGACGCGACATGTATTTCCTTGAATTGCTTTAGCCAATCATATGATATCGACTGCGCAATTTATATAGTAAACGTCATTAGTATGGAAATAACGGAGCTGAGCTACTTTGAATGGACATTTTTTATAAACCTTTTATCGGGTAAAATGATGCTCTCAAAATTCACCACATTAAGCAGACGCATTTAGAGGAGCAGGACATTCAATAGTTTCTATTGTTAAAAAAAGACATCGCTCATCTACTTTTCTTTTTTTTTCTTTTTTCTTTTCACCATCAGATCTAAGCATTCTTGACAGCTTACTAGCATTCACCACCAACTACACCTTTCTTTTTTTTACTTTTCTTTTTATAACCACTACAACTACTATTCCTATCAACCATGTCCGAAAGTAGACAGGAACTCATCTCTTGGGTCAACGACTTGTTGCGTCTCAACTACACCAAAGTCGAGCAGCTTGGCACAGGTGACGCTTTTTTCCCCTTTCTTCTCTCACCTTTTCTTTCTTTCTTTTATTTTACCCACGATTCTATGGAAAAAAAAAAGAAAAGAAAAGAAAAAAAAAAAGCACACGCTCAACGGTGTTGGCACGTTCATCAAACACAGCGTTTTTTTTTTTTTTTTTTTTTTTTACTTTTTCCTCGGGAGATCGCTTTGAATGTTGACAAGCAAAAACAAAAAATAAAACAGGACATTAGTAACTTTGGAATCAAACATCCTTTTGCGCGTGTTGCAAAGTTCCCTCTTGTCTTTTTTTTTATTTTTTCTTTCTTTTTCAGACCTTGGAAGATTTAATTTGACAAACTCCAGGCACCACTTGAGTGTCATTAGGTGATGAAATTAATAATTTTCTTACTCAACTGGTCATTTATTTTATTTTATTTTATTTTTATTTTATTTTATTTTTATTTTTGCCCTCGTTCCTTCTTTTACCTGGATCCCATCCATATCTTTAGGTGCTGCATATGTCCAGATCATGGATTCAATCTATGGTAAGAGCAATGCTTTTGCTTTTTTCTTTTTGGTTGCGGACGTTTATTGAGTCTTGTTTGTTTGGATTAATACCCACGCAAAACGTTTTTTTTCTAACCCTTTTTTCCACTTTATTTTCACGTGCAGGCGACCTTCCCATGTCGCGTGTCAAGTTTGCAACAAAACATGAGTATGAATACCTTGGAAACTACAAGGTCCTTCAGACATGTTTCGCTACCCACAAAATTGACAAGGTAAACTATACAACGTTATAAACCAACAAGACATTCAGAGCAAAAAAAAAAAAAAGAAAAAAGAAAAAAAGAAATGATGTTCTATTTTATTTGCTTCATCATGCTTTTTTTTTTTTTTTATTGCGAGCATTAAGAGGATCGAAGCCAATTAACAGGGATCAATGGATACCGACAGAAAAGAAAAAAGAGAGCCGGCGATATTTAAAAAAAAAAAAAAAAAAAAGATCCAATCTATCATCTTTTTTGGAATCAGGGCTCACACCCTTGTTCTTTACCCATCTTTTTTTCTTTTTTTATAAACTACTTTTCTAACTTTTTTTTTTTTTTTTTTTTTTTTTTCCTATCGACCTGGTTCTTACATTCTGGGTACCAATTTTATTTTATTTTTTAATTTTTAGGCTATTCCCACAGATCGTCTTATGAAATGCAAGATGCAAGATAATCTTGAATTCTTGCAATGGCTCAAGAAGTTCTGGGATCGCAACTTCCCTAATGAACCTTATGATGCAGTAGCTCGTCGTGGCGCTGGTAATGAACCTGCTGCTGCCAATAGATCTACAACTGCCCCTGTCAGGAGAGCTGTGAATAATGGAGGTAAAGATATAACAAATTAACACCATTCATCCTAATTGGGCGAACGAGCTTGGAATTGAGACTCTTCTCCGTCCAACCCAACCAACAAGAAAAAAAAAAAAAAAAAAAAAAAAACGTTTGGGGCACAGACCTTGACCACATGACCTTTACTCACTTCTCCCTTTTTGTAAAAATCTTTATTTTTATTTTTTTTTTGTGGGGGGTGGACTTTTTTTTTATAGCCAATCGTTCAATGACTGGACGTTCAGATCATTTGTCAGCTGTGGGTAACCGATCTTTGCGTGGACCAAGTCCTGATCACTCTGTCATTCTGGGTTTACAAAAGGAGCTTCAGGAGGAACGTAATACGGTCGCGGCATTGGAGAAGGAACGTGACTTTTATTTTGGCAAATTGAGAGACATTGAGGTGTTGATCCAACAAGAATTGGAACGTTCTCCGGATTCAGCTGAGAGTCTCCTTTTGAAGGATATTCAGGCCGTTCTCTATAGCACAGAGGTAATAAGACTTTTCTTTTTTTTTTTTTTTCCAACAAAATTTGACAAAACAGAATCATTGTTGGAAACTAAAAAAAAAAAAAAAAACATGTCCATATTTAATTATCTTTAATCGAATAGGATGGATTTGAGATCCCAGCTGAAGAGCAAGATCAAGGACAATACCCTGACGAAACGTTTTAAAAAAAAAAAAAAAAAAAAAAAGCCAGGACGAAGATATTTTTTTTTTTTTTATAACAAGCAGGAAACAAAGAAAAAAAAAAAAAAAACAGAAAAAGAGAAAAAAGATATAAAAAAAAAAAAAAAGCGCTTTTGCCTTATAATGTGTCATATAGTGATCAGTGATCAATGCATGAATAATTCAATAAAAGTAAAAAAAAAGGAAAATATTAATAAATAATTATCTATCCTAGAGCACAACGCGTCTTATCGTCTAATTGATAATACTCGATGCCATGCCCATGTCGACTGACGATATTGTTCAAATTAAAGTTTCATATTTTTTTTTTCTAGCGAGCCCCTTAAAGCTCTGTCAAAGGTACAACAGCTCCAATGGCGAGGGAAAGGGAAGAAGAAACATCCTTGACATCCCTGGACGTCCTCTAATCAATTTTTCAATCTTTCAACTTCAGCCTCGTCATTCAACATGGTAAATAAGATTGAGCCGACAACCTTTTTTGTTTTTCATGGATTCCCAGGACAAAGCACCAAGCAAAAGCTTCCAATAATGTTTTTTTTTTTTACAATTGGATACTTCATTTCGTCCTCAATGCATTTTCTTTTTTTTTTTTTTTTATGTAGGGTATTCTGGAAAAGATTGCGGATATTGAGAGGGAGATTGCAAGGACGCAGAAGAACAAGGGTAAAAGCAAAAAATACATGGATATTATTATTTTAATTGATCATATTTGGATCCAATGACTGATTTGATCCGATCTTTTTTTATCTGTCCATGGAGAATAGCTACGGAATACCACTTGGGTCTCTTGAAGGCCAAGTTGGCTAGGTACCGTGTCGAACTTCAGGATCCTGGCAAGTCGGCTGCCAAGGTATAAATATTAAAAAGAAGAATTAATGTAATTGCTTTACTTTATTTTTTTTTTATTTTTTTTTTTTTGCTTGATAGCCTAACCCATATCTATTCAACGTTCTACTTTCATTTATTTATATATATATATATATATATTATGTAGGGAGAAGGGTTCGATGTAATGAAATCGGGTGATGCTCGAGTAGCCTTGATTGGATTCCCATCGGTTGGAAAATCAACGTTGTTGAACAAACTGACGAACACACATTCGGAAGCAGGAGCCTATGAGTTCACGACATTGACATGTATTCCAGGGAAGATTGAGTACAACGGCGCTAATATTCAATTGCTGGATCTTCCTGGAATCATTGAAGGAGCCTCTGCTGGCAAAGGTCGTGGTCGTCAGGTAAGAGAGGAAGGAAAAAGAAAAAAGAGAGGGAAATGGAAACAAAGAAAAATAAAGAAAAAAGCTAGATTTGAATGAAAAAAAAGTTTTTTTTTGTTGCAAAGGAGATGTTTGTTAGGATATTTCACGGCATCCTTTTTATTTATTATACTCACCGTCCTTTTTTTTTTTTTTTTTTTTTTTTTTTTTCTCCAATGATAATAATGGTGGACTAGGTTATTGCTGTGGCTAGAACAGCGGATTTGATTATGATCATGTTGGACGCCACTAAATCTCACCAGCAAAGAGAGCTACTGGAAGCAGAACTGGAGGCTGTCGGTATTCGTCTGAACACTCAAAAGCCAAACGTCTATTTCAAGGCAGGTTATCTTATGTTTTTCATGTTTACTTTTTTCTAATTGACAATTGACAATTGACAGTTGACAGTTGACAATTGACAGTTGACAGTTGACAGTTGACAGTTGATAGTTGACAGAGGAAAATGAAATATTAACGCGTAAGCACGTGCATATCGGGATTATTATTTTTTTAAATAAAAAAAAAAAAAATAATCCCATAATAGGTCAAGACAGGAGGCGGAATCAGCTTCAATGCAACTTGCCAGCTTAGTATGTTGACTGAAAAGATGGTTCAGCATATTCTACACGATTACAGGATTTTTAATGCAGAGGTCTTGGTTCGTGAGGACATTACAGTGGATCAATTTATCGATGTCGTTCTTGGAAACCGTAAATACATCAGAGCGATCTATGTAAGCCTTTTTATTATTTTACATGTTTTATATAATATATAGCGTTGATCGAGCGTTGCAACTGCAATAACAACAATCGTAGAGTGCTCTCATCTTAATGATTTACTGTATTCCTCACTTTTTTTTTTTTTTTCCCTCCTATTGTAGTGCTATAACAAGATTGATTCTATCACGATGGAACAAGTGGACCAATTAGCTCGTGAGCCACAGACGGTTGTGATGAGTTGTGAAATGGATCTTAATACGAACTTTTTGGTGGAAACGATCTGGAAGAACTTGAATTTGCTTCGAGTGTATACGAAGAAGAGAGGAGAATACCCAGACTTTGAAGGTGGTTTAATTATCCGAGCGGGATCTACAATTGAGCATGTGGTAATGTTTTTTTTTATATCTCCTTTATTCTCTTATTTTTTTATTATTCCGTTTTCCTTTGCTTTCCTTGAGAGCCAAAAAAGAAAAGAGCATGTTTATTCGCGTGAATTAGATGTTGATTTTTTTTTTATATGTTCTCCTCCACTGTAAAACAAACAGTGCCATGCTATTCATAGATCATTGGTAAGAGAATTCAAGTATGCATTGGTCTGGGGCCGATCGACAAAGCATAATCCTCAACGCGTTGGACTTTCGCATCTAGTTGAAAATGAGGATGTGGTAAGTTTTGTTAATATTATTATTATTATTACTATGCATGAAATACGAAGAAGAAAAAGGAAAAAAAAAACTTCAAGTCATATCATCTCACTGTTACGTCGATGTATGTATGTGCGCAATTGTTTGCTTCTTTCTTTTTTTTATAGATCCAAGTTGTCAAGCGTCGCTAGGCTTCCAATTGACTTTTTTTTTTTATTTTTTTATTTAGAAAAGAAAATAAAATAAAAATAAAAATAAAAATAAAGAGAAATCCCACATTCCAGATGATTAATACAACGGCAATGTTTATGTGATGATTGCTGGATGTCGTTGTGGGAAGTTTTTAAAAAAGAATAAATTGTGCGTCACTATGATCCAAGATGTCTGTATTCGATCATTATACATTACACACACAGCACATTTACATTTACACACAAAAAAAATCTTTTTTTTTTTTTTTTTTTTTTTTGCCCTAAAGAGGCCTCTGCGCAACAGTGGGTGAGACAAACAAAAAGAGGTCTGTTCAGACATGTAATTATAGCACATGGCTTGCTTCTTGCATCGTCATTTTTGTTTACAGTCATCATCCTCCATCGTTCTGATTGTTATTGTTATTGTTATTGTTGTTCGTACCAGTAGTTTAGTCGTCATGTAACGGAAAGAGTGACATACAGATAGATTCTCTGTCAGCATTTCACAGAAAGGTAATCTTCTTTTTTTTTTTTTCTTTTTTACTTTTTTTTTATATTATGTGGGCTCTTGTGCTGTCATAATCACCGTTCTTCCACACACACATGTCCCGAACAGAAAAAAAAAAAAAAAAAAAAAAAAAAAAAAGCAAAAGACTAATAAGAATAATAAAACATATCACTTGAATAACGTCTAGACAACAAAGTTATATTGCCTTTAAAGAGTAATTGACTTTTTCTTTCTTTCTTTCCTATACAAGCTTGTGAGAGCCAAAAGGAGAGGCTTTCTTTGTGTTACGACATCCTTTGTTGATTATAACATCTTCAAGGTATATAATAAAATCAATGACTCTTAGCATTCCAACTCTATTTCATTAGACATCTTTTCTCGTGATAGTCAAGTGGTAAAAGTGTAGATATGAGAGCAAGAGTTGAGTATGGGCTTTTTTTTTATGACTGAGAACGGCAAAATTGCCTAAAGAGTAAGCAGGTTATATGTACCAATAGTAGAATGAGAATGGTAAGAGTATAGTTAGTATAGTTGTCCTAGTGTGCCCAACGAGTTTAGCTTGGGACGGTTGAACTGGAGAGAGAATGATCCAGTATGTTGTGGTGTGAACAATATGACGACTCGAATGAATGAACGAATGAGGATAAGAAAATGTGATGTGTTGTTGTCTATGATATGATAGATGACACATGTCTTGCGCGCGTTTGTTCCGTTGGCCTTTTTCTTAGCTCAATTTTCCCCTAGTGCCCTTTTTTCTTATTTGTTTTTCTTTCCTATCCTTTCTGTCTGCGCTTTTCTTTTTTTGTTCCTTTCCGCCGATTTCGTTTTATATACTTTTCTTGATCAGGTTCCTCTGTGTTTTGAAGGGGAGGAATATTTTCCCTCGCTTTTTATATCTACCGAAGAGGGTCGGGTTATTAGTGTTTTGGATATACAAAGTGGTGAAATGGACAGGGTGTGTGTGTAACAGGCAGAGAGAAATCAAATAACCTCTGTAACAATCATCGCCCCCTGAAGAAAAAAGAAAAAAAGTAAATCAGGGGGGAGTGAAGAGGAAATGAGATTGGGTTACAGAAATAGAGAAGTCAAAGAGAACTGAGATGTAATCCTGTGTAACATGCTAAGAGTCTTAGACAGTTAAACCATTAAACCATTAGACAATCTTTATTGATTCAATCAGAGCATCTTTTATAGTTTACAAAATAGTTTAACAAAGTAAATAGCCGAGACTGCATTCTGTGTGCTAAGACCTTTTTCTGTCTTTTGACCATTGTTTCAGTTTCTTCACACTCATACACACTTATGCGCGTTCCTGACCCTGATAAACAAATAAACAAATAAACATCACTCTCACACTTATTACACTTTTATACACTTTGCACACTTGCTTAGCATTGCACTTTTCTTTTTTCTTTTTCTTTCCTGATTGAATCATCTATATTTTATAATTTCTTGCTAAACTACGCCTCTCTCTCTTTATACAAATGTCATCTCAACACATACACATTCCGCCACTTTCTATAAAAACTCTCATTTCCCTCCAACCCCCCCTTCGCGCGGCCTGTATTTTAATCCTCTTTTCCTTCCTCTCTCTCTCTCTCTCTTTTTCCTTTCTCTTCCTACCTCCGTCCGTGGTTTTAACAACCTTCCTATCCTTACCACGTTTTACACACTACCTCTATCCCTATCCCACACACATACGTTCACATACGGTAATACAGTAAAGCACACATTTCCCCTTTCCCCCCTCCTCCTCCCTTTCCCTTTCCCTTCCTCTCTCCCTCTCTTTCATATACATAAATTCCCTCCATAAATGAAAAAAATCCTTCTCTCCATCGCAGCGCTGGTCTGCGCTGCTCAAACAGTCTCTGCACAAGTCACATACTCTCCGCCTCCCAAAGACACTGTTGGCCATACAGCCATCCTAGCCAACAATACAGTCTTCATCCAAGGAGGTTCCACCCCCACAAATCCCACTGGTGCTTCCTATGCCATCCTTTTGACTCCGCAAGGTTCCATGTCCAATGGGACCGGTGAAGCCAAATGGCAAGAGACAGGTGCCCTCAGCAAATTCACTCCTCGAAACTACTTTGCTTCTGCAGCGACTGATTCAACCATGGTCAACTGTGGAACCAGAGATGGTAATCAGGGGAGAGGAATGACCTGTGATCTGCTCGATGTCACATGGTATAATCATACACGGTTAGATGTACCCACGAATATCCTCAACAGAGGTGGAATGGCCTACACTCTCACTAATAAAGCCAACAAGGCTTATTTCGTGGGTGGTGCTACCGATGCTAATAATGTGAAATCCGTCGTTGGAACTGTCAACGAGCTCACTCTTTCAAACGGAGGAGTAGCTTGGAGCACGATTCCTGAGATGGATCAGGCACTCAGATATCATACTGCCACATGGGTCGATGATGTGAATGGCATTCTTGTCCTTGGAGGTCAAAACAGTATTGGAGCAGCTCAGCCTTTGGGAGCAAGTCAATTGTTTACCAATGGAAATTGGACATCCAAGTATGATATATTCATTTGAATACGTTTATGAATTGTTTCTTCTTTTAAGGACATTCGGCTGATCGGATTTACTTACTTCAATAGGGCTATTTTGGGTACTCCTGGGCAACAGACTCGCTTTGGACACACAGTTACCAGCGATGGAAATGGTACTCTGTATCTCTTTGGAGGTATGGTCGCCGAAGGTGCTGCCCCATCCAGAGATATGTTGGTTATTAATACAAAAGACAACACCTGGACATGGATGGACGCCCTCCCAGCCCCAGAAGGTCGTGCATTCCATACTGCAACCCTTCTGCCTGACAAGACCATCTTGTATATGTTTGGTGAGTTGAAGCACTTGTTTGCTTGTATATGTGAATGAATAAGAGTTTTGGGATCTAACAGAATGCTATCCCATTGTCTATAGGTCAAACCGGTGCTGATCCCAAGACTGCCACAAACAAATACATGATCTTTGACACACAGAAAGGGTCATGGAGCAAGGTCTTTGAGCCTCCCACCATTGTTACCATCACGGTCTCGCCCAATTATGTGCCACCACCACCACCACCAGGTAAGCTTGAAATATTCATATTTCTTTTTCCACAGCTCCCAAATCTCGTCCCATCCATCACCACCACTGAATCAGGTTCCGAGGAAAAAAAAAAAAAAAAAAAAAAAAAGTGAAAAGTGAAAGAAACCCGCTCCCATTCAGTATTTTCATCAAAAAACAACCCGTTCCCTTTTCTCTCTCTCTTTTCTTTGTGCAAAAAAAAAAAAAAAAAAAAGTACCTCCAAATCAAAATGAAAGCCCTAATAGTAATCCTAATCATCCCAAAACACCAGACAACGGCGGTTCAGGTTCAGGTTCAGGAGGCTCTGGCGGTAGCTCGACAGGCGCCAACATTGCGATGATTGCAGGAATCTGCGGTGGTATTGTTGCCCTGCTTTTCTTGATTCTCATTGCAATCTTGTTGATCCGTCGTCGTAAGCGCCGCAATCGTCCAGTTTCACACCATTTCCCTCCAGCCCCCAAGAAGGAGATGAAGATCATGTACAACAATGATGAGGACGAGAAAGCCAAGCAGGCCAAGGCGTTCATGATCCGCAAGCCCGATAGCGTTTATGTGGTCGATGATCAAGGACCAGATCCGGAGATCCCTCATCCGCAGTATAATAACGGTTATTACGGCGATGGCCGCCATTCTCCCAGTGGAACAGAAGAGTATGAACTGAGAAATGCTGCTTCATCATCATCTGCTGCTGCTGCTGCTGCTGCTGCTGGGCTTCCTTCGTATCGCAGGCACAATCATGACAGGACGCTGTCTACAGTCAGCAGCCTGGCAGAGCGGCGGCGTTACGTTGAAGAGCAGCAGCGACAGCTCATTGACGGTTATCAAAATACTTATAATAGCCCGCCACCTTTTGATTCATATAGTAACGAGGATGACCGCTATTATCCAGAAGAGGACGAGGAGGCCCTTCCAAGATCAAGGAATACCAATGGTCGTAATGACAACATTGGTTCTTCTTCAGTAGGTCCACGGTACCCTCGAAACCAGAACAATAACGGACGAAATGAACACCATCCTGCGGACGATTACTTTTAACTAAAGGAACAAGACGCGCCTAGTTTCCCCCATCAAGATGTGAGAGACAAGACCCATTAAAAAAAAATTGAAAAGAAAAAAAGAAAAAAAAAATATAAAAAAGAAAAAGAAAAAAAAAAAAAAAGAAAAAAAGCTTTCCTCCTTCTCTCCTCCTTCCCCTAATGCCCATATCTATCCCTTTTGTGCTTTTTTTTTTTTTTTTTTATTCTTTCTACTCTTTATTTTTTTTATATCTTTATTTTTTATTTATTTTTCTTTTTTGTGAATGCCTCATTACATTACATTACACTATTATCCCCCCACCCACACCCACTCTGAAAAACAAAAAACCCTTGTATTTATGAACCCCACAAACACGCACACGACGCATATTATATTTAATAAAAAGTTTTTATTTTAAAAATAATAATAATTATAATATTTATATATATATATATTTTACACACTTTTCGGCCTATTTTTTTGCTGACTCAATTTTATTTTGCGCGGGAAAAAGAAAATGAAGAAGGAAAAGGAGAATTTCCAAGGATGGATAGATATATTTTTGTTTTATTGGGTGTATAGGATACACGCCCAAGGTCTATGTATGGTCCATGATTCGTCTTTTTTTCTCATGAACACTAAAAAAAAAATTAAATGAGCGAGAGAAAAAGAGCTTTCGGCGAATTTATTTAACTAAAAAATCTTTAGTTAAACAAATAAACATATATACGATCTTAGTTTGCTTTTTTTGCTTTGCCTTTACAATATGAATATATTTCACTATGTCAATATATGTAAAGATTAATATATATATACTATACGATAATGAATAGTGGACAAGGATTGTAAAAAAAAAAAAAAAAAAAAAAAGAGGAGTGGGAGAAGAGAAGAGAGATTGGATTGGATATATATAATATAAAAGAACAGAAAGAATAGAATGAGAAACAAACAGACTAATAGTATATAATTATAAACAATAGCAATGTAGCAATGTAGCAATATAACAATATAACAGTATAACAAAGATTATCAACTCATGCTCTAAGAGTGAAAAAAAAAAATTTCTTTTTTTCTTTTTTTTTTTTTTAGAGCGCATTACGCTTAGTTAAGGATTCGAATCGTTTGAAAGTATAGCCGACAAAGGCCAAGTCCTTCTGTTTTGAATTCTCGCCCAGGACCTGGTTGTGATTATACTCCTGGTGATGATTATGGTCTGGAATCTTCTCTAGATCCTCTGTTGGGAAATAACTGGTGTCGGTAATCGAGGTCAACACGGGCACAAAGGGTGATTCCATTCTCCGGATACTAGTCCAATCCACTCCATGGAAAAACGGATGGGACATGATCTCGTGTACACTGTTCCTACCCAATCTCACCTCTGGAGCGCAGATCAGTCTATATATATATATTTATATGTTTATAAAAAATAAAGTAGATATTGAGGAGAAAGGCCAGGTTAGAAGAAAAGGAAAAAAAAATAAAACACCCAAGAGCGACAGAGTAAAAATGGCAATTTTTTTTTATTTTTTTTTTTTTCTTCTTTACCTGCGGATAAGATCTTCAGCTTCGGGAGTGAGATGAACATCTTCTGGGAAATAAAGCTGTTCACGCCAGTTGATGATCTTCCGATAGGTCTCATGAGCGTTCTCACTACAGAAGGGAGGATAGCCCACTAGACATTCAAACATGATGGCTCCCAAGGACCACCAATCACATTCATGTCCATAGCCCTGTTGTAAAAAGATCTCGGGTGCGATATAATCGGGTGTTCCTACAGTAGAATAGGCCAATTTACGTCGATTCTTCTTCCAGGTCGCTAATTTGTCCTTGCTCGAAAACGTCAAGTTGATGGCGTCGACTCCTGCTTCTAAAGAGGTCATGCCATCCTGTTGGTTCCCATTGTTTTTGCCATGATGATTAGAATTATCGCCATTGCCCTTGTTTGGACCTTCTAATAGCCATTGATAGAATTGAGAGTCGTGTGTCTTTTTGAATCCTGTCGACAGACCAAAGTCAGAGAGCTTGATATGTCCATCTCGATCGATCAAGATGTTGTCTGGTTTAATATCTCTTTTATAATGAAGGAGGACCAAAAAAAAAAAAAGAAAAAAAAAAGAAAAAGATGATGAGAAAACTGTTGGTCTCAAATATATATACAAAAAGTTTGTATCAACCACCTTTGTCATATAAAAACATATATTTACCTGTGAATAAAGCCCATTTTATGAATATCTTCAATGGCGAGGACACATTCCGCAATATAGAATCGGGTCACATCCTCTGAAAAGGTATCGTATTTGATCAACATGGTCATCAAGTCTCCTCCAGGCAAGAACTCCATGATCAAGTAAAGATAGTGTGAATCCTGGAATGAATAGTACAGTTGAACGACCCAAGGGGATTCTGATTCTGCCAACACATCTCTCTCGGCTTTGACATGGGCAAGCTTTTATGTACATGTATAAAAGAAAAGGAAAAAAAGAAAAAGTCAACATTTTGAAATTTGAAAACGTAGATTAGATATCTGATCATTGAAATGGCATTGAGCAATGCTTATATATCTTTCTTTTTCTTTTACCTGATCCTTTTTAAACATGTCCGCTTTACGAAGGGTCTTCATGGCATAGATCTTGCCAGAATCCAGTTTCTGAACAAGACGAACTTCACCAAAGGCTCCTTTGCCAATCACCTTCACAGTCACGAAATCAGCTAGACCCAAACGGGTCCGACGCAATCTCAGAAACTGAGATTCCTTATGACCCAATGCTGTCAATTGACGGTTCTTTCGTTCCTCACTTCCTTGTTCTGTTTCCAATCGAGTCTCCAGTTCTACTCGCCTGAGGAGCATTATTAATTTATTTGGTTATTATTATTGAGAACACATGTTGAAAATATGTTAATACACATACACATGATGAAATGCTAGCAAACAAATAACAAACAAATAATAGCAATTGGGGAGAAGGATGAGCGATGTGTTGAAAGGAAAAAGGAAAAAAAAAAAAAAAAAAAAAAAAAAAGGAATGGAGAGTGTGTGTGTGTGGGAGAAGAGTTATTTGTTGTACAAAATCAACAAGAATGGACAGATGTGGGGGGGTCAAAGGACACATCCAAAGATTAAAAAAGAATCCCTCCAATTGGGTGTGCATGGCAATAATGCATGGAACGATCTGTTTGTCCTGTTTATCCATAACCAATCTCTATAAAAGAAAAAAAGAAAAAACAATGTCCTATCCATTGATCTCTCCCCAATCCCCATCACCATTCTCTTTCAATAAAGGGGGGTGGATTGGATGGATGAGTAGAGGAAGAGATCAAAAAAAAAAAAATAAAAATAAAAAGGCTCTTGCTATGCATCCTCTCTTTCCCCCCCTGTTTAGAAATAGCATGAAAAAGGAAAAAGGTAAAAAGATGTTGATTTGAAACGCGAATATCTTATTTCTTATTCCCTGGGGAGGTCATTAACGTATTTTATCCCTACTCCCACCCCTCAATTGAACTGTCCCTTAAAAAACTAGGGCATAAAAAGAAGGGAAGAAAGAAAGAAAGAAAGAGAAAGAGAGGGGGAGAGAGAAAAGAAGATGTCGTGAGAAAGCAACGGTTTTGTTTCTTTCTTTTTTTTACCTCTCATTTCGTTCGATTGCTTGTTCGAGTTGCAAGGTATAATAATGTTCCAGACGATATTTAGCAGCGGTTGAATGATCGATTGCAGACTTGGGAAAACCCTCGGTTGAGCGTTCAAATAAGCTCTCTGAACTGATAGTGGCAACAGGATTAGTTAAGCCTCCAGGATCTCCTGACATCGGAAGGGTGTTTTGATATCCATACTGTTGTTGTTGTTGTTGTTGTTGTTGAGAAGGTGAAGGAGCCCTCTGTTGAGAAGATTGGTATTCGTATTGCATTGAAGAGTGAATGTAAGAAAAGAAAGAATGAAACAAAGGAATAAAAACTAACACGAGAAATTAATAATAAAATAAAAATAAGAATAAAATTTGGATAGGCAAATAATAAAAAACTAATTGACAGATACAGACAGAATGACTTGTAAGAGAATGAAAGAAATGTGAAATGAGCGTGTGAAGTGAAATGAAAAGGGATGAAGAAAAAGAAAAAGAAAAAGAAAAGACAGGGGAGGAGAGAGAGAGAGAGGATCTTTCTTAGTCCCATTTTTTTTTGCTTGCTAGTTACCCTGGCTCTCTCTTTCTTTTGCATGCTTCAAGGGGCAAAGGAAGAACTATTGAGGTGACCATTGAGCATGAACACAAACACACGCTCTTTTTTCATTTCATATAGAGTATCTTTTAATAAAAATAATATCTGTCACTTCCTTGTTAATCTAATCTCTTCTTGACATCGTCATGTAATGTTGATATAGACGCGATGAACAAAACACGGCAATAAACGCGTCTTTTTTTTATATACATGTATATCTCTGACACTGTTTAATGTATTTACATGTCTTTTGTATTTGCATGTGTTCCATGGGTTTGCTTGACTACAAATGTATATGTATAAAAGTGTGAAATGCAAAGCCACTTGTCAAACGAAAAAGCGCGCATTGAGGACGTGGGAGAAGAATAAGCATAGGCAGTAAACAGGAGGCAAGTGAAGCAGTGGGCGCAGATTCTGTACAACAGGAAGAACGTGCTAGACTTTTTAACATCATCCCTTTTCTTCTTTTCTTTTTTTTTTTTTTTTCATTCCTTCCTTCATCAGAACCTCATCGCTTCTTGACTTTTGCACCTTGTTTAGTTTTATTTCAAAAGATATAATGAACACTGCTACGGTGGACACCACGAATACCGGAGACAATTCTCAGGCACAGGACAACAATACATCAAAAGTTGCCGATAACAACGATACTGCGGCAACATCAACATCATCAGCAACAACACCTACACCGACGACGATAACTACTCCCACAACCAAAGATGAGGATAATAATGTAGAAAAAAAGAAGCACGAAGGAAAACAAGAAGGAGAAGGAGGAGAAGAAAGAAAAGATGATAAAGGCAAGGATACCAAGGACCAACAGCAACAACAGCAGTCCTTTACACAAGCTGTTTTCTCGGGATTCAACCCTCCAAAGATCTCCACTCCTGCATTCTTCTCCTCCATGCAGGGCAAGATCCAATCTACTCTGTCAGGCGCCAAATCTCCAACACAACCTTCACAGGCCCCACAGACCTCACCCACTCCGCAGAGCTCACATATCCCACATATCCCACATATCCCACAGATCAATAAAGTGGACATCAAGCAGATCCAGGCCAGTACTGAGCAATTTGCAAACACCACCAAGGACTGGGGTGTGAACGCGTTCAAATCCTTGAGCAATGCAGCCCAACGGGTCAGTGCCAATGTCACACAGGGGATCCAAAAGGAGCATGAGGAATTCCTTCGACAAAAGAAAATGGATACTGTGGTGCCACGTCAAGGAACAGGTATGTCCATATCCAATGCTGCAGTTTTACATACATGTCTATTCTAAATGATTTATTGGATTGATCAATCATTAAGTAACTTGTTTGCCAAAGAGAAATGTTTATTAATTATTATTGTTATTATTTTCTTCCTCTCATATTGACACTAAAAATATAAATATAAATAAATATACATTAGAGACATTGCCTGTTTGGGCTGGCCTACCTAATGAAGAAAAGATCAAGGCCCAGATCCTCAGTTTATCAAAGGACCAACGCAACTTCTTACTTCCACCTCCTCCAGGAACCAATTTTGTCTTTGATATGAATGCTTATTCTTCCGCTGCGATGGCGACTTTGAAACAAGATCCTAATCTGGACAAGATGAGGTTTTATTTGGTTCCCAAGGAAGTGGAGGAGTTGGTCTTTTGGAGGAATTATTTTTATAGAGTCTCATTGTTGAAACAAGTGGCCCTTTCTAAAGCAGCAGGTTCAGGAACAGGAACAGGAGCAGGAACAGGAACAGGAACAGGAACAGGGGAAGAAGGAGAAATAGAAGCATTCACAGATGATGCAACTGAAGGCACGACTGATGGAAGCAATGGCAACAACGACAGTAGCAACCATACTACTCGTAGTGGTCATGGAAGGAAACCATCGTTGGGATATAATATTTACTTTGGAAAGGATGATGTCCAGGGACCACCCATGACAAGACGATCTAGTAGTAGTAAACCCGATTCTGCCAATGTGAAAAAGGACTCTGTTACATCTACCACCACCATTACTACTACTACTACTACTACTACTACTAAAGTACCAGCCAAAAAGCAGGAAAAGAAACCTGATGTACTCTTTGAAGCTGAAATGCCTGACCATGATGAGGATCCAGGTAAAGCAATGAAAAAAAAAAAAAAAAAAAAAAAGGAAATGATGAAGGCGAAGGTGAGGGGGATAATCCATTTAAATAACAATGGGATTGGCTTTCTAACATCTTTATTTTTATATTTTTCTTTTCTCTTCTTTTTCTTTTTCTTTTAGATGCATGGCTTGAGAAACAACTTGCTTCAGGTGTATCTATCAGTGGTGGTGGTGGGGATGATGATGGAGGGGTGGATGTGGATGTCGCAGACTGGGAGAAAGAGCTGCAGAATGAACTTAAAGACTATGTTGATGAATCCTGAACCCGGCAAAAAGCATCCTTATCCCAAACATTCCTAGTTTACAATTAAAAGTTTGTACTTTTTTTTTTTTTTTTTTTTTTAAACAAATACATATAAACCAACGTAAACGAATGCCTTCGAGTTGAGGATTCAAAAATACTTTTTCTTCAAAACAGTGATTTCAGGTTTTTTTCTTTTTTTTTTTTTGCATTAAAGGGTATGGATATTTTATTTCTGCTCCGCAAGTAAAGGATAGTAGTATATGTATTCGGTATCTTTTTTTATTTTAATTAGACTTGAGCTTCTGCCTCAAAGCCTTCTTGGCAGCAATGGCAGCAGCAGCATTAGAAGTAGGCACAACCTTCATCCAGTTAGATCCAAGCTTATAAATATTCCAACCCAAGAACAAACTGCTGACAAAGAATGTATCGGCGACCAACAAGGTACAGCGTCTCTCCCAATAGGTCTGTTGATAATATCCTGATCTCGCCACAAACTCTGCCAACAAGAAGAATCCAAGGGTCCTGACCAACTCTGCTTTCAATCCATAGGGCTTCACATCCATAATCTTGGACAATGCAACTAACGAGACCAAGAATCCAATACAGATCGCTTGAGTTTGCCATAATGGCAAGACCTTGTAACCCTCTGCTAACAGTGCACTTCCCACGATCATGACGATCGTGAAATGGAATGCGATATAATAATTGAATTTGGAGGGCAACTCAGGATCGTACTTCTTGGGAGGGTTCTTCAAATCAATATCTGGGATCTCGGACAAGAGACCCGTTCGAGGGATACTGGGTTCGGAAGGAGGGGCCAGGTGCCAGCCGGGACCATAAAAGACGACTTTGAACTTGTTGGCGATTCCGGGGGTGATCAAGAGCATGTTCCAGATATGTTTGAAATGACCCAATTGAATCGCCACAGGATCGAAGGTGTTGATAGGATGGGTTAGACCATAAGCAACAGGTTCTGCATCTTCTGGACGGGCAACCACATCTGGATAGAGTCGTTCGTCGGCATAGGTACCAAACATTCGGTCCCAGATAATGAGTGTTCCACCATAGTTCTTATCGATGCAATAAGGGTTACGACCGTGGTGAAGACGATGGGCACTAGGGGTATTGATGATGTACTCGAGCCAGCCGAGACGGGGAACGATTTCTGTAAAAAAAAAAAAAAAAAAAAAAAAAAAAAAATAGGCGCAATGATAAGAAGTCAGATGTTTTAGATTATTTGAGCAAAAGCGTTTAAAAAAAAGATAAGAAAAAAAAGCAGCATGTTATATATATATATTACCTGTGTGGATCCAGAACTGGTAAAGCAAATTGAGTTGTGAGTGAACAGCGAATTGTGCAGGTGAAAAGACGAGGGCAAGAGGAAGGTTGAAGAGAAACGATGCATAGGTTTGAACCAAGGACTGTCGCAGTGCTGTTGTAACATTATAGTATTCACTAATAAAATGATAGTAATGATAAATTATTCAAGTTAATAAATATTATTAAAAATGCATTGGCGGTGATAAAAATGAAATAAAAAAAGAAAAGAAAAAAAAGAAAAGAAAAAAGACGAACCTGCTGTGATGAACAGAATGACCAGCCCAAAAGATGTTGACTTCATGTGCTGCACGATGGAACTATTATTGTATTATTGTACAGGCAATGAACCAAAAGTAAAGGTAAGGAAACTGTATAACAGGAGTATACATGCATAGGGGTTGCACAAATCAAATAGTCTTTACCCAATAGTAAGCGCAGTCTACATTAAGAGGAAACAGAAGTAGGACAAAAAAAGAGAGAGAGACAAATGAGTTTCCGATGGCGTTAGCTTCTGTTATTATTATTATTATTATTATTATTATTATTATTATTATTATTATTATTATTATTATTATTATTATTATTATTATTTTCTCCACATTCCTGTTTTTCCTTCCGGAGATACAATAAAAAAATTCTTTTCCTTACCAACTGCAAGGAAACATCCAATCCAGGTTGAGAGTTTGAAAGTATCAAAGGCAATGGACTCAAGACGATAGTGATCCCAGATGTAATTATAGGTAACCATCTGGAGAGAACCCAAGAAGAAGCGAGACATTTGTTGAATTGATCCAGCTCCTAGTGATCCAATCATGTCGTTCATCCGGTATTTGCCTTGTTCCCATTTGCCATCATGACGTTTCAATCCTTTGCCCTTGTCCTTGAAAATATAGTAGATCAATTCTGCAAAGACAAAGAAGACGAACCAAGGAGTAGCATCGGACACATAGGGGGGGATATCCTTTTCCTCAGCAAACGTCGTTGCCTTGGGTGATACCATATAAAACATCCGTCCGAGGGACTCGGCGACCTTGATGACGGTCATTTTTTTTTTTTTTTTTCTGTATTGAAAACGAACTCGCAATGAAGAATAGAAAGGAGTGTGATAGAAATGAAAGTAGGAAAGAAAAAAAAAAAAAGAGGTATTAGTTGAAGTAGAAGGTGAGGGAGAATATGAAAAGAAAAAGAGGGGTGAAGATCAATTAGAAGAGGGTTATGTATTGGTGTGTTGGAATGTGCAGTAGAGGGAGTATTTATGCAGTCCGGAAAACGACTTCTCACGAGGGTCACTCGAAAGAATCCCGAGATTGGTAATTGGTGGATTTGTAAGACTATTTACCTTATTAGGCAACCAATGTGCACTTTAAATTAGATTTTGCTCTCAACTTCACACTTCCTCTCACCTCATATTCATTTTTCATATTTAAAAAAGAAGTTTTTGTCGTTCATCCGATCTGATTACATTTACATACAAAGCAAGTAGAAGAGCAACGCGTTTCTTTGCCCTTTCACTTCATCTTACTTTTCATTTTTAATGTTTTATCCAGAACCTTTTTTTTTCTTTTATTGTTATTACCCATGTGCTTTTAAAAATAAAAAATAAAAAAGGAGCTATCTTCATCCCGCCTTTTTTTTATTTTCAACTCCATACTCCAACCGAAGACGATTTGAATGTCGAGCCGTCGAGCCGATATGCCTCAAGCATCCTCCTTTTAGCACTCATTCCGAATCAATGGTTTATTCCAAATCAACCCTGGCATGTTGTCCTTTTTCTTTTTACTATTTTACTTCACTTCACTTTTGACATGAGTAAGCACTTTTCTTTTTTTAATTCTAATCTTCGGTTGAGGCCTTGAACATCCTGACATTACCCTCATAGCCTCGATAATTTCTAGCTCATCAATTCTACGCGTCGCCGCAGGTGCTTTATGGAATCCCTTGACCATAACCACCGGAATTGGTAATGATGGCATTATTTCCTTGGTTCTCTGCAAAAACAATTCCATTTGAACAGCGAATAATGCTCACTAGCTTCTTATAGAGACTTCCACTTTACTTGTCACAAACGGTGAGGAGATGGCCCAAGCGCATGAATTTCATCCTTTGATTTCCAAGCGGTCCCTGTCTGTTATTATGACAACGACTTCATTGTTTCCTTTTTATTTATTTTGCTTCTAGTCCAAAAGTACCTTTTTTTTTTCTTTATTATTTCCTCTATATTCTGGACAAGGCCAGAGACTCTTCATAATCCTGGCTGCAACCATGTCAAGAACTTTAGCACTTTTCAGGAGGTATAAGAAGCCATGCCTTTTCTAAAAATATGCATTGATTGCTCCAGATCAGGTCTTTCAATACTTTTTTACGTGGATGGATTTTCGTGTTGCCTAATTAAAACTTTCTTCAGTCATGGACACTATTCCAAACGCATTCACTTGTACAAGCAGAAAATAAATAAAAAATAAAAAATAAAAAATAATACCTTTCAACATAAGAATATGAACAGATGCCGGATTAGGGTACTGATACAGCTCATAGTAAAGTTATAACTGCCCTAAATGCGGTTCCTAGGTGAATTGCTAGGTGAATTAAGCACCTGCTCTTGAGCATTTCCACTTTGCTAATTTTTTTTTTTTATACTTTTCTTATTCCTGAACTATCTGCATTTCATGCCTCATCTCATTTAAAAAAAAAAAAAAAACGAAATCAGATAAATTAACGGTTGCCGTTTCTTCATTTTATGCGTTCTGGCCCAATAACTGAACAAGCCTTGGAAATGCCAAAATTGATTGATGAAGTGTTCCGAGAACCTCTTTTGTCTTCAACAAGGGCTCACGACAAAGTTTGAGCACAGCAGCACCGAATTTCTATCTGATTTGAATCCGAGTTGAAGGACAAACATCTGTTCTGTCGCCAATGCCAATAAAAAAATCTTGGATAGTCAGCGCTGTGGTGACACAATTGCCATTATTGAGTGAGCCGCCTCATTGGATGAAACACAGCTAAAGGCAGGCTTTTTCAGATTCTCACACTTTCATCACATTCTTTTGTTGATTTCACATAATGACTGTTGCAAAGAAAGAGCTTCAAGCATTTCGTCTCATCAACCTGGATGGAGCTCCAATCTCATCGTCGAACATCAAGCACGTTGAGGCTCGCTTTGATAGAAAAGACAAGAGTACATCCTCCTCTGGAATGACATTCTATTCATTCACAAGGATGCGGTCCATGTAGAAAACGGAGAAGAGATTCTACTATTTCTTGCTGATGATAACTTAGAATAGTAAATAGTCCAATAAGATTGCATGGAACATTATCTATTTTAGATGCAGGATACTAAACACTTCTACGCATTGTCAAAAAAAAAAAAAACTTGCTCTTATTAGTGTCAAACCACTTCGAATCCGTGCAGTGCGTGATGTCGTACTTGACATTGTCATTTCCTCTCAAACAGGTGTCAAGTCGGACGAGCCAGTTATATCAGAGGCAAATGATGCCATCATTCAGAACAGTCAAGGCGAGATCCACAAGATTACTTAAAAGCCTTTGACTGGTATCTCAAGGCCGCCAACCAAGGGCATGCCAGGGCTCAGTCCAATTTAGGCTACATGTACCTTAAGGGCAAAGGTGTTCCATACGACTACTCAACAGCCTTTAGCTGGTTCCTCAAGGCTGCCAACCAAGAAGACACTGGTGCGCAGAATAATCTAGGCGTGATGTACGAAGATGGCAAGGGAGTCGCACAGGACTACTCAAAAGCCTATGACTGGTATCTCAAAGCTGCTAACCAAGGAGTCGCTACTGCGCAGTATAATCTAGGCGACATGTACAAAAATGGCAATGGAGTCTCACAAGACCACACAAATGCTTTTGACTGGTATCTCAAAGCTGCTAACCAAGGAGACGCTGATGCGCAGCGTAATGTTGCCTCAATGTATCAAGAGGGCATAGGAGTCTTTAAGAATGATACTGAAGCAGAACGGTGGTATCAAAAAGCTGCAGATCAAGATGGATGATATTGATCCCCAGCAAAATCCAAGCGCTCAAAGCTCCTTGGTCTATTTAGCATAAAACACTACCTAATGCGCTTACTCATTATTTCTACTATCGCATGTTTGGTATTTCTTATTATTTTAGTTGATTTGTCCTTCAAATAATAATCACTACAATTGTAGGGCCAATGGATATAACAATATGAAAATAAGCAAACCAAATCCGATATACAACTTGATAATGAACTTGAATGAGCATTTTTATATGCTTAATATAAGACAATATTCTTACCCCTGTTCTATTACTCTAATTCACGGGTTTATTGTTGGTGTAGTTTAGCAGTTTAGCAAAAGGATCAAGGTAACTATGGTACAAACACCATAGTATGAACATTGTAAAGTTTTTTTCCTTTTATCATTTGTAATTCATTGCCATGTTGTATCAGACCAACATGCGGATCAAAATCTTTTTCATTTATAAAATATGCAGCAGTTATCATGGTTTGATCTGTTTATCTCTTGTAGTGTTGGATATGATGAATCGATTCAAGGATTTAACTACCAGTCTACAAATCTTTCCATCAAAGCGTAATACAGATGGAGACGAAGATGGAAATGGGAAATGGGGAATGGAGAATCATCATGCCACTCTCCGTATTTTGGATTGATTTTGTTATTGCTTTGTTCTTTTTGATACTCCATTGCCATCTTTCTCTGTATGGTATCGCCATTGGTAGTAGCAAGCGCACTAACGTCATTATGTGCAAGGGCTTGCCGTAACTCCAACTGATATATTATATAGAAATGTCTTCATTCCGCCCTTTTCAACTCCATACTCCAACCGAGGGCCTTTTGAATGTCGAATTGATATACCTTAAACATACTGCGTTATAGCGTTGGTTCCGGATCAAGGTTGACATGTCATCTTTTATTACTATTTCATTTGGCTTACGACATGAATGAGTGTCCAGATTTTATTCTATTCCAAGACTAATCTTCGGTTGACACCTATGCATCCAAGTATGATCTCGTACATCTGCCTTGTATAGTCTCTGGCTCATGCATCCTACGCGTCATTGCAAATCCTTCATGAAACTTCCTGGCCGAAGTTACTGGAGAGATAGTAATGGCATTCTTTTCTTGGTTCTCTGTAGAAAGCGGCTCCATCATTTGGAAATAAACAATGCGCACTAGCTCTTTATAGAGACTCTGCTTTACACGTATCAAACGGTGTGAGATGGCCCAAGCACATGAGTTTCTTCCTTGATATTCAAGTTATCCCTTGAGACCTTCTCAAACATCTACTCCCACCAAGGCTTTGAAATGTCTTTTATGGTGTTTTCCCTCATCCATCTCATCCAGACCATTGCCTCTATTATTCTGAATATCTTCAAGGTATGATATTATCTTATCTACAACCACTTTTTTTTTTATATAATCCGGGATACCATTTTATGATTAGTTCCATATTTCGAAAATGCTGGAGGTTTCCTGCGATCCTGGCTGTAATCATATCAGGATCTTGAGTACTTTCAGAAGCATGATAAAGTATATCTTTCGTAAAAACCAGTGTTGCTTGCTCCAGATCAGATCTCTTAATACTTTTTTTTACATGGTAGATTTTGTGTTGTCAAGCACTTCCTTCTGTCATCCAACACATTCACTTGCACAGAAGAGAAAAGAAAAGCTTAAGAAAGTAAAGGTAAGAGGGAGATCAGATGGTGCATTAAGGTTCTCATACAGTCCATAGTAAAGCTATAACTGCCTAAATGCGAATCTTGATGGATTGCCAGGGAAGTTGAATGCATTTTCGTGCGATCCGATATATGTTTTTTTTTTTTTTTTTCTGTGCCTGAACTATTTCCTTTTCATGCCTCATCCAACATTGATAAACCAAAGTTGATGGAAGTGTTCCGAGAGTCTCTTTAGCCTTCATGGGCTCACCGCAGAGTTTGAGCACAGCAGTACTGAAACTCTCCGAACTGAAGGGCAACACCTGTTGCCAATGCCGATAAAAACCTTGTTCGATAGCCATAGGGTTAATGGTATTGAGTGAGCCTCATTGCAAGAAAACACAGCTGAAGGCAGGTTTTTTCAGATTCTCACACTTTCATCACATTCTTTTGTTGATTTCACATAATGACTGTTGCGGAGAAAGAGCTTCAAGCATTTCGTCTCATCAGCCTGGATGGAACACCAATCTCATCGTCGGACATCAAGCACGTTGAGGCTCGCTTTGATCAGAAAAGACAAGAGTACATCCTCCTCTGGAATGACATTCTATTCATTCACAAGGATGCAGTCCATGTAGAAAACAAAGGAGAAATTCTGCTATTTCTCACCGATGATGGCTTTGAATAGTAAATAACCTCAATGTGATTGCTCCTTTGAATGCATGGAACAATATCTATTTTGGTGATGTGAAAGAATTTGATACTAAACACTTTCACGCGTTGTCAAAAAAACAACTTGCTCTATTAGTGTCAAACCACTTCGAATCCGTGCAGCGCTTGATGTCGTACTTGACATTGTCATTTCCTCTCAAACAGGTGTCAAGGCAGACGAGCCAGTTATATCAGAGGCAAATGATGCCATCATTCAGAACAGTCAAGGCGAGATGTACTATTATGGCAAAGGCGTCCCACAAGATTACTTAAAAGCCTTTGACTGGTATCTCAAGGCAGCCAACCAAGGGTATGCCAGCGCTCAGTACAATTTAGGCTACATGTACCTTAAGGGCAAAGGTGTTCCACACGACTACTCAACAGCCTTTAGCTGGTTCCTCAAGGCTGCCAATCAAGGAGACGTTGATGCTCAGAACGCTCTAGGCGACATATACTCTGAAGGCAAAGGTGTTCCACGCGACTACTCAACAGCCTTTAACTGGTATCTCAAGGCTGCCAACCAAGGAGACGCTGATGCTCAGAACGCTCTAGGCGACATATACTACTATGCCAATGGCGTCCCACAAGACTATTCAAAGGCCATTGACTGGTATCTCAAGGCAGCCAACCAAGGAAATGCTGATGCTCAGTACACTCTAGGTGACATGCACCATAATGGTGATGGAGTTACACTCGACTATTCAAAGGCTATTGATTGGTATCTTAAAGCAGCCAACCAAGGCAATGCTGATGCTCAATTCAATCTTGGTTACATGTATTGTGCTGGCCACGGAGTTCCGCAAGATTACTCAAAAGCCTTTGACTGGTTTTTCAAGGCTGCCATCCAAGAAGATGCTGGTGCTCAGTACAAGTTAGGCTACATGTACTATCATGGCTATGGAGCTCCTCAAGATCACTCAATAGCTATCGAGTGGTATCTCAAGGCAGCATACCAAGGACATGCTGATGCTCAGTACCGGCTAGGTTACATGTACTCTAACGGCGAGGGTACCCCACAAGACTACGCAATAGCCTTCTACTGGTATCTCAAGGTTGCCAACCAAGGAAATGCCAGCGCTCAATTCAATCTCGGTCTGATGTACGAGTATGCTAATGGGGCTTCAAAAGACCACTCAAAAGCCTTTGGCTGGTATCTCAAGGCTGCCAATCAAGGACATTCTACTGCTCAGAGCAATCTAGGCGACATGTACTATAATGGCAATGGAGTCACACAGGACTACACAAAGGCCTTTGATTGGTATCTCAAGGCTGCCAACAAAGGATGTGCTAGTGCTCAACGCAAGGTTGCCTCGATGTATCGAGACGGCAAAGGAGTCTCTAAGGATCTTATTGAAGCAGTAAAGTGGTATCAAAAAGCTGCTGACCAAGGCGATGTTAATGCCCAGGGAATATTAGACAAGCTCCAGTGCTGAGGTCTCTTTCGTATATTTAATAGGGAGTGCCCGTTGGTGCGCCACGCTGCTGTAGTAAAGCACAGATAATTTAATACAACTGATTGTTTACTTGACATGATGATTACAAATTTACAAGTCCTATCTCCATCAGGAATTATTTCATGCCGGCCTATTTTCATTTTAGTTCCGTATTCTTGAATCTACGACCTATTCAATCAAACATCAATATGAGATTATGTAAACACAATCGATCTATAGTCAATGACATACCAAGAAACGGCGCATGTATTAATTTGCCTCCAGAGTAAATGGAGAAAATTGTGCAATATTCCCAAAGTCATCTGAATTAGCCTCTTTGATCCGACGACGTGACCAAAATTGTTCCGATATCCACTTATTTCCAAAGGGTGATGGCTCAGCAGAATAGAGGTGGATTCTATAAAGATGGGCAACATGTTAGAGTCCATGCCAGGAAGTCATGAACGGGTGCATTTTTCAACATTCTATACAAATTACTTCCATTTCTAGCCATCAAAAAACACGGACAAACCTCAAAATTTCTATGAAATTCTGTTATTGTATCTAAACTTTTTGTTTTTCATATTTTGATTCAAATTGAGTATTTTAAAACATATCCAGTTCATGACTTTCTGGCTAGGACTCTATAAAGTAACCACCTAATGGCATACTGTGAAATATGCAACATTAAGAAATGAAAATAGTAACCGTACTGTAAAAAAAGAAGTTTGAATTGTCGACAGATCGCAGGCTAATGAACTGATGCTAGCCTACATATCACAAATAAAGCTCTTTTGATAAACGCAGTAGATGATAAGATATGACTCTGGAAATAAGGACTTTTTTTTTTCTTTTTTCTTTTCAAGATGCTATTTGACAGAAGCAACTTCGTTGTATATTTGAGCCTGACGCTGTTAATCCTAGCACATAATGCTGTGAGCGGACAAAGGAGGAATACTTCCCTCACTATGCGTTCTTTCCGAGGTTGAGTCCCCACAAATGCTGTGAAGTATAGGGGACGGAAATGTTGGTTAGATTTATCATTGATGTGAAAGGAAGTGAACAAATGCTGACGTTGATAAAGATTAGTGGCAATCGGTTAGGTTGGTATAGTATGTATTGGCTAACATTCCGTAGAAAGGTTGCCAATATAAGAACAGCCCAAAAGACCGGCTGGTGTTAGCGAGTTCATTCGAGACCAAAATATACTTGATATTTATCCACTATCATAGGCTTCTTCTATATATATTATTCCTGTTCTTAGTATAGTTCCTGATTACTGGGATGACATCTTGTCAAGAAAGGTATAGAAGAAAATACAATTATGTAAAGAGCTTGTGAAACCTCTATAGCGAACGGTACATAATTGTAGGATTTGACACTGTGGATACGAGGTGATGGCGGGCATGGGATCTACAGGTGCCAAGCAACTATCTGATAATGTCTTTGAACGAATATTTGAACAGATAAGGCATGGTAGGGTAGATGTAAAGCACAGTAAAAAAAACCCCCAATACATCCACCTGGTTACCTGGTTTCAGTAGTTTCCAACGGCGAAAAAAAAAAAAAAAAAAAAAAAAAAAAAAGTCCAGCAGCCCACCTAAGACAAGGTTTTTATATTTCGCCAGTAAACTACCACTGTACCAAAAATGGGATGGCGTACTGTAAATACATGGCACACCCACACCGAAATAAAATAAAAAATAACAAAATAAAATATAAAAAATCTTACACCACATACCAATATATATCATGTCTATTAGCTGTTGATGCAAGTGTCACATGGTTGTTCGCGCGAATCAAGGTCGAAAGACCTAACCTTTAGTCAAAGTGTCGACCAACAGTGTCACGGATAGATTCCATGAGACTGTAGGCTTGGGAAAGGATAAGACAAGCGATGAGACAAATGATGAGACAAGCATGATGAATGAACATATGCAAAACAAAGTGCAACGGCGAGCTTCAACAAACACAGCCTTTTTTCGCGGGTAGTGGCCTTCCTTGAATGACCCAGAAGTTTGTTAGAGTATGGTTTTCACCAAACATTTCCCTCATCTCTCCTCTTTTTTCTCTTTATCTCTTTTCATGCCTCTCTTTTACCCCTGCCATCTTTACTCTCGATTCCAACAGCTCACAAGTAATGACGAAAACAGTTATTGAGGGGAAGTTCCAAGAATTTCATCCCATCAGCTCGGATGGATCATCACTCCCATTATCAGAGAACAAATATATAGAAGCTCGTTTCGACCAAAAAACACAAGAGTACATCATCCTCTGGAGTGACATTACATCTGTCTACAAGAATGCATGCCATCTAGAAGTTGGTGGGAAGGTTATTTCCTTTCTCGCAGACGAGGATTTTGAATAGTAAATAGACCATTAGTTATTGCTCTTAACATGGATAATATCTATTTTGGTACAGCTTGGTATTTGGGGTTAACTTGACCATAGTGCAACTTGTATAATAGTATCAAGCCATATCGGATCCATGCGGAGCTAGATATCGTACTGGATGTAGTCATTTCTTCTCAAGTAGACACTTCAAATGAACCAGATACTACAGTAATGCAAGGAAGTAAGGAAGAATCGGATATATCGGAGCTGAATGAAGTTACGCAAAGGAGAATGGAGGGGTTGGCTGCATCAGAGTTGAATGAAGTCATGTCCCCTGGTTATGTCAAAAAATCCGACCACAATGGTCCGCAAAGCCTCGAGACACAAGCAAGCAGTCTTTCCATAAGAGAAAATGATACAAGATGTCCGACTATAACCATATCTCAACCAAAAAATATCCCAATGAATGAATCAAAGGTCTTAGTGAAGCTAACTGTCCAGGAGAATGTTGAAATGGCAGCAGCTCTGCTTGATGAAGAAAAAGGAGATGCAGATAAAGAAGATGTCGCAACTCAAAACACATTAGGTAAGGCGTACGTTGGTGGAAATGGGGCCCCACAAGACTACTTGGAAGGTTTCAAGCGGAATCTCGAGGCAGCCAACCAAGGAGAAGCTGATGCTCAGTACAACCTAGGTGACATGTACTATTATGGGAGGGGTGTTCCACAAGACTATACGAAAGCCTTTGACTGGTATCTTAAGGCAGCCAACCAAGGAAGTGCTGCTGCTCAGAACAGTCTAGGCCACATGTATCAATATGGCAATGGGGTCCCACAAGACTACTCAAAAGCTCTTGACTGGTATCTCAAGTCTGCCAACCAGGGAAATGTTGCTCAGAGTAATCTAAATCATATTCGCCAACTTGGCAAAAACGTCCCACAAGACTACTCAATAGCCATGGACTGGGTTCTCAAGGCTGCCAACCAAGGAGAAGCTGATGCTCAGTACAAACTAGGTGACATGTACTATTATGGGAGAGATGTTCCACAAGACTATACGGAAGCACTTGAATGGTATCTTAAGGCTGCCAACCAAGGAAGTGCTGCTGCTCAGAACAGTCTAGGCCACATATATCAATATGGCGAAGGCGTCCCACAAGACTACTCAAAAGCCTTTGACTGGTTTCTCAAGGCTGCCAACCAGGGAGAAGGTGATGCTCAGCTCCTTCTAGGCCGCATGTACCATCGTGGCGAAGGCGTCCCACAAGACCACTCAAAAGCCATGGACTGCTATCTCAAGGCTGCCAATCAGGGAAATGCCACTGCTCAGTACGCCGTTACCTCTGCTCAGTACGCCGTTGCCTCAATGTATCAATATGGAAAAGGAGTCCCTAGGGATCATGTTGAAGCGAGACAGTGCATCTTTCTCTGAATACTCTTATGTTCTTTTTTAATTTCGGAAAATGAGATGATCATTTTTAGAAATCAAAGTAATAACCATGGAAAAGAAGTTTGGATTGTCGATCGTAGATTAATGAGCTGATGCTAGCCTACAGATTACAAATTAAGGCCCTTTTGATAGGTGTAGTGGATGGTTTAGATATTAAAATACTTTTTATATTTTATTGTTAGATGATGTTTGATAGAGGTAGTTCTTTTGGTTATTTGGAACTGACGCTGTTAGCGTTGATATATAGTGCTTTGAATAAGTAAGGCATTTCTATTTCTATGCCTCCTTTCGAGGACTATGAGAGTTCCCAAAGGTTGTAAAGTAGGAGACATAATGTGGTCAGATCTGATATTGGTATGGAAGAAATCGAACATTTGCAAGCGATGTTTGCAAAAAATTGGTGACAATTGGTCAAGTTGGTATATAATGTGGAAAATGTAGATATTGACCAACGTTTCGTAGAAGATTACCAATGAAGGGTAAGGGCAGCCTATGAAGATCGGGTCAAGCGAGATAACTCGAAGATAAAATTGAATTAAGCATTTATTCAGAGACGATGGCAAATCTATTTAAGAAGTAGATCCTGTACTCTGATATTTTGCATAGTTATAAGAGACTGTGACATATTGATAGAGAAGGCCATGAGGCTGTGCGTTTGAGAATGGTGAACATGAGGCCCTCAGGTGCCAAGCAAATGCTTGACAAGATCTTCAAACAGGTATTTGAAGCACGTAATGCATAGGTGCTGCGGTGAAAATAAAAAATGAAGGGACTCTAAATTAAGCACCTTTTCACTCTTTATATTCATGTGTACATATCCAGCTTGGAATCACAACTCGACTTTAATACATACCCATTATTATAGCTTCGCTTTAGATTTGTTTATTTGTGAATATGTATCAGTTGGTTCACTGGCATATGAAATGGTGCATGTGTATGTCGACAACGACAGCGACAATGACAATGACAACGGTCATTGCGGGGCCCTTAGTTGTGAAGGGATTGGACAACGGATCAATAGATTATCATTCATGTCTCCATGTCTTTGGGAAACCTGTTTGAGCTGTGATATAAAAATATGTAATTGACAAAAAGAAAAAGAAGCTTGAATTATTTTTATAATTGCAAACATACATGTACAGTACACACGTGTACACATGACTTTAGGCACTGTTCATTTTTCCAGCCTCAGTCACACTCAGTCCATGGAATGGGAAATGATTAAATTTTTTTTTCTGTGAAAGTGTATCCGTGGGCTGCCAAAAATAAACCAAACCTTAATTGGGACTAAACAAGGTGTTGTATTTATTTGTGTAATGGGACATTGGATGTGATGTATGGGTTTGCTTTTCGGTCATTGCCACGGATACACTCTTCCCCATCTGTTTACACCCTATTCTCTCTTTCTCTCTCTTTCTCTCTTTCATTCTTTTTCTTCTTTCTCTCTTCCCTTTCCTTTCCTGTACTCAATTCAATTCAATTCATTCCAGTTCAAATCTGATTGACAACCCAATACTTCATCTCAATCCATCCTCATCTCCATCCTCATCTCCATCTTCATTCTCATCCCTACATCTCTTCTAAGCTCAGCATATAAGCAATTGTTATCCATATCCATATCCATATTCATATCCATATCCATATCCATATCCCAATCTCTTTCTTATTAGCTTTTTATTCCTTTTTCCCATCAAACGTTACTTGTACACAAATATCATTAGTACATCTCCCCTTCCGTCTCTTCACTTTATCTTTTACTTCTCTTTTCATCCCATGTCTGCCCCAACAGCCCCTACGCGGACAAGGACGCCATCCATCTCTGCCACCACTGTTATCCTTCATGCAGACGCTCACCCCCACCCCCATACGCACGCCCATGCACAGTTTCAATTAAATCAATATCAACATCAACAACAAGAGCCGGCGCAAGAGAGCAATGTCACTTTTCCATTTCATCAAATGCACCCTTGGTCCACAAAACGTGCCATGATTGCTGCTGAATCCGAAATCTCTCCACCTGTCTCACCCAAACAGCAGGCTGTTCTCGTCGGTTCAGACATGGGTACAGGTGCGATCGAAAACGATACAAGCAAATCAACTCTACCTCCAGTTGGATGGAACACCACCATCAGTCATAGATATGAGCACGAGCAAAGCAACAGTGATGCTGGCGATGGCGATGACGGTGATGATGAGGATAGCCATCATGACACTCTGAGTGAAAATAGCAATGACCACGATAGCGATGATACTCTCTCTTCACCCCCTTATGCACATAGCCACTTTTATCCATACTCTTCTTATACCCACCAGCGGCACCACCATCATTCACTTCAAGGCTCACCAACAAGTGCTAATCATTCTATGAGACTTGAGCCCGTATCGGCTGGCTTGCTACTCTCCCGTTTAGACTATTCCTCTTCCACAGCATCATCCAGCTCCGTTTCAGTCGCATCCTCTGCATCATCTTCCTCAACCTCTCTCTCCTCCGTATCATCATCCAAATCAGCCCGCAATGTCCTCTCGTCATCAACAGTAGCATCAGCACCATCTTCATCATCATCATCATCATCATCATCATCGCTTGGAAGGTTAGAGATTGAAAGGACCTCGGAGTTACTTCTCTTTAACAGCCCACCCAGCAGTCATGCGTCCTCTCCTTCATCACCTTCCTATCCAGCCTTAAAAGGAGGATTTGGATTCCCTTCTCATCCCACAACGACGAAGATGACAACGACAACGACAGCAACAACAACGACGACGACAAGTTCATTACATGTTATGGATCCAAAAGAAACAGCCACAACAACTTCAAAGAGAGCTCCTTGGCATTGTACCAAGAAATCGATTCCACAAATCATTCGTGAGATTTCAGAGGCGTTGGATGGACGGGACAAGATGATAAAGGTAGTTCAGTACTTTGCCAAGGTCTTTCTCTGGCTCTTCTTGTCGAACCCAGTTCAATACAAGGTCCTTGCCACACGTATCAAGGCTCTTGCGAAACAATTTTCAACGACGCGTAAAGTATTTCGGTTAGGTCACTTTGTGGACCCATTGGCGTCGGTGTTGATGTTGGCAGTAACATTGAAGACCAATGTGTCGAAGCATGGTCTGAGACGGACTGTGATGACCAAGCCCGCGACCCAAACCTGGAGAAACAGTGTCCGGGATCGATTGGGTAGTCTGAACACTGTGCTTGGGTTCGTTCAAGATATCTCGGATGACATTTACTGTTTAGGAGCCATCGGAGTCCTTGACAGGGACTTTACAGACAAAGCAGAACCATGGTCGAATCGATTGTGGATGATGGGAGTATCGATTGATTTGCACGAGAATCTGCAGAGTATCCGAGATGTGAAGGAGCAGATCAAGGCTCTTGAGAGCAAGATCCACAGTAGTGATAAGGAGGAGGAGGAGGAAGAGAGGGCAAAGGCTGTAGCACAGCACTTGAAGTTGAGGACTAAACTGCACTGGTTGCAGGTTACCACTGTCAAACTTGGGGGTGACTTTTTGTTCTGTGGTAAGTCAATCCATCCTACATACAAGGTCCATTTAAAAAACAAAAGTTTTTTTTAATGAGTGAAATAACTAATTTGTTTATATTTTGGTCTCTGTTTTGATCAATAGCATATGATAACCTTCACTGCTCCTTCTCCGATGGATTCCAGGCAGTGACAGGTCTTATCTCCGGCATTGCTGGTGCTTACAAATTTGTAGGCAAGGTCATGGAGTCATAAAAAAAAAAAAGTTATCTCTAGTTCTGTTTCTCTTTATCTCCTTTCCCTTTTTGATTCTCCTCAACCTCTTTCTCCGACCAAAAGATGATAGATAGATCGGTATAACTTACTCCTATCACATCTTTCCTTTTATCCACACACCCATTCATTGTTCAAAAAAAAAAAAAGGTATCGTCGTTATACTTTTTTTTCGAAGCAGGTTTTGCTTATCTCTTTTTTTCACAAATACAAAACATGTCATATTTCCTCTCATTTCCTCTTTCTTTCTCTCTCTCTCTCTCTCTCTCTCTCTCTCTCTCTCTCTCTCTCTCTCTCTCTTTCTCTCTCTTATGCTCATATTTTGCAGAGAGATATATATATATAGATATTTATATATTCAAATACCCATGAACTATTAATGTTCCATTAATTAAAAAAAATAAAATGCAATTAAAAGTCTTATATTCATATACATTTATAACATTATTCTGATTATTTTTTTTTTCTTTTCTCTTTACTGATAAACGTAATGGTTATGATACACGTTGCGAGAGACGCGACTATGATTGTTTCCTCTCTCCCCCAACTGCAAAAATAATAAAAAATATAAAGACGCGTGTGTGTTTCTTCTATTCTTATTCTTAAAATACAAAATTAAGTTTTTTTTTTTTTTTTTTTTTTTTTTTTTCTTTCCCCTCTTCTCTTTCTGCCTTTATATCTCCCCTCACCCTTCGTTTGCTTTTTTGTTTTGTTTTTTGTTTTTTTGTTTTTTTGTTTTGTTTTTTCTTTGTTCTACGACCGACTCTGGTCCTCTGCAATATCTCGTAAGGCGAGGGTGATTTCATGCAAGAGGGCCTTGGCCTCCGAGACTGCGGCTTCATAATCCTCAGTGGCTTGAGCGTTCTGTTGAGCTAAAGATTCGAGATCTTGGGTCTGATCTTCAGGCGTTTGGGAGATCCCCGGTAGGTTTTCGATCAATGTTTCGAGTTCTTTTGCTTGACGACTGATATCGAGAGCGAGTTCTTGTGCGGAGCCTTTTATATATACGTGTATGTGTATATGTTATGTGTATGTGTGTGGTGTGAATATGTCAATTTATGGCAATGTTGTATCGACATGTTATGACATGATATGACATTGGTATGGAATGATATTATGGTATGGTATGGTATGGGTATTGAGGAAACGGAGGAAAGCCATACGTACTTTGAAGTTGTTCATGTGGCATGCCATGTACTAATAGAAGAGTAAAATAAAATAAGCAAGCAATAGATAAACATAAAGAGTCCTAGGATATGTGAAAGAAATAACTTTTTATTAATTTTATTTTATTTTATGTTGTTTTTTTTATCTTACCTGTGACAACAGGCACTTCTGAGTTGAGGGGAACTAAAGGTGCATTCTTGGTAAGGTGATCAAGCGAGGAGACAAACAGCAGAGCCAATTTGTCAATGGCATCCTGCAACTGTGTAAGCCGATCCATCTTTCCTTGAATAGCAAAGTTAAAAAAAAAAAAAAAATAAAAAAAAAATGGCAATTACAATCGTAAAATAAATTCCAAAAGGAGGGATAAATATGGAGAATAAAAATAAAGAATGATTTTGATGGTTTAGATTTAGATCAGACCATGGTCCAAAAAAAAAATAATCTGCAAACAAACTGATGAATGTAGTAGGATGGTTGATCGTCCTTCCTTCCTTCCTTCCTTCCTTCCTTTCTCCTCTGTTTTATAAAAAGTTTTAGAATTAAAAAAACGAGTTGAACTATGCTAGAAGGAGTGGGGAAGCGACGCGTTTTATTATTTATTCCATGGTTTCATGGTTTACTTTCAATTTCTTTTACAGTTCTAAGCCACCCGTTAACTTCGTTCGTTTTCTTTGTGGGGGGGCGAAGACGAAGAAAGACGAAAAGCGTCTGTCTGTCTTTTTTACTTTACTCACATTCATTAATTCATTAACAGTTGACGTTAATTTATTCAGTCCATCAAATAAAAAAGGACTCATGTCAGACTCTGATGATACTGCAACTGCACGGAAAGCACAGCCAAAGCCACGCCCACGCCCACGTCGTATGGGTGGCAAAGCTGCTGCTGTCGTTGGCACAGCCCCTGTAGAAACCACTGCTACTACTACTACTACTACTACTACTACTACTGCGACTACTACTGCGACTACTACTGCGACTACTACTGCGACTACTACGACTACAACAACAGTAACTTGCCCACTCAAAAGATCAGACTCTGCCGATATCATTTCTTCCTCAACCTCAGCCTCAGCCTCATCTTCATGTTTGTCCCCACCCCATGCTAGGAGGAGGATCGAGGATGATTTCTTTAGTAAAGCAAAGGCGTATCGAGCCGTGTTTAAAGTGCAAGGTATTTTTTTTTTTTTTTTTTTTTTATCTCAGATTAAAACATCTGCAATCATTTTTGCCACCTTAATTATTGAAATCTTGTTAAGTTATCTTTTACAAACACTACTCTTTTTCTCTTTTTATTTTTTATTTTAATTTTTTTATTTTTATTTTTTATTTTTCATTTTTCATTTTTCATTTTTCACTTTTCTTTTCACACACATCTTTGTTGTCCATTCATCTGAAAGAGAGCACATTTTTGTCCGAGCAACAATCAGAGGCCAAGGTGGAAGAGTCTCCGGTATTAGATCCCATTCCTGTGATAGATAACGATGAAATCCCAGTATTCGATTTTGAAGATGAAGCAAAGTAAAGTAAATTAGTAATAGGCATTAAGTTAAGCCCTTGTGGGAAGAGGTACGGGCGAGAGAGACTATCGAGCATTCTCTTTCCCCACCCTCTTTTTTTTTTTTTTTTTTTTTTTTTTTTTTGATCAAGGAAGTATTTCATTGCTAACTTACAATGTATCCATCTTAAATTACGTTACATACTTTCTGTAGAATCGTTGAGAAACCAATTCAAAAAGAACAAGCGGAAGTAATAGAACCGAAACGAAAACGGGAGATTTCGTTAACACCGCCACCAGAGTTACCACCCTCTTTATCACAACAACGATCAAGATCGTAAGTTACAAAGAAAGAAAGAAAAAAAAAAAGCTGTCAAGAGAAAAGCTCAGGAATGTAGGAATGATTAACGAAATGCCCTTCATTCGAGAACTAACAGTAAAGGAAAAACAAAAAAAAAAAAAAAAAAAATTCCTGTTACTCATTGAAATAGTAAATATATGCAGGCATCGACAACGTCAGGAGCAGTGCAGATCAATTTGGATGATGACGATGTTAACAATAATGATGATGATGATGATCTAATAGGAGATACAAGTGCTGAACTGGATCCGGAACTTTTATCGATCGCTGCAAAAGTCATCTCACATTCCTCACACTTGAAATCGCCGAGTCCATCTCAAAATTCCAGCTCTCAACCAACACTATCAATGTCACAGGACATGAATAACAGTAACAACAACAACAACAACAACAACAACAACAATAACTATAGCTCACCATCAATACCCACGAATGCATCATTCGATCCTCTTTCATTTCCGGGATATGATCACCTATCTTCATCAGCTTCATTATCAACGTCAGCCTCACCGCTCAGATCACCTCCTTTATCATCGCCAGCACCATCAACACCACCGACATCATCACGACAGATCAATGTTTTGTTCAGGATGATCCGACATCCCTTGTTAAACCCTCGTCCTGAGCATGAATTGGCCATGAGGGAATTGGAGAAGGATATCAAAGTGGCCATCAGATCCGTACGTCCCCCTCTAGGCTTTTTTTTTGTTTTGTCTTGTTTTGTCTTGTTTTGTTTTGTTTTTCGCGGACCAAATCCCTTGGAGTGGAAACTGGAAAAAAGAAGACGTACGTTATATTGATATTGTCAAACGTATATAATTATGAATAGGACACGACGTTCCGCAAGGCCATGGAGTTTTATTGTCAACAAAAACGGATTCAAAACACAAATCTGATCTTCACCTTCCGTGGATCACGAATGATGCCCAGCTCAACACCCGATCGATTACAGTTTCCGGAATATGCGGTAGTGGAAGTATATGAACAGAGTGCATACAAGTACATGAAAGAACAAGAGGCACGAAAGTTGGAGGAGCTAGATCGAAAAGCACAGGAGGAGTTGGCGCTCTTGCAACCAACGGCCACAGGGAATAAGGTGGAAGGAAAAGAAAGTGGACAAGATAAAGAAGAAGAAGAAGACGAAGAAGAAGAAGAAGGAGCAGGAAAACAGGGTGATGATCATGAACATTTATTTATCAAAATCCGAGGCAAGGATACTGCGGACGAAAAGATTCGTGTCAAAAAGGTACGTCTTTTTTTTTTTTTTTTTTTTATTTTTTTTATTTTTTTCTTTTTCTATGAAAGATATATATAATATAATATACTATATATAATATGTACGAATGCCCTAATCTAAACGCCAATCCCTATTCTTATATTTATCCTTATTCATTTGTAGACGACGACTATCCAGGCGATTCTACTGCATTACAAGAATATCAAGAAGATCCCTCCAAGTACGGATGTAAAGCTTGAGTTTGACGATGAAGCCCTGAATCCTTCCCTAACCATTGGTGAAACAGACATTGAGGACGATGACATGTTGGTTGTCCGTCTCTCGTCATAGTCATAGTCATAGTCATAGTCATAGTAGTCATAGTCATCATAGAGACCCTCTTCCCCACCAACCGTTAAAAAAAACTTGTACAACATACTAATAAAAAAAAAAAAATCAAACAACTTTTTTTTTTTTTTTTTTTGTTTTTTTGTTTTTATTCTTTTTGAAAACGTGTAAATGTCTATTCTGTTCATGTAAATGATTCTAAAAGAGAGAAAGAAAGAAAAAGAAAGAGAGAAAGAGCGAAAGAAAAGCAAAGGTTTATATTTAATTGTACAGGGGTGAAAGGGCAAAATCTTGACTTGGTCAACTTTTTTTTTTTTTTTTTTTTTTTTTTTAAAAAAAAAAGGATAAAAAGACAAAATGAAACACATAGATAGACAGGTAGATAGATAGATAGATAGATAGATAAATAGATAAGTAGATAGAGATAAATAGATAAATAGATAAATAGATAAATAGATAAGATCGTGAGAGAGAAAAAAAAAAAAAAAAAAAAAAGGGTATCAACAAACAGAAGTAAAGGGTGTGGAGGGGAGGGAGTGTAGGCTCTTTTTCTTTTTTTTTTTTTTTTTTTTTTCTTCTTTTTTTCCCCCCTCTTTCTTCCTTCCTTTTAAAAGACAAGGCCCTTCGAGGAGGATACGGGTGCAGAGGCAGAAGAGACCATCATGGATGGATGAGGGATTGTAGTAGTAGCAGATGTAACGGGGGTAGCACAAGTTGTAGTAGTTCTACCACCAGCAGCAGCAGCAGCAGCAGTACCGGCAGTCTTACGACCAACAGCAACATGATAGACCTGATAACTCTTCAAGGTCCTCATCTCCTGTCGAGCACGTTCCAACATCTCATCGAATTCAGATCCCGACAACATGGCCTGTCGCATTAACCAGGGGCGAACGTTCAATGCACAACGCCACCACAACAGCTCTGAAGCCAAACCGACTCGTCCTCCATGAAGACCCACGGGCATGTTCACACTGGACTTGTGCGTTACTTCCATCCCCGGCATCGTCCTCAGGATCCCTCCCAGGTTCAGGGCCAAGGAGGTATCGATCCCCAGTTTATCAAACCCAATCAGGGTCCAATAGCTTGGCCAGCAGCTATCCACACCCGAATCCCTCAGCCTCGAGTCCAACTCGACCAGCTCCAAATACCCATCCACTTTCAAGACCCTGACCAATTCTCTCAAGAAGGTCAGGTATTTGGTCTTGCTGATATTGGGTAGGAATCGACGGACATGGATATAATCCACAGAGTTGGACACGAACGGGATCTGAAGAGAATTCTCATCCAGGTTATAAAAGAATAAGTTTTCAAGATCAAAACTTGGTGTTGTCTCTGGAACGGCTGGCAATGAGGGGATCTGACTGACATTGATGGCATGGACTGCAGATTGGGGATGAGCCAGGGCCATCTCTGTGGCCCATTGAGTGTTTCCACATCCCACAGACAAGATCACAAGCGATCGTTCGTCCTCTACCTTTGGAGGAGGGATGACCATTGGAGAACGACGGTGATGATGACGATGATGATTGGGGGTGGTCATAGAACAAGAGGAGGATAGAGAAGAAGAACGAGAGTGAGAGCGTGAGGCCAATTCTGGTTCAAGCTCCTTGTTATCGTCGCAGTCGGTATGATGGTCGTTGTCTTGAAGAATAATGGGTTGATGTCCTTCTTCTTCTTCTTCTTCTTCTTCTTCTTCTTCTGCTTCTGCTTCTGCTTCATCACAGAGAGAATCATGTCTGTTGATCTTTTCATGTGTCAATTCTCCATCTTGATTCTGTTGTTGAAGATGTCTTTCATCATCAGAGTGTTTAGAGAAATCGAGGGGTGCGGAGTAATTCTGTCCCTTGAACAAAGCTCGGGTGAGATGTTGTTCCACTGTATAACTATTTGGATGATCGACAAAGTAAGAAAGAAATTAAAAAAAAAAAAAAAAAAACGTTTTTGGTTAATAGACTTAATAGGATAGAGAATAAAGAATAAAAGGAAATTAGAATTAGAATTACAAAAAAAGTAAAAAAAAAAAAAAAACAAAACGTGGTTTTAATTAAACGATTTGATCTCGTCACTGTTTCGCATTTTTTTTTTTTTTTTTTTTTTTTTTTCGCTCTCAGATAAACTCAACTCTCATCTCACACTTTTTTTTTCTTTTTTAGAACCATTCTTTAGTGATTTGCCCTTTTTTTACTTATATATATATATCATGATCAAGATTTATCCGAGAAAAAAAAAAAAAAAAAAAAAAAAAGAAAGAAAGAAAGAAAGAAAGAAAGAAAAAAGGCAGAAAGGCCATATCTTTCATACAACGTACAAAGCGGAAAGGAAAAGGAAAAAAAAAAAAAAAAAAAAAAAAAAAAACCGTTAAAAGGAACAAATTACGTTTAAAGAATAAAAGGTTTAAAATGAATGCAATGCACCAACAGCCCTCAAAGTCCAGACTCAAATGCAAATGCAAATGCACAAATCCAAATCCAAATCCAAATCCAAATCCAAATCCAAAAAAAAAAAGGTGATAGCTGCAGATGATGAAGCGGGCAAGATAGATAGGGGAGAAGAGTGAGAGGAAATAGAATACTGCTACATGGAGAAACAAATGTAAAAAAAAAAAAAAAAAGCAATAGAATGAATAGAGTAGTAGAGCAGAGCAGAGCAGAGCAAAGCAGAGTAGAGAGATCATGCGGAGAAAAAAGCAAAAAGTCTTTTTTTTTTTCCGGACCATGCGAGATACCCACGCGTCAATCCTTTTTCTTTTTTTGTGTCACTGAACAGAAAATCAAACCGTTGAGCAATGCTGAGTTGCTATCGAACTTTTTTTTTTTTTTTTTTTTTTTTGGTCATGGGCTTTTTTTTTTTGTTTATGCTCTTCGCCAGCCAAGGCTTTTTTTTTTGTAAACTCCAAAGCTGAATATGTATGCTGGGCCGGTTTAAAAATATGAATAACATTTTTTTTTTTGGGTTCCGTTTTGGGAAAGAATTGGAACACATTTGCAAGCATGAACCATGCAAGAAAAGGAAACAAAGCAACAAAGCAAAAAGTAAAAAGTAACACAGAAAAGAGAGACTTGCCTGTCCATCATATCCCAAGGACCACCATCGTGCTCAAGTCCCTCTGGAATGTCGTCTGACCATTCTTGCTCGCCTGCCCACCGACCCTGATTACCCCATTCAGATACAGAGATGCAGGATACATCATGCGTCGATGGAATGCATTCGATCCCTACTAGACGCTGTCCACATGGACAGCTCTGATTCTGAATGTGATTGTGAGTGTGAGTGTGGTTATGGTTGCTGTTGTTGTCGGTGATTTGTAGAGATATCTCTGGGTGTTGATGATGATACTCTGATGATGATCCGTTGGGAAAGGGAATAGAAGAGACCCCATTAGGACAACACTCCATCGTCGTAGGTGATGCCGGAGCTGAATTGAATAAAGTCGCGTTAGTTGACAGATTGTTGCAATCATTGTTGTTATTGTTGTTATTGTTACTACTGTTGTTTTGGTGAAAGGTGGATGGGAAAATATGTGGAGGAAGTAGGTTACGTTTCATAAACGTGGCCAACTTTTGTTCCTGTCGAGGGTGATAATCCTGTATTGATGCTGCTACAGGACTGGTCGGTTGAGAAGATCGGGAGATTTGGAGGGAGGAAGGATGTGATGAATGGGTATAGCTACTGCCATGACTATGGCTGTGGCTATAACTATGACTATGACTATGACTATGACTATGACTGTAGCTATGACTGTAGCCATGGCTATGACTCTGACTATGGCTGTAACTATGACTGTGACCATGACCATGGCCATGTCTATGACCGAGAGTATTAAGAGTCTGCTGAGGAGGATTATTATTGCAATTATTATTATTACTCTGGTATGAATGAGGGGCCACAGGCGTGGTCGGGGTCGCAGCAGCTGTCAAGGCCGGTGTCGTTGCAGTTGTCGTTGTTGTGGGAGTGCTAGAGAGTGAATTGAGGTTTGAGTTTAGGTTGGAGGAGTCGGAGAGGTAAAAACATGTTTGCCAAGTACAATGCGGTTGTTGCTGCAGTTGCTGTTGCTGTTGCTGTTGTTGTTGTTGTTGTTGTTGTTGTTGTTGTTGTTGTTGTTGCTGCTGTTGTTGTTGTGGTTGAGACATATCCATGTTTTGAAGATCTTGCAAGTTTTGTAGGTTTTTGAAGAGTTGATTGTGATCAAGGACAGTAGGGGCCCTGGAACGTTTACCACGGAAGAATCCAATGGAGCCACGTCTGCCTGCAGGAAAGGGCGGTGCACCTTCGTCAGAGATGGGGAAGATCTCTTTCCGTTCAGCATCCTTGATGTTGTTACGACGGGGGATGGTAGGGGGCAATGAGACAGAGGACACGTTGCGGTGATTACCCTGCAAAGGTTCTGTGGAGGTAGAAGGCAGATTGCCCATTCGTGTGAATGACTGAAGGAAATGAATGGTGGGCGGAATTTTGAATTTGTTTTTTTCTTTGAAAGGGAGAAAGGAAGGAAGAGGAGCAGCAGAGGAAGCTGTGAAGAAGAAGAAGAAGAAGAAGAAGAAGAAAGACGACAAGGACCAAGAGAAGACTTTTTTGCAAGTAAAGACAAGGAAGAAGAAGAAGAAGAGGAAGAAGAAGAAGGAGAAAGAAGAGAAGAAAAGAAAAGCGAAGGAGACAAAGGGGATAGATAAATAAGGAAAGGATAGGATGAGGCTGGTTACCCGTCGTGAGGATGGGATTGGGTATGGAGGAGAAAGCCGCTAAGGATTACTAAAAGTGCAAAGAATGAAAAGTATGAAAAGTATGAAAGGTATGAAAAGGAAAAAACGAGCGAATAAAGAAAGGACTGAGGAATTGGAAATTGAAATGGAATGAACGATGCAAACAATGAAGAAGAAACAATGAAGAAGAAACAATGAAGAAGAAACAATGAAGAAGAAGAAGAAGAAGAAGAAGAAGAGGAGAAAAGAGAAAAGAAAAAAGAGAAAAGGACCATTGGATTGGAGTTAGTGGGATGAATCAACAGGTAAACAACAAAAAAGAATTTGCATTCATTTCATATCATGTCATGTCCATCACAATATATCCAGCATGTTCATCATGTTCATCATGTTCATCGTGTTCATGTTCATATCCCATATTCACATTCATCCAAGTAACACACAGAATGTGCCCATCTTGTTCATGTTTGGATTCATATCCATTTGTCCATTTGTGTGTCCCTTCCTTTACCATCCCATCCCTCCATCCCCCTCTTTTTTCCTCGTTCACTTTCTTTCGTCCTCATCTTCTTTCCCTGCTTTGTCTCTGTCCCCTCTTTCTTTTAAAAAAAGCTGTTTAATCTGCAGTGCACGAACTGCTCCCCGAGAAATAAAAGAGTCGTTTTTAAAAAAGAAGGGTGAAAAAGTGAAAGAGAAAGGGAAAAAGACAAAGGTGAAGAGGGGGGTCTCAAACAACGAATGCAAACAGCAACTCTAAACAACAAACATCCAGCACATACAGCACAAACGATCCAAGGAATCAATGTTTGTACACAACAAAGATCGATAGACTGACTGACTGACTGACTGACTGACTGACTGACTGGGATGGCATGAACATGAACATGAACATGGGATTGATTTGATAGTTGAAATGAATCTTTTTTTTTTTTTTTTTTTTATGTAATCATAATCCCAATTGTTGTATCTGTATCTGTGTCTTGATGCTTGATGAGTGGAGGTGTAATAAAAAAGACAGAGATAGAGGCGGAGCGGATTGTTTAGCACTGTGTAGCATCCAATGCAACTTGAATGCGGTGTGGTGTGACGAACAAAACACTTGAGCAAACAACACGAATCCCCGAGTCGTGTTTTTTTTTTTCTTTTTTCTTTAATCTTTTTTCTTTTCTTTGTCTCTTTCTCTTCTTGACATGTTCTCTTCAAGGATAGAAAGCTCATTGATTGACTTTAATTTCTTGTTCTCTCTCTTTTACAAACCAATTGGTTGATTGATTGACTGATTAACAAACAAAGTAATACCACACAAAAGCACTGATGAATAAATAAAGAATAACTATATTTATACAATAGTTTTCTTTTTAATGATACAGAGTGCATTCATTCAAAGTCATGGAAGAAAAAGTATATGCCAAGATGTTGCTTATGTATGAATGGGGGCGATACGGGGGTAAGGGGGGGATGATGGAATTTTCAAACTGCCCTGTCCTGCCCTGCTCTGCCCTGTTTTGCTCTGTTCTGCCCTGGACATCTTGCGCCCCCCCTCCACTTCCCCCCAATGGGAGAAAGGGGGAAAGGGGAAAAAATGGGAAAAAAAAAAAAAAAAAAAAAAAAAAACATTACAATGAATGGAAAAAAGGATATACGCCTTATTCTTTCAAGTGATAACGGTTTCCCAAGAACTAAACCCTCTTCTTTTTTTCTTTTTTTTTTTACAACTTGGTTGATCAATGAATTACATTTACTTTTTTGATTTCATTCCTCTGTTCAACCTTCTTGCTCCACTTTCGATCCAAACACGCGAGAAGATTGGACTAGGGGAAGAAAGAGAACACGTTGTGGCAATCGGTTTCTGATCCGCATCCTCCATTGGTGTCTCACCCATTTCCTCTTTTTTTAGCTTTAGCTTTTTTGATGATGACTTTTAGTTGTCACAATGAAGTCGAAGAAATATTAAAAAACTACTTTTATGGAATAACTGGAGTAGACAGAATATGTAATCATTTATATATCTACCTGTTGAACGAATGGACGAATTGACCTTGTTCCAACTGGATCAATAGGGACAATAGTATATAAAAAAAGAAAGGACTAGGTACTGTTGTGGAATAGAATGGAATGCAAAAAGGAATGATGAATCGAATGAGTGAGGAAGTGTGTGAGAATGAGTTTTTACAACAAGTGAAGAAAACAATATGCAAACATGTAAAGAGAAGATAAAAAGGATTCTGTTTATGTTCCACAGCCTTGTGTAGACTCTGTGGAGAATTTGTTTGTTATTTTTTTTTTTTATTTATGTGGAGCAGAATTAATGAATGAAAGATTTGAAGAAGACAGAAACAGATAGAGAGAGATTGAGAGAGAAAGAAGAAGACAAGAAGAAAGAGTAAATAGAAAAATAGACCAAAGCAGAAGCAGAACAAAATAAATAAATAAATAATATTTATATATATAATCGAGAAATGACATTATAGTTTAGGCTATGACCATGGGTCATGGGCGATGACATTGACATGGATAACGACAATGTGTCAATGGTCAATGGTCAATGGCTCAATGGTGAATGTCATTATTAATTTAATCATTTCATTTTACTTTATTTTAAAATAAGAAAAGGGACAGGGACAGTTTACGCTATTTTTCTGTACTGAACATCTAGAGTCGAGTTAGCCCTAGCTTGGAGCTGAGATACAAAAATAAGAATGAAATGATTGTTTTCATTTCATTCTTCTTTTATTCATCTATCTATCTATCTCTCTCTTATCCCTATCCTTGTGGTTTTTATTGTTTCTCGCTTTTCTTTTTTTTTCTTTCTTTTTTTTTTTTTTTTTTTTCCCTCGGGAAGGATAAGATGTTTACAAATCATCGACAGGAGGTGAATGAATACAGTAACAAACAAATCAAAATAATAAAATGAATTTCTTTTTTTCTTACGCTCCATCCATGCCTTACAGCAAGGGCGGTAAAAGTATATCTATATCTATATCTATATAAATATAAATATAAATATACACAAACAAGTTTAAAGATGAATCTCGGTTAAACACGGGAACATGACATGACATGGCATGGCATGGCATGGCATGATGCCAGATCCAGAGATGCTATCAAGAACTAACGTTGGATCTTTGCTAGAACGTGTCTGTACAGTCTGACATACAATCGCATACAACATGCAACATGCAATATATAAAACATACAACATACAACATACAACATACACACATAAGAGATCATACATTCTGAACTCAACCTCCATCTCCCATTGGTTCATATAATATCATCACAAGCCAACTCAATCGTCACCTCAATCATGAACAAAAAGAATATGGAACGTTGGAAACTAGGACCAATCAGGTTAGAACTGAAAAAAAAAAAACTGTAAAAAAAAAAAAAAAAAACGAAAACATATCTATACAACAATATATATACATTTATATCAAAGAGAAAATAAGAAAGAAAAAAAAACGTATGTATTACAACAAATGAAAAGAAAATGACAAAGCAAATGCGCACGAGCACCCGAGCACCGAGCACCCGAGCATCGAATCATCGAAACATCGACCACGGAACACAGAAATAAAAAACGAATAAAGAAAATATATACCGTTTTATAGCTCTTTTTTTTTTTTTCCCCCTTTTCTTCCAAGAAATCTTTTTGTGTGATCATTGGGGGGAGGGAAGCCTGAGCGCTTGCTTCTACGGTTCTAGCTCAAAACAGAAATGAAAGTTTAGTTTACAAGACAAAAACAAATGAGGGAAAACTTCATACAACACCTCTGTATAAACATGTATAAACATTTATATATATATATACTATAAGAACAGAGCGAGACGGGAAGAAGAAGAAGCCAACATTACAAAAAAAACCCCCATCCAAGAGGCTATACAACGGATATAAAAGGGATGGGTTCCAGTTTAAAGTAAAACGTACACCAGTCGATTTTGAGTTTATTAGCATTAAGCAACTTTGCTTCAACATTAGCCTCAATATAGCATATAATACATCTTTCGATTGATTGACTGTGGTCATTCAACATTTAATCGTCTCAAAAGTAATATTATTCTAGTTTCTTACTGGATAAAACAAGCGGACCAAAATGATGATGCGCAGTGGAGATGGCAAAGAGATAGGACAGAACGGAGGATCCCTTTCTCCGAGATCATTCTTCTTCTTTTTCTTTTTTTTTTTTACTTTACTCTCTTTCTTTCTTTCCGCATGTGAATGAGCTCTACAAACCGGCTTTTCCATTATTTTTTTTTTTTTTCTTATTCACCTACTCTTTTTCCCCCCAACAGTACGTTAGTGTGTTGGAATGGAAGGAAAGAAAGGGAACAAAACGTACAGGTACATGTACATGAACATGTTCTGCAACCTTTTCATATGTCATTCTATATACTCGATTGAAATGATGGATGGTCGTACAACTTTTTTGTTCTCAGCTATTAAATTTTTTTCATTTTTCATTTTTCATAGTTCATTTTTCATAGTTCGTAGTTCATACATAGCCCATAGTTCCATCTCTTCTCTTTCTCCCATGCTCACAGATCAAGGAACCCAAATGGTGGTCAATGTCACCTTGCGGGCGGGAGGGCGGAAGAAAAAAAAAAAGAGTTTGGGCGTAAAATGATGAAATGTTGTTCTACAGCCCGACAAAGTGTCTTATTTCTTTCATTTATTAAAACCTAATTGGACTTCAAATGGGAAAATTAGTAAATAAACAAAAAAGAATCCCGGATCTGGAGACCCAAGAGTCAGATGAGATCATGAACAAGGGGAAAAGAGAAAGAAGAATAAAATAAAATAAAATAAATAAAAAAGAAAGAAAGAACGGAGGAGAAGAAGGAGAAGGAGAAGGAGAAGGAGAAGAAAGAGGAGGAGGAAGGAGAGTAAAAATAAAAAATAAAAAAAAGAGACAGAGACAGAGATATCCACGTAGGGCAAAGAGGCGAAGAAAAGAATGTAAAGGGAGGCAAGAGAAGGGAAGGGAAGGGAAGGGAAGGGAAGGGAAGGGAAAGGAATGATCGCAAAGGAATCAAGTAAAGGTAATGCAAGGTGAAGAGCAGAATAAATAAACAGAACAAAAGGCATTAGAATAGAGACAAGATGATAAGCAAAAAAAAAAAAAAAAAAAGAAAAAAAAGGACAGGGGCCCTCGGATCTCATTGCCGTATCCCTCCCAATCAACTTTCTTTTTCTCTCTTTCTCTCCCCTGGATGATTGTTTTGCATCTTCTTCGTGTATGTGTATGCATTTGTTGGCAAAGCATCCATCCATCCATCCAATAGAAAGTGGCCGTTATTGTGTCCTGTGCCCTTTTTTTTTTTTTTTTTTTTTTTATTATTCACAAACAAGTTCAGGGTTATTTTTTATTTTATTTCTTTTAATCCGCACACCCTGAACATGTTACCGTGTACAGTACGTTCCCTTACCTGCATTGTTGTTGCCCTGTGCCCAAATGCATTGCAAAAAAAAAAAAAAAAAAAAAAAATAACGCATTGTCCATATCTTTTTTTTTTTTTTTTTTTTTTTTTTTCTTTTAAAAACAAACACAACCACATCGTTTTTTCTTTTATTTTTACCGTTTTCTTTCTATTCACTGCTGTTTTCTTTTATTTGTTCTCCAAAGGAGACCGTTGAAGTTGACTTGAATCCAAGTGAGAACACCTTTTTTCTATTAAAAAAAAAAAAAAAAAACTGAATAAATGCATCTACTTACGAAACAAAAACACACAAGTGTTGGCCAAAGCAACATTTCACATTCTCATTTCATCATCCTATTGCCCTTGAATTGAAGAAAAAAAAAAAACTCCCATTAACTCTAAGCTTGTTTATTCCCTATCCACCCATACATGTCAATAAATAAATAAATAAATAAATAAAAAAAGCGCAACTCTGGATTGATCCCCCTCTCCCCTTGCATCATAGAGAACGATGCTGAATACATCCCCCCCCCCCCCTACTCCTGCTGAAACCAACAGGGGAGGGGAGAGCAACGGCAGTAGAATGCGAGATCAAAAGTAGATCAAAGTATTATATATGCATATGAATCTACAATCATCCTTAAACTTTGATCAATCATAAACACACAGGTGAATTTACAAATGCAGTGTCCTCCCTCCCTCCCCTGACGATCTGATTACTGCCACCCCATACTTTACTCACGCTTGTACTTCTCAAAGTAGACATCTTAACAAGGAAATGCCGATCATGTATAGACGAGGGATCATATAAAAAAAAAAAAAAAAAAAAAAAAAGGAAATATCCAGGGAATGAGATTGTTATTGAATTAAGATTTGTACTTTATTTTTTGTTATAATGATCATCACTTTGTCTGCCATGGCAAGTGAAATGACCGAGTGTTATTAAATCCTCTGTCCTTTATTGACAAGAGGCCTAGCCTACTAAAGGGACCCTTCCTATTGAAATACACGAAAGAGCATTCAGCGCCGAAGTTTGTCCAACATCCTCTGGGCATCAACATCACCTTGATCAGCAGCTTTTTGGTACCATTGTTTCGCTTCAATGTAATCCTTCGAGACTCCCTTGCCGTGATGGTACATCGAGGCAATAGTGCGCTGTGCATCAACATGTCCTTGGTTAGCAGCCTTGAGGAACCATTCAAAAGCTTTGGAATAATCTTGTGAAATACCCTTGCCATTATAGTACATGGCGCCGATATTGTTCTGAGCGCCGGTATCCCCCTGGTCGGCAGCCTTGAGAAGCCACTTGAAGGCCTTTGGATAGTCTTGTGGGATGCCCTTGCCATTATAGTACATGGCGCCTACATTGTTCTGAGCATCAGCATTCCCTTGATCGGCAGCCTTGTGATACCAGTCAAAAGCTTTTGAATAATCTTGTATGACTCCCTTGCCATAATGGTACATACATCCTAGAGTGCTCTGAGCATCAGCATATCCTTGATTAGCTGCCTTGAGATACCACTCGATGGCTTTTGAGCAGTCTTGTAAGGTTCCTTTGCCATTATAGTACATGGAGCCAAGGCTGTGCTGAGCATTTGGGTATCCTTGGTCAGCTGCCTTAAGGTACCAGTCAAAGGCCTTCGAGTAGTCCTGTGCCACTCCCTTGCCATGCTCGTACATGGTACCGAGATTGTGCTGAGCAGTGGCATATTCTTGGTTAGCTGCCTTGAGGTACCAGTCGATGGCTTTTGTGTAATCTTTTGGGGCTCCTTTGCCATTATAGTACATGGTACCAATATTATGCTGAGCTTTGGCGTATCCTTGATTGGAAGCCTTGAGATACCAGTCAATAGCTTTTGAGTAGTCTTGTGGGACGCCTCTCCCATTCTCATACATAGTACCAAGGTTGTGCTGAGCTTTGGCATATCCTTGATTGGCAGCCTTGAGATACCAGTCGATGGCTTTGGAGTAGTCTTGTTGGACTCCCTTGCCATCCTCGTACATGGTACCTAGGTTGTTCTGAGCAGTGGCGTTTCCTTGGTTAGCGGCCTTGAGGTACCAGTCAAAGGCCTTTGAGTAATCTTGTGGGATTCCATTCCCGCAATGGTACATGTATCCCAGATTCGTCTGAGTGAAAGCATCCCCATTGGCTGCTCTGATCAGAGCAAGTGCCAATTCCTCGCTCTCAAGGATGGTTGGCCTTTCCGAAAACTTTGCTTCATTGCTTTCAACACCCTCTGTCTGCGGCTCGACTATGATCGAACAACCTGCCCCATCTTCTCTTATGGAAACGAGCTTCATATGTGGCTCCAAGCTTTTGGGACCATTGCTGTTGGCTACCTTGACGGCAGTAAGAGTCACGACTTCATTCAACTCTGGTGTAACTGACCCGTCCACCTTTCCCTGTGTTACTGCTACGCCCGGTTCTTTCGAAGCGCCTTCTTGAGAGGAAATGACAACATCCAGTACGCCGTCTAGCTCCGCACGGATCCGGAGCGGCTTGATGCTAATGTACAATTTTATAATACTCAGGTTAATATCAAATGCTATACAACGCTGGAAAAAAAATAATAATAATAATAATAGATACAAAATATTCGTGCAACGAGCAAGATTGAGAAGTCAATTTACTATTCAAAGTTGTCATCTGTAAGGAAAGATAGGATCCTTCTTCCGGATTCTATATGGGTTGACTCCTTGTAAACCGATTTTATATCATTCCAAAGGATGATAAACTCCTGAGATTTTTGATCGAAGCGCGCCTCAATGCGTTTGATATCTGACAATGGGATCGATGATCCATCCGGGTTGATGAGGCGGAATGCCTGAAGTCTTTTCTCATCAAATTTCATTGTCCTTAGCTGTGTTTTGTTGGGAATCGTGATGTTGTATACGTGGTAGAAGCCGTGAGACCGAAATGAGTATAGAAAAAAAAATAAATAAATAAAAGAAATAGTGGAGGTTGGTGAAGCTTTCCTCTTTATTATATATTTTGTTTTTTAAGGGAGGGAGGAAAAAAATGTCCCGTCTCTTCGCCTTACTTCTTTCTATGTCTCCTTATTCTCCCTATTCTACTAACAAAAAGAGGAGACATAACAGCGATCTGCTTATAAACAGAATCATTCGATTCAATCATCCAGGCGTCGACTTGTTCAAAGTGATCTTGGAGGGGAGCAGCACGACTTTGAGTCCAGTCTCGTACTGCCTCCGAGGTTGATGCCATTAAAAATATCGTCACGGCATTAACATTATCGAATCGGGTTTCAGTACTGTTGTGCTCAGCTCTGGAAAAAAAAAAAAAAAAAAAAAAAAAAAACCTGAAAAAGCCTTGCAGATTCGTCATCTTGCATTCTCGGAACACCATTCAAGGTCAGGAACCAACACGCAACTATCATCATGCCGGATATGAACAACTTTGCTCAATGAATTGAAGTATGACACTAGAACATAAAAAAAAAAATTTTTTTTTTTTTGTAGCAGTAGATAGCTCAAATGCCAGGAGAGATACAGTACTCCAGGTGCGATGATGAGCGCTCACCGTATGCCAGGACTGAAGGAGTTTTATTAAGTTAGCATGAAACCTATCTCACAAAGTATTGGAGTTCCCAACAAGTTTTTTTAACTTTTCTTTTCTTTTTTTTTTTTTGTTCGAATTTGAACTGTGTCCCCAATCACTGCAAAGCTGAAGACTGCCCAAGGCATGAGTAGAGAGCTCGGCTGTAGTAATATCAGGCTTGAGCATATGCATCACTATCAGGAGGTAGGAGCCGTATCTTTAAAAAAAAAAAAAAAAAAAAATTAAAATTAAAAAAAACAAGGACTATCCAGAAAATGACTTTTATGTTAACGTGCATCAACTGTAAGGGCCATAATTTGGTCGTCCAATCAAATGAAAGATAATGAATATCAAATCTGATAGGTTATGTAGTAAGTGGACGTATCCAACAATGTTTTGGGCGCCAAGGCGCTTTGAGCACCTGAAACCGACTGATCCGACAATTCCTAAGCATCATCACTATCATCACTACTATCACTATCATCACCATCATCACTGTCTCCATCCTAATCGTTCTCAGCATCTTGATCTGTAGCTTTTTTGCACTACCGTTTTGCTTCACTGGATACAAAGAAACTCCTTTGCCATTTTTATACATTGAGGCAACTGTAAGTTGAGCATTAGCATCTCCTTGCTTAGCTGCCTTGAGACACAACTCGAAGGCTTTTGTGTTGTCTTGTAAATGCCCTCGCCACGCGCGTACCCCGTGTCTAGGTTGTACTGTCCAATGGTATCTCCTTGCTTGGCAGCCTTGTAAAACCAGGCGATGTCTTTTGAGCAGCCTTTTGAGGCTCCATTGCCTTCGAAGTATATGCAGCCTATATTGCTTTGAGCACTGGTTCTCCCTTGGTTAGCTGCCTTGAGATACCGCTCAAGGGCTTTTGAGTAGCCTTGTGGGACGCCAATGCCATGATAGTCCATGCAACCTAGATTAGCCTGAACACTAGCATATCTTTACTGCAGTGCCTTGAGATAGTGCTCAAAGGCTTTGTTAAATCTCGTGGAAGGCCTTTACCAAATCATACTTCATACCTAGTTCACACTGAGCGATGGCATCATTTTTTGTTTGTGTCCTTCTTCTTTCCAACTGATCTGTTCACTTTTCCTTGCCTTCTTGCCTTCTTGCCTTCTTGCCTTCTTGCCTTCTTGCCTTCTTGCTACACTTGGTTCTTTCAGAGTGCCTGCCTTAGAGGAAAATGACAATATTCAGCACAATATCAAGCTTTGCACGGATTCGGGGCGGTTTGGTGCTAGTGTGTAAATTTTACAGTGATTGGTTTAATACTGGATACAAAGTATATGCTTTACAATAAAAGAAGAAATAGATATTCCCCATCCATACAACGAGAATTAGCGGTAGTCAGCTTAGTATTCCAAGCTCTCATCTGTGAAAAGGATAAAGGCTTCCCCCCCTCCACTTTCTATATGATTCGCGTCCCCCTTGCAAGCAGATGTAATATCGCTCCAGAGGATGATGTACTCTTGCGTTGTGTGAGCATCAATATGTCCGATATCTGGTGAAGGAAGTGATGATCCATCAAAGCTGATAGAGAGAACTGCTTGAAGCTTTTTCCTCAGCAGCTAACATTGTCATTGCTTGTGCGCTGCTTGAAACCGTGGTATTTTATGAGTAAGTGGTGAGCAAATAGTGGTGGGCAAGAGTGATAGCAAAAGTTAGGAGAAAGAAGAGTTAGACTTGTGTTCTACACGTTCCAAGAGGGGGGAAAATATGTTTCATTTGCAAATATGGAACAGGAACGTGATGAACGTTTCACTGTGAACAGATACTTCCTGCAAGTGCACTTCAAGTGATCATGTCTTTTAAAATGCACTGTTGTCCTGTTTTCCTCATCAATTAGTATTCTCCAGGACATCAAATTAGGCCAGGATTCACTACACAATTTACATGAATCGCCTGTGTCAATGAGTTGAAATATAACATTGAAACAAACAAAATCTTTCCAGCTATACATAAATGATTCAGATGCAAGGAGAAATGCAAGGGTTCAGGTTTAAAGACAAACATTCAAGGCACAACATGACGGAAGAGATGTACTAGGCACAATGAAGCCCATCTCGTAAAATATCAAAGGAAGTAATCAGCAGGGTTTTAAGGGGAATATACTCCTTAACTTCTTGTCTTCTGACAATGGTGCAATTACTCAAATTGGATATTGCCACAACTGAGATCTTTACTCGTACCTTAGAGAGTCGCAGCTTGGCAAAGATAGGGAGCACATCCTGACTCGAGAATAAAAAAACCTCCCCCGATTGGAGTCCTTGTTGATCAGGTATTGTCATATCCTGAAGATACCCCTAGAATCAGAGGCAATTGACTTGAAAAGACAGGAGTTACGAACGAGGAAGCAGTATTGATGGGGCTCGGAATCTTGGCAGGAGCAGACATAAGATAATGTAGAAGAACTACTTGGACTTCAAGGGACCAACAAAGTCAGTAAGTACGTTTGATCACACACATTAACAACAGACCGGAGAGTCATGTAAAGCGAAACTAGTGTCGAGCAACTCCATAAAAGATACCATGGGAGGACGTATTCGGCTAAAAATGGTGCAGAGTACAGCCTGACATATTCCATCCATTGAACTAGAAGATGTTTTTCAACCACACTATCACACTATCATACTGCCCATAAACCTAGATTTCATTGTTCGAAGCTGGGGATAGACCATAGCACACCAACATTGCAGCGCCTTAGTCTGTAGCCAAAAGGGATCCCGCCAACATTATCTTGTAGTTGGAAAACCTTTGTAACCTTGTAAAAAATGCAGTATCTGCTCTTGAAGATGGAAAAAAAAAAAAAAATAGGAAAAGAGACAATAAAAGCATTCAAGCGATGTAACATCTGCAATCCATTTTCATGGTTTATTTCCGCATTTCACGAGTAGGAAGCCTCGCAAGGAGAAAATGATCGTATACAGATTAATCAAGGTTGCCATAGGATAAATATGTGTTTTGGAGAATCCATTGTAAAGTAAAAACAAAGCTGGAGATAGCCAGGCGTGAGACTGTTACTGATACGGAGTCAGGATCTGTAATCTTACAATAAATCTCATGTCCAGTAGACAATCACCTCTACTGATCCATCTGTCCTTTATTACAGAAGCATGGTGCACCCAAGGGTATGTACTTCCTATTAAATACATAAAAGATCATTCAACGCTCGAGCTGGTCCAAAGTATATTGGGCATCAGTATCGCCTTGGTCAGCGGCTTTCTGGTACCATCGCTTTGCTTTAGCAAGATTCCTAGAGACGCCCTTGCCATCGTGATACATCGAGGCAATGATGCGTTGAGAATCAGTATCTCCTTGGTTTGCAGCCTTGAGATACCAATCAATAGCCTTTGAATAGTCGAGTGTAACTCCATCACCATTATGGTAAATGACACCTAGAGTGTACTGAGCATCAGCATTTCCTTGGTTGGCTGCCTTGAGATACCAGTCAATGGCCTTTGAATAGTCTTGTGGGACGCCATTGCCTTCATGGTACATCTGGCCTAGATTATATTGAGCAACGGCTTCTCCTTGGTTGGCAGCCTTGAGATACCACTCAAAGGCTTTTGCGTAGTCTTGTAGGGTTCCATTGCCATCATAGTACATCTCACCTAGATTGCACTGAGCACTGGCATACCCTTGGCTGGCGGCCTTGTGGTACCACTCAAAGGCTTTTGCGTAGTCTTGTGGGGTTCCATTGCCATCATAGTACATCTTGCCTAGGTTGTACTGAGCAGCGGCATGTCCTTGGCTGGCAGCCTTGAAATACCAGTCAAAGGCTTCTGTGTAATCTTGCAGGACCCCATTGCCACTAAAGTACATATATCCTAGCATTACCTGGATGACAGCATCTTCTTTGACTGCTTTGGCCAGGGCTGCTGCCAATCCTTCACTCTCTGGGGTAGTTGATTTTTCCGAACTCTTTGATTCATCCCTTGGAATACACTCTCCTTGAGATTCGACAACAACTGGACAATCTGTGCCATCTTCCTTTACGGGAAGATCCTTCATATCTGTCTCTAAGCTTTTGGTGCTATTGCTATCGGCTTCTGTGTTGGAATTAAGGGTATCGACTTCACTTAATTTTGGCACAACTGGTTCCTCCACCCTTCTCTGTGTGATTGTTATACCCGGTTCTCCCGAAGTGCCTGCTTGAGAGAGAATGACGACATCTAGTACATCGTCTAGTTCTGCACGGATTCGGAGCGGCCTCAAACTATCAAGAAATTTTACAACGGTCGAGTAAAAAAAAAAAAGAAATAAATATCATACTTACAACATCAAAAAAACATTACAATGCAACGAGCAGTATTGATGGATTAATTTACTATTCAAAGTTCTCATCCGTGAGAAATGATAAAACTTCTCCTCCGATTTCTATATGATTTGCTTCCTTGTAAACGGATGTAATATCGTTCCAGAGGATGATATGCTCTTGTGTTTTATGGTCGAAACGAGCTCTAATACGTTTGATACCTAACAATGCGGCTGGTGATCCACCTGGGTCGCTGAGGTGGAACGCTTGAAGTCTTTTCTCGGTAGCTTTCATTGTAGTCGGCTATTTTTTTTTATTTTTTTGTTTGTTTTTAAAACCGTGGTGCTATATGCGTGGTAGTGGACAAGGACAGAACGGAAGGAGTGAAAAGAAAGAAAGTAAAGGAGATTGGTGAAGCCATTTATTTCAAGGAAAAAAACCGTCCCGTCTCATCGCCTCCTTATTTCAAAATCACAACAAAAAACAAAAGCTACAGCATGATTTAATCACGGTCCGTTTATAAACAAAACAATCAATAAATGAGGTATAAAGGAAGTAAATAGGAGGGAGAATTTTTACAGATGCAGTCAGCCCATAGCATGACTGAAAGAGTATACTAGGCGGCATGAAATCCATCCGATTAGAGTGCTGGAAGTTTTGGTCCGGGCAACCAGTAAGTTTTTATTTAAAAAAGGTGTGGTTCCTACTCCCTGACAGTAGCGTAAGTGCTCAAGCCCGATATTTCTACAACCGAGGTTCCTTCCATGCCTTAGGTATATATATATATATAAGAGAGGATGCCCAGAGAATGATGTTAACGTTATTTTGTCCACTTATTCTACAATTTAACGATCATTATTTTGCCATCCACTCAGTAAGAGGATTCTTAGCGTTATATTTATTGTCGTTTATGGTGGAATAAGCAATGAGCAAGTAAATTTAGCGATGTTCCGTACTATATACATTTTGAAGCTTTTGGTCATTTAAACTGATCCTATATTTCCTAAGTATCAACAGCATCTTGATCTGCAGCTTTTTGATACCATCGCTTTGCTTTAGCAGGACTTTTAGCGACTCCATTGCCATCCTCGTACATTGAGGCGACCGCGCGTTGGGCATCAGCATTTCCTTGCTTAGCAGCTTTGAGATACCATTTAAAGGCTTTTGAGTAGTCCTGTGGGATCCCATTGTCACACTCATACATGCAGCCTAGATTGTACTGAGCACGGGTATGTCCTTGGTTTGCTGCCTTGAGATACCATTTGACGGCTTCTGAATTGTTTCTTGAGACTCCATTGCCTTCCTCATACATGGCGCCTAGTGCAGCCTGGGCATCAGCATCTCCTTGCTTAGCAGCCTTGAAATAGTATTCAAAGGCTTTTGAGTAATCTTGCGGAGTTCCTTTGCCACTCTCATACATTTCGCCTGTATTATACTGGCCAATGACCTCTCCTTGGCTGGCTGCCTTGAGGAACCAGCCAAATGCCTCTGCATAATCTTGTGAAACTCGATTGCCATCATAATACATGTGCCCTAGATTGATCTGACCACCAGTATGTCCTTGGTTTGCTGCCCTGCGGTACCATTCAATGGCTTTTGAGTAGTCTTGTGGGACGCCCTTGCCATCTTCGTACATGGTACCTAGACTGTACTGAGCACTAGCATCTCCTTGGCTGGCGGCCTTGAGATAGCAGTCAAAGGCTCTTGAATAGTCTTGTGGGGCGCCTTCGCCAAAATAGTACATCTCACCTCGTTTGTACTGAGTGACAGCATCATCTTTTTTGTCTTCACCCTTGTCCTCACCAACTGATCCATCCAATCCTTCTTGTGTTATTGCTGCACCCGGTCCCCTCAAAATGCCTGATTGAGAGGAAACGACAATATCCAGTACAACATCAAGCGCTGCACAGACTTGAAGCGGTTTGACGCTAATGTACAATATGTTAAACTGGTAAAGTTAATTATCATCCATAAAGATAAAAGGTACAATCTTTTCAAAAACAGTTTCAACGAGTGGTCAATTTACTATTCCAGGTTAATGTCGACACGATACAATAAAGTCTCCCCTCCATATTCTATTCGGACTGCATCCTTGTCAATGAATATAATATCGTCCCAGAGAAGAACGTATCCTCGTGTTTTATAGTCAAAGCGAGCTTCCATGTATTTGATATCTGGTGATGAGACTGATGATCCGTCCAAGCTGATGAGACGAAATGCTTGAAGTCTTTTCTCAGTACCTGTGGCTCTCATTGTTTGTTTATTGTTTGAAATTCCAGTGTTGTTTAGGTGAATAAGAGTGGTGGCAAGAATAGGAGAAAGGAGAAGGACAAGAACAGTTTATGAAGAAAGGCGCAGACCTTAAACACGTGGGAATGTTTCACTGTGGCTTGCTGACTTCCTATAAATGCATTGTGATTTAAAATTCTCTTTTGAAGCAAAATGTTACCGGTATGGTATTGCCACGAGCCTAACGGCCCTATTAATAACGCTTCTGTCTTGCTGAACCGTCGCTTTGAGCCCTTAGAATATTAAATTAGGCCCAAATATCCCAAGCGAGGGAAGTTCTCCAGTAGTAAACGGCCTCAATGTGAGGGTGTCATCTCTTTGTCTGTGCTCATTCTCTCTTCAACTGGTCCATTCACTCTTCCATGCATCCTTGTTGCACTTGGTTTCCTCGAAGTGCCTATATGAAGGGAAATGACTATATCCAGCACACCATCAGGCTCTACACGACTCCGTAGCGGCTTGATGCCAGTGTGTAATTTTTACAGTGATCGGTTTAATATCAATTGCAATGTGCTTTACAATACAAAAACAATTATATGTTATTTACTCATAAAACGAGTAATAGTGGTAACTCTTTTCGCAGCAGCTACTGTTTTCATGGCTTGTGCGATGCTTGGAACTGTGGTATTTTTCAAGTAGTGGTGGGCAAGAATGGTGGTAAAGGTAGTAGAAAGAAGAGTACGGCTCACGTTCTACACGTTGCAAGAGAGGAAACACACTCCATTGCCTGTGTGGAATGGAAACGTAATTGATGCTTTTATAGAATAGATACTTCCTAAAAGTGCGCCCCAAGTGATCATGTCTTTAACATGCATCCCAAATCGCTAGTGCCAAATGTTGAAATATAACATGGTTGTACACAAATGATTGGGATGCAAGGGGGAAATTTTAGGGTTCAGATATGAAGCAGATATTCGAGGTATAGTATGATGGAAGAGATATACCAGGCACAATCTCAGAAAACATTGAAGGATACGGTCTGAAGAATCAGCAGAATTTTAGAGTAAATATAGCCCTCAGCTTCCCATCTTCTGACAGTGGTGCAAATAGTCAAATTAAATGTTACTACAACCGAGGTCTACTCATGCCTCGAAGGACCGGAGCTTGGTATGGATAGGGCACACATCCTGATTCGAAAACAAATGAATAAAGAGATGATTAAAGTCCTTGTTGATGAGGTAATTTCATATCCTGAAGACACTCCGAGGAGCAGAAGCAATGGGCTCGGAAAGACAAAGATTACGGACGAAGAAGCAGTATTGATGGACCTCAGAGCCTTGGCAAGAGCGGATATATGATGATGTAGGGGAAACACTTGAACCTCGAGGGACCAGCGATAAAGTTGGTATGTACGTTTGATCATACCCACTAAAGAACCATAGCAGAGCATAGAGCTGTTGGTCGATGCCATAAAAGACGTCATGAAAGGACGTAGACATGGCTAAAAATGACGCATATCGCAGAGAAACAGTTCTTAGCACGCTCACCCATCGAGTCAGAAGATATCTTCCAACCGCACTATCGCATTGTCTCTTAGCATAATTATAGGTTTCGTACTTCGAAGACGAGGATAGAACATAGTACACTAACATAGCGGCATCCTAAGCTGTAATTAAAGAGTGTCCCACTAACATTATCTTGTAGTAGGAAAGCCTTTATATACGTTCCTGGAGGTAAGCGATAGGAAAAAAAATAATAAAAATCTTCCAGCAATATGACGATTTTCTATTCCGCATTTTCCGAGTAGATAGCTTCGCAAGGGAGCAATGATCGTATGCAAATTAATCTAGAATAATAACTATAAAGCGAAAATAAAAATGGGAATAGCCAGGCATGAGATAGGGCCTGTATTTATACAAGAATCCTCAAGCCCATTAGACGATCAACTGTATAAAATTATTTGTCCTTTATTACAGAGGTGTGGCGCATCAACGAGCATCCTATTAAATATGCGAAAGAGACCTCAGCACTAGAGCTTGTCTAATATTCCCTGGGCATCAACATCACCTTGGTCAGCGGCTTTTTGGTACCACTTTATTGCTTCTACAAGGCTCTTAGAGACTCCTTTGCCGTCTCGATACATCGAGGCAACCTTGCGTTGAGCAGCAGCACTTCCTCTGTTGGCAGCCTTGAGATACCAATCAAAGGCCTTTGTGTGGTCTTGTGCAACTCCACTGCCATTTTGGTACATGAGGCCTATATTGGATTGAGCAGCGACTTCTCCTTGGTTGGCTGCCTTGAGGTACCACTCAAAGGCCTTTGCATAGTCTTGTGAGACCCCATTACCACTATAGTACAGGTTGCCTAGATTACATTGGGCAATAGCTCTTCCTTTGTTGGCAGCCTTGAGATGCCACTCCAAGGCTTTTGTGTAGTCTTGTGAGACACCATTGCCATTACCATACATCCTGCCTAGATTGGCCTGAGCGCTAGTATGCCCCTCATTGGCAGCCTTGAGATACCACTCGATGGCTTTGGAGTAGTCTTGTTGAGCTCCCGTGCCCTCGTACACCACGCCTAGATTGTACTGAGCAGCGGCATGTCCTTGACCAGCAGCCTTGGCATACCACTCGATGGCTTTTGAATAGTCTTGTGTGACGCCTTCACCATGTTGGTACATGAAACCCAGGTAGTTCTGGGCCTCAGCATACCTTTGGTCGGCAGCCTTGAGATACCAGTCAAAAGCTTTTGTGTAATTTTGTGGAACCCCATTGCCATTATAATGTAAGAGGCCTACATAGTGCTGAGCACCAACATTTCCTTGATTGGCGGCTTTAAGATACCAGTCAAAGGCCTTTGAGTAGTCTTGTGGGACGCCATTGCTATTATAGTACATGAGGCCTACATTGTATTGAGCAACGGCTTCTCCTTGGCTGGCTGCCTTGAGGTACCATTCAAATGCTTTTGTATGGTCTTGCGGAACCCCTTTCCCACCAGAGTACATATCTCCTAGGATTACTTGGATAGTGACGTCCCTTTTGAATGCTCTTACCAAGGCTGTCGCCAATTCTTCACTCTCTAGGGAATTCTCCGAACTGTTTGGTTCATTCCTTGGGATATACTCTCCTTGAGGCTCGACTACGGTCGAACAATCAGTGTCATCTTCTCTTGCAGAAAGGTCCTTCATACCTATCTCCAAGCTTTTGGGGCTATTGCTATTGGTTACTTTGTCGGAATTAAGGGCCATAGCTTCACTCAACTCTGGTACAACTGCCTCGTCCACCCTTCTTCGTGTTGTTGTATCCGGCTTCCTTGAAACACCTGCTTGAGAGGGAAGGACAACATCTAGTACACCTTCTAATACTGCACGGGCTCGAAGTGGCTTGACACTACGATGTAGTTTTACAATGGTTGAGTTTTTATCAAAAGCAATACAGCACCAAAAAATAGATATTATCCATCCGTGCAACGCTGACAGGTCGATTTACTATTCAAAGTCCTCATCTGTGAGAAATGATATAAGTCTCCCTTCAATTTCTATATGACTTGCATCCTTGTAAACGGATATAATATCGTTCCAAAGGATAATGTACTCTTGTGCTTTATGATCGAAACGAGCTTCAACGTGTTTGATATCTGACAACGAGGTTGATGGTTCATCCAACCTGATGAGACGAAATGCTTGAAGGCTTCCCTCACCAACCTTCATTGTTATCGATTGTGATTTGTTTGGTAATGTGACCATATATGCGTGTTAGCGGATAAGAGTGGAGAGAAAGGAGTGAACAGGAAAGAAAAGGAATGAAAGAAGGAATTGAGGTTAGTGCAACCATTTTTTAAGGGAAAAAAAAACCCCCCTCTTGCTTCTTCGCCCCATTTCTGTCCTTTATTGGCATTTTTATGATGAGATAATTTCATATCCTGGGGACATTCCGAACAGAAGCAATGGACTCGAAAAGACAAGGGTTACGGACGGGGAAGCAGTATTGATGGAACTCGGAATCTTGCCAGGAGCATATATGATGATGTAGGAGAACTCACATGGGGCTCAAGTGACCTACGATAAAGTCGGTATGTACGTTTGATCACATTTATTAAAGAGCTACAGCTGGGAGTCATGTAAAGCCAAACTAGTGTCGGCCGTTGTCATAAAAGATACCATGCAAGGATGTAGTCATGGCTAAAAATGACACATATCGCAGGGAAACAGTATCCAGCACGCTCACCCATCAAGTCTGAAGATATCTTTCAACCATACTATCGTTCTCCTCTACTTGACATAATTCTAGATTTTATCCTTCGAATACGAGGATAGAACATAGCGCACCAATATAGCAGTACCTTAATCTGTAACTAAAGAGTGATCCATCATCAATCTTGTAGTAAGGAAGCCTCCATAATCCTTGTAAAAGTGCAGTATCTGTTCCTGGAGATAAAAAAAATAAAATAAAAATAAAGATAAGATCATGAAACCTCCGCAATTTTTTAGGGTTTTTATTTCTGTATTTCACGAGTAGGTAGATTCGTATGGAAACAATGATCCTATGCAGATAAATCCAGATTGCCATAAGATGAATATGTGGTATGGGAAACCAATTGTAAAGCAAATATAAAAATGGAGATAACCAGGTATGAGATTGTACTGACTTATTAAGGCATGCAATTTTACATCAACCATCATATCAAGTGAACAGTCAGCTGAATTAAATTCCCTGCCCTTTGTTGTAGAAGCATGGTGCATCCAAGGGTATGTACTTCCTATTAAATACATAAAAGATCATTCGACGCTCTAGCTGGTCCAAAGTATATTGGGCATCAGTATCGCCTCGGTCAGCGGCTTTCTGGTACCATCGCTTTGCTTCAGCAAGATTCTTAGAGACACCCTTGCCATCTTTATACATCGAGGCAATGATACGTTGAGAATCACGAGCTCATTGCTTTGCAGCCTTGAGATGCCAGTCAAAGGCCTTTGAATAGTCTAGTGGGACGCCATTGCCAGCATAGTACATCTCGCCTAGATTGTATTGAGCAACGGCTTCTCCTTGGTTGGCAGCCTTGAGATACCAATCAAGGGCTTTTGCGTAGTCTTGTGAGGTTCCATTGCCATCATAGTACATCGCACCTAGATTATATTGAGCAACGGCTTTTCCTTGGTTTGCAGCCTTGAGATACCACTCAAAGGCTTTCGAATAGTCTTGTGTGACGCCTTTACAATGTAGGTACATGTAACCTAGGCTGCACTGAGCATCCATATTTCCTTGGTTGGCAGCCTTGAGATACCACTCGACGGCTTTTGCGTAGTCTTGTGGGGTTACATCGCCATAGTACATCTTGCCTAGGTTGTACTGAGCAGTGGCATGTCCCTGATTGGCAGCCTTGAGATACCACTCAAAGGCTTTTGCGTCGTCTGGTGAGGTTCCATTACCATCATAGTACATCTTGCCTAGATCGTACTGAGCAGTGGCATGTCCCTGATTGGCAGCCTTGAGACACCACTCAAAGGCTTTTGCGTAGCCTCGTGGGATTCCATTGCCATAATAGTACATCTTGCCTAGATCGTACTGAGCAGTGGCATGTTCCTGATTGGCAGCCTTGAGATACCACTCAAAGGCTTTTGCATAGTCTTGTGGGGTTCCATTGCCATCATAGTACATCTTGCCTAGGTTGTACTGAGCAGCGGCATGTCCTTGGCTGGCGGCCTTGAAATACCAGTCAAAGGCTTCTGTGTAATCTTGTGAGACACCATAGCCTTTCTCGTATATATCGCCTAGATCGAACTGAGCATTCGCACTTCCTTGGTTTACAGCCTTGAGGCACCAGTCAAGGGCCTTTGCGCAGTCTTCTGGGTTACCAGTACCGGAAAGATACATGTGACCTAGAGCACGCTGTGCACTAGTATATCCTTGATTGGCTGCCTTGAGAAGCCAATAATGGGCTTTTGCGCGGTCTTTTGGGACACCAGTACCAGTAAGATACATGTCACCTAGAATATACTGTGCACTATCCTTTCCTTGCTTGGCTGCCTTGAGAAAGCACTCAAAGGCTTTTGCCAAATCGCGTGGAGCGTCTTCGTCGCGCATGTAAATCACACCTAGGTCGTACTGAGTGGAAACATCTTCCATGTCTGTGTCTCTTTCCTCTCTAGCTGATTCGTCTACTCCTCCTTGTGTTATCGCTGCACCTAGTTCTCCCGAGGAGTCTGCTTGAGGCGGAATGACGATATCCAGGACGATATTCAGGACGATATCAAGCCTTGCGCGGATTCGGAACGGCTTAATACTATTTTGCAGTTTCGCAGTGATCGGTTTAGTACCAAATGCTTTATAACACGAACTAGATCTTATCCCATCCATGCAACGATGCAAGGGTGGTCATCTTACTATTCAAAATTCTCATCTATGAGGAAGGATAAAGCCACTCCATCTGTTTCTATATGATTTGCATTCCTATAAAGGGAGGTAACATCACTCCAGAGGACGACATATTCTTGTATCTTTGGATCGAATCGAGCTTCAATATGTTTGATACCGGGCCATGGGGATGAAGTTCCATTCAAGTTAATGGGACGAAATGCTTGAAATTTTCTCTCAGCAGCCACTTTTGTCATTTTATACTCTGTGCTGTTGGAGATTGTTTCTGTATGAGTGGTGGTGAGCGAGTGGTGGTGAGCGAGTAGTGGTGGGCAAGTGTGGTGGCAAAAGTAGGAGAAAGAAGCAGAGTGCGAATTTATGCACGTCTCCAACCCAAATGTAAGACAAAATGTTTCACTTGGAACGTCATTGTGGCTTGACAATATGCGTTCAAGAACTAGAACAACTTGCATTCTCAGGACAGCATATTAGGACAGCATCCACCACACAATTCACATCATGCACCTGTAGAATATAAAGTGCTTGTGCGAATGGAGCGAACAGCACTATAAATAAATGATTCGGATGCAAGGAAAATATATATGTATGTTGGCTCAGATGTAAAGATAGACTATTCAAGGCATAGCGTGACAGAAGTGGTGTACCAGGCACATCATGTCCATCTCGCAAAGGATTAAAGGATATGGTTTGGATTAACCAGCAGCGTTTGTAGGAGAGATTTCCTCTTATCTTTTGATAGTGGCGCAAATGCTCAAGTTTGATAATACCACAGCTGAGATCTATGCTTATACCCTAGGGAACCTCTAGTTTGGTAAAGATAGATAACACATATTGAACTCGAGCAATAATAAAAAAAAAAAAAAAAAAATAGTGATTTGAGATTTTTGTGGATGAGGTAATTTCATATCCTAAAGACAACATTCAGAGAAACAAAGACAATGGACTTGAAAAAAGACAAGAGTTACGGACAAGGAAAGCAGTGCCAATGGATAATGAGGCCCTAGAAGAAGCAGATGCGGACGGCGACAAAATAATAAAGTCCTTTTTCTTTGGATAATCTCTATTAACTATTATAGGACTACAGCATTAGAACGCGTCAACACGAGATCAGTGCCACAAAAACTATGAGATGTTTATGCAGGAAAGAGACTTCTATCCCAAGATAGAAAAAAAGAAAAAGAAACTCATGGTTCAAAGCCGTTTTTGCGTTATAGCCTCTAAGCTACACAACTCATCGGCATTGATGATCCGCAGATGATTAAAAACAGACGGTCAGACGAACATGTCCTGTTTATCCAACGATTTCTGAACACGAGGATCTTCCATCCACACACTCCACCTGTATTCTTTCATTCCTCATTCTGTATCATAAACGCTAAAAAAAAAAAAAAAAAAAAAAAAAAGAAGGGTTGCAGTTTTGAAAACAAAGTCGAGTGGTAGTATCATGTATGTATGTATCAATACAATAGGACAATAAACAGTCAATGTGTCCAGTCTTGAAAGACAATCACATCCCATTGGACCCTTTAGTACCATCCATTATATACTGTTACATTTTTTTTTTCTTATTTATTTAATTTGTTTTTTGTTTTTTTATCCAGTACTCAATCGAGTATGACGCGAACAGCGTTTAGATCAATGGGAGTAAAGCTGTGGATGTCAATTCCACGTGAACTCAATTCAGCTTCAGCATGGCGTGGAACCAACATGGGAATCAAATCTGGGCGGATAGAGAGTTCTAAAAAAAACCATTGCCAAAATTAAAAGAAATTTTGGTCAAAAACATGCAATTTTAACAATAAATGGATTAAATGGATCACATCAATGTCATGTCATCCAAAGTATCAGTTTTCTTTTCTTTTTTTCTTTTTTTTTCTCTTACCGAGAGGAGTAAAGTTGAAAAGAGGAGGAAGATCCCTGCCACTGCACAGTTTCGTCTCTGGTGCTCTGAGCTCATCAAAGAATGGGTGAACCATGGCTTCAATAGGTGTATATCGTTTTGATGGTGTATATTCCAAGAGGTGTGCAAGAAGATCCAATGCTTCTGGAGATGTCCTTGAGCGGAAGATCTAGATACGAATCAAAGCAACAGCCCGTTTTTCTTTAATATCTTGATAATCATGTAAAAAAGAAAGTTTTCCGTATGGTTTTTTTTCTTTTTTTCTTTTAATACCTTATTGAAAGGATGAGGCTTGATCTGAGGGAACTTGTGTTCCATGTACTTTGGGTTCATTGTCTGGATCTGCTCCTTACTGGGTGTTCCAAGCACTTTGATAATCTCCACCAGTTGATCAACACCACTCTCTCCAGGGAACAATGGCTGACCAAGCATTAATTCTGCCATAACACACCCTGCTGACCAGACATCTATTATGAATCAAAAATAAACGTAACAATCTAATCACCGTTAGTTTTTTTTTTTTTGTTCACAAGGAATTAATTCATGTGAAGGGGGACTGATCTGTTGTTCAGCAGTAAAGAGTCAAGTAAAGTGTTCAAATATCCCAGGTAGATTTTTTTTTTCCTTGTTCTTCTTCTTCTTCTTCTTCTTCTTCTTCTTCTTCTTCTTCTTCTTCTCCTTCATTACCAATGTTGGTCGTGTAGTTCGTTGCGCCAAAGATCAGTTCTGGAGCACGGTAATATCGTGAACAGATGTAGGACACGTTGGGCTTTCCTGCAACAAGGACTTTTGCGCTATTTCATTTACAAAGAGAACAGATCCACTTGTTGAGTAAGTAAAAAAAACAATAAAAAAATAAAAGATCTGAGACATTTATCTCACATGCAGGGGGTGAATGCTTTTTTTTTTTTTTTTTTTTTTTTTGACTGCGGCCCCCCATGTCATCCTACTGTAAACATAAACACACACCATTACACCATATCCAAATATTCAAGTATACTCAAAAATAATAAAAATAAAAATAAAATGTGGGAAGGAAGTAAGGAAGGGAAAGCATGATTAATTTTTTTTTTTTTACCTTCCAAAGTCACATAGTTTCAAGATTCCGGTAACAGGGTTCAATAACAAGTTCTGGGGTTTGATGTCACGATGGCAAATGCCTAAAGCATGAATATAAGCCAAGCCACGGAACAGCTGATACATATACAGCTTCACTTGGAAAATAGGCATCATCTGCTTGATCTTGGAATAGTGACGCGAGGCACGATAAACTGTCTCGGGGATGTATTCCAGCACAAGATTCAAATAGACTTTATCCTTCTACATGTATATTTATACACATATAAAACATTATTAACTCCTCGCAATGTCAGATAAAAAGAACTTGGATAGTGAATGGATAGCGTGTTTGTTAAAGTGATTCAAGGACTTGCTTTTTTTTTTCTTTACCTTTTCTTCATTGTAGAAAAAAGCCTTTAGTTCAACAATATTGGGATGTGAGACTAGACGCATGATTTCTAGTTCACGATTCTATTTTGCCCAAGAAAGAAAAGAAAAGAAAAAAAAAAAGTGTTGATGTGGTCAACATTACAAGTAGTAGCAAATAAAGATAAAAAAAAAATGCCTTGCAAATTTCACTGTGGTAAAAAAAAAAAAAGAGACAATTGTCACCATTATCATCATCATCAACTACTACACCAACAATAAAAGCTGGGTAGAACTAATAAGAAAGAGGAAAAAAAAAAAAAAAAAAAAAAAGTTCCAGAGAGACATTTACCTACCTTGAACCGTGCATCCTGAAGCACATTCTTAATGGCTGCATCTTCGCCAGTGTCTGCTAGTTTTGCTTGAAAGACAACACCGAAGGAACCATTGCCGATGGCCTTACAGCTGTTATATGCAAGTTCAAAGGGCTCTCCAGACTTGCCATCGTTTGCCTGCACCTTGATGATCTTTGTAGGGTCTGGTTCACCTATCGATGTAATAATAATAACAATAATATTAATAAAGAAAAGTTAATAATAAACCTGTTATTAATAACACTTGCTTCTGTTTGTTGTTTGTCCCAACTTTTATCTTTTTCTGTCATCATCATCATCATCATAATAATAATAATAATAATAATATAAAAACAATGTCCATTCATCACATCTTTGTGCAATCCCAAAGTGATGCCTTTTCTGATGCTTCATTTCTCACGCTTTTATATTTTCTCACTCACTCACTCTCTCGCTTTCATTTTGCTTTGTCACATTTTTTTCGCATGTTTTCCTTACCACTGATCTTGATGTAATTGATGGTGGGCTCTGATGGCATTGTGGATGAGTTTTTTTTATTTTTTTGATGTTGTTGTTGTTGTTAATGTTTTGTTGTTGGGGGAGGGAAAAGAAGAAAGGTTGATGAAAGCAAGATTTCTGTTCTCCGAATCTGATGGATTTTTTTTTTTTTTTTTTGTTCCAAGCTCAGTTGTTCGGTAAGAATATTCGTCTTGGGCTGCTGTTTTGGCTGGCTGGCTGGCTGGCTGGCTGGCTGGCTAGCTAACTGGTTCGCTGGCTGTGTTTTTGTCGTGTGAGGTGGAGATTAATGAATCCGACTTTCTTTTTAATCACAGATTGTCTTCTCGCTTGCTTGCTTACTCGCTTGCTTAGTTTGCTTGTTTGTTTGCTTGCTTGCTTGTATGCTTCTTGATATTACTTCTTTTACTTGCTTACTGGGTAGTGCTGACGTTGGTTGGTTGCTGTTATTTATTCTTTACTGCGAAAGTACGTCAGTTGTAAAGAAAGAATAAATATAAAGAAAAGAAAGAACGAAAAAAGAGGGAGAGGAGGGGGGGAAGAGGAGGAGAGGAAGATAAAAGACGGGTACAGGTGCAGGTGCAGGTGCAGGTGCAGGTGCAAGACGGGGGTAAGAGTAAGGGAAATAAGGTCACGAGGAGAAAAGGAGCAGAAGTGAAAAGGAAGAGAAAGGAAAAGAGAGGAAAAGAGAGGAAATGTGAGAAGAAGAGAAATAAAATAATCTTTGGGCATCAGGGACGCGTTTAAAAAAATAAAATAAAATAAAAAAGCGCGCGTGCTCTCAGACTTTGAACAACATCCCCCAGTCCCATCAGTCGCATCCCACACAATTATATTATCTTGCGGGAAACAAGATGACGCAGTGAGCAATTGACAAATTGACTAAACTCGAAACAAGAAAAGTATTCTCATCAGATATTATACATCTGATACTTATGACCATCAAAAAGATCCGACATCCGACATCCGACATCCGACATCCGACATCCGACATCCGACCCAGGCCAAGTCCACAATTCCTTTTTTTAAAATAAAAAATAAAAACCCTCAAGAAGGGATGGGAGGAGGGGGGGGGGGAGAAAATGAATGCCCGACAAGAGAACAACTGAGCCATGCATTCATTTCAACCCATATCAAATATAAAAAAAAACATTCATGCATTTGTTTCTTGTTTTTCTTCAGGGCTTTTGGGGCTACCAGCAGTTGCAGTTTATGTGTGTGGCAACCAGGTTCTTGATTATCCCATAAACAATATGCATCATCTTTAAAACACAAATGTAAATGTAAATGCAAATGCAAATGCACAAGAAGCAAGGACTTGTCCTCCGGTCAAGTTCCCCCGGAATGAAAGGGGCCATAGAACAAAGAACTTGCACTAAACAACGGCATGTTTGATTCAAATATGTACCGACATGATGCTTTGTGGAGTGAGAACTGAGAAGGGTAACACACACAGCCTCAGATGGTGTCAATGTCTAAAAAAAAAAAAAAAAAATAGACCAGAGAGCAATGACCATTAAGCATGACACCACATCGCCCCCTTTTTTTTTTCTATTTCCCCGTTCGTTATTTAGACTAGCTCTAATATTCCTTATGCAGTATGATGCATCTCTAAATTCATGAAAATGATCTTGTGTACATGCATCCATTATTTGGTGGATTTAATGTCAGATCCCTTCCCTGAAATAAAATTATTTTTAAGATCTCGCACTACAAGTTACACGTTCTTGACATTTATTTCTATCCATCCTGACAATGAAAGAAGAATGAAAAAAGACAATCCCTTTACACCTTGCTCTAGGCACTGTTCCTGCCTAGGATTAACACTGTAGGCCAAGTGATATCAACAACATCCTCATTCTTCAGACCCTCCTCTTTCAAGATGGCCTCAATGGTCTCATCAACAATATCAGGTCGTTCAGGATGCCTTTCACTAAAAGTCTTGTATCCTGACCAAGTCTTGAGATAGTTTCGGAAATGCTCCATCGACACTTGTTCCGACATGAGTAAAGGATAACCATCCTTGTTATTAGGGAAATAATGTCGTTCTACATCCTCCAAAGGCACTTCAATACTCTTGTACATATTATTTAAGATCAACCGACCCGGTTCCCAAAAGGTACCCAATTGATCTGGTTCTATTCCCAACTCCAAAACCCGTTGACTAGCTCGAGGATATTTCTCAAATACCGCAAATGCGTAGCCCACAGCAGCAAACGTCCCATGAGGTTTGAGAACACGCTTGACTTCTGAAAAGAACGTTGGGTGATCAAGCCAATGTAAAGTCTGTGCGACCGTTAGAACATCTACTGAACCTTGTGGGATCACCTTCAGATCCTCCCCTTTACTGACATGATAACTGATGTTGGGCTTTTGGACTGCAGAAGCTAACATGGTCTCCGAAGGATCCACACCATAGACATGCTTGAACTTTTCAGCCAAAACGGACGCGACCTGACCAGTACCTTCAAATAGAAACAAAAAAAAAAAAACATGTATATATTGATATACACAGTTCGTATAAAAATTAGGGGGAGAATTGATTAAAAAAAAAAAAAAAAAAAAACCATTTTTCCTACCTGTACCGACATCAACAGCCATATCAAACTGACCGTGGTGGCGTGCATGATAGTTGTACACCATCTTGAAGAAATTTGCATTATAGCCTGGACGAAAAGATTGATAAAGTGCGCTATTAAAAGTCTTGCTTGAGAATGTAGCCATAGTAGTAACTGAGATGTATAGCGATTTACATGTATGTATGTGAAATTTTAAAGGAGAAGGAGACGAGGAGGAGGAGAATAAAAAAGTGAATGTGAATGTGAATGTGAATGTGAATGTGAATGTGAATGTGAATGTGAATGTGAATGTGAATGTGAATGTGAATGTGAAGAATTGTAGATCAAATTCATCTCACATTTCGCACGCTTTTTGCTTACAACGCTGGCTATTACGCTTTTAATCCATCATGAAGTACATGTATATGTATATGTAGTTTGGGGTGGGTAACACAATTGTTACTCAAGAAATCAGTCTGTGTTGGTTCGGTGGACGGACCCTCTTTACTCTTAAAAGGTCTTCGGATCATTGAACCATGAATTTGCATTAGGGCCCCAATTCATGTGTGTGCGCAGCAATAGGACGATCCGGAGTGCCAAATCCACATACACATTCACATTCACTTTCTGTTACACTAACTCAGGAACAACACGTTAACACACACACAAAAACAAATGCTCAATAGATATGATATAGCCCTTGAAAAAATATATTTTAGGCTCCTGCATAGTTCAAGATCTTCATCTACATGTTTTCTTGCCATTTACATCTATCCCCTCTGACAAGGAAGAAGGAAAAAAATCTTTTACGTCTTGTTCTATGCCTTATATTCCATGCTTTTTGCTCTACGGCTTTTGCTCTATGCGTTATTCCTGGCCAAGATGAGGACTGTGGGCCAAGTGACATCAACAACATCCTCATTCTTCAGGCCCTCTTCTTTCAAGATGGCCTCAATGGTCTCATCAACAATATCAGGTCGTTCAGGATGCCTTTCACTAAAAGTCTTGTATCCTGACCAAGTCTTGAGATAGTTTCGGAAATGCTCCATCGACACCTGTTCCGACATGAGTAAAGGATAACCGTCCTTGTTATTAGGGAAATAATGTCGCTCTACATCATCCAAAGGAACCTCAATACACTTGTACAAATTATCCGCGATCAACCGACCCAATTCCCAAATGGGTCCCAATTTATCTGGTTCATTTCCCAATTCAAAAATCAGCTGACTAGCTCGAGGATATTTCTCAAATACTGGAAATCCGTAACCCAGAGCTACAAAGGTCCCATGAGGTTTGAGAACACGCTTGACTTCTGAGAAGAACTTTGGGCGATCGAGCCAATGAATAGCCTCCGCAATCGTCAGAACATCCACTGATCCTGATGAAATATCCTTTAGATCCTCCCCTTTATTGGCGTAATAAGTGAGATTGGGCTTCTGGACTGCAGAAGCTAGCATGGTTTCCGAAGCGTCCACACCATAGGCCTGCTTGAACTTTTCAGCCAAAACGGACGCGACTTGACCGGTACCTTCAAAAAAAAAAAAAAAAAAAAAAAAAAAAAAAAAAAAAAAGAGATCACGCGCGTGTATCAGTCAATCAAATCATAATAAATCTATACGCGCCCATGAGAAGCGGAAATCAATTGAAAAGCCCTGTTTCTTTTTTTTTTTTTTTTTTTTTTTACCTGTGCCAACATCAACAGCCACATCAAACTGGCCATGATTGCGTGAATGGTAGTCGTATACCATCTTGAAGAAATTGGCATTATATCCTGGACGGAAAGATTGATAGAGTGCGCTATTGAAAGTCTTACTTGAGAAAGTGGCCATGGTTGTAACTTAACTTTGATGTGAAGCAGAAGAATAAAAAAGAAAAAGTTGATCGCGTGTATGTATGTATGTGTGTATATATATATATGTGTGTGAATGTCTTTGTGAATGTGAAATGCAAATGAGAATGCGAATGGGGGGCTATTTATATATTATTCTTCCAATCGCGATTTCGTACATTTCACACGCTTTTGCTTGCGACACGACCATACGATTTTTGGACTAGTAAAAAAAAAAAAAAAAAAAAAAGTGCATGAAGTTAGAGTCAAACACATTGACTCATCGTTACTCAAGAAAACGGTCTTGTCGATCGGTGGACGGACTCCTTAAACAAAAAAAGAGTCTTTGGGGCCAGGGTGCGCAAGTTTTGTCCCTCTTTTGCCCCCACATTCAAGATCTAATTATGCGTGTGCGCAGCAAATAGGATAAATAGGGCAAATAGGGCAAACAAGGGAGCAAATAGGATGGACAGGATGGATAGGATTAGGATAAAAACAGAACGGACTGCCAAATCAAGCAACAGTTGCATGTGCACATGCACATTTTTTTTACCCTTACAGCCTTTAGGACTTTGTTGCACATGTCACACACACACACAAACCCAATCCGTTTACTTCATTACTTCATTCTAAACACTCTTGTGGAGTTTCTTGCCTTACAGCGCAGCCAAGCGATCTATGCTACGCATATATACACACAGAGTATTAATACATTTAGTTTTATTTTCAATTGCCTATTGCTTCTATACCATATTCAACCTATTATCACATTCTCTCTCGGTCCGAATCAGGACATGGAGGAAAGGGAAGGAATCCGCTGTCTACAAATGTCAACGCCGGCATTATGTAGTCTAACATTTTTTTTTTTTTTTTGAGTCGACAATCCATTAGATTAGTCTTTTTCAAAACATCTGTTGAAAGCAATATTGTCAATAATGAAGATTCTAATTGGATCTTGATAGGGTTCTAGCAAACAACCCCCTGTTACTTGGAAGGTAAAAAAAAAAAAAGGTCCATTCTTGATGCGGATGATATTCACTACACAAGCACATGTACATAACAATGTCGCGACCAATCCCCCTCTACCCTTTCTCTTTCCCCTATCATCCCAAATCAGCGCTTTTTTTTTTTTTTTTTTTGCTCACGCTCAGTTGCGCTTCGACCATTCCATGATTCATTATTTTCACTCACGATCAAGATCTGCCTCCCATTTTGTTTCAACGCAATACTATAGCACAGATCGTTTTTTTATTTTTTTATTTTTTTATTTACCGTTACATATTCTAATGCACTCTTTTGTTTATATTATACATGTTAGTAGACAAAGGAAAAAAAAAAAAAAAAAAAAAAAAAAAAAGGGCCAGAACTTTTACCTTCCCCCTAGATTCTATAATCATTTTCTAATAAAAAAATGATCGATGTATAAATTTGTTGTGCATGCATCTTGATGTTGCACTAAGCAAAGTGGGATAAAGAAAAGAGGGAGAGTTGTGTATATACATCTTGCTATTAATACCTTGGGTTACTCTATAGAATCCGAATTGTTACTCTGTAGCACCAGCAAGCTCCTCCCACTCCGAGGAAATTAAAAACAAACACACACAACACAACACATCTCAGCCCAAGACGGTTGGATGTAAACTAAAAAGAGCACATCAAAGCTCTTTTCTTTCTTTCTTTCTTTCTTTTGACTCCTTTTCACTTTGACAAATGTGTCTCTCGTAAGCAAAATCAAAAATGGATGGAGGGGATAGGAGGAAAGCGGCGGACATACCACATGCACAACATCAACCAACGGAATATGAGAGCAGCAGCAACGATAACAAACAGCTGCAATTATAATAAATATATGACATCTTTTTCTGGAGAGATCCTTTCTAGCCTCTTGTTCTTTCTTGGCTTTTTCGTTTCGATTACATGTCCGATTCATTGTTGTTTTTGTCTAGATCCTGGCATCCCTTTTTATTTTTTTGTGAATACGGAATAGATAGTATATATATATGTATATCTATATCTATATATATGTTAATGGGTATGGAGAGATCTGCTTTTAATCCTTCTTGAACATGTTTGGCATGGAGTGATGTTTTAGAACTTTAGGCCAAGCAATGCAAACTTCAACTTCACAGGGATAAAAAGATATATGAATTTTTATATTAAATGGAAGGAATATTAATGAGCTCTATATATTTTGCTCAATTGAGACTCTGGATTCTCACCTTTCTTATTATATCATGCACCATGACCATTTCTTCTCTCCTCAACCTCTCCACATACATTAAGATCAGTATTGAATGTTTATCATATGTGCCATTGGAGATATAGTTAAATGATTATATGAGCAAAAACAATAAAGAAGAAACCATATATACATGTATAATATGAATGGAATGAAAGGCGTGAGAAGACTCTAGAAAGCTCAAACAATGGCGCCGGTTTTTCTTTTCCTTTTCTTTTTTAACAGAGCCACGAATAAGAAAACAGACTATGCGTTTGCTGAGAATTCTACTCATTTTCTACTTTGAAATTTAAAAAGAAAAAGAAGAGGAAACAAAAAAAAACAAAAGAGCCCTATTTTCGAATGCTTGTACATGTTATGTGACAAAACATACATGAACTTACATCAACTTACAAACCTATCCTTCTCCCCTTTTCATTGTTTTTTTTTTTCGCCCACTCTTTTATTATATTTTAGTTTATTGGTTCATGTACATGTATGTAGTTTAAACAACTGTGGCAACCAACCGGCACCCCATTCCGACAATGCATGGTGATCGTAGTCTAAACTCCACCTTCATCTTTTCTTTTTCTTTTTTTTTTTTTTTTTTTTTTTTTTCCCTTCCTCACTCTCTTTTCTCTTTTCTCTTTTCTCTCTCATTTTTCTCTTCATTCATCTTCCCTTCCCTTTTTTTTTTTTTTACTCTTTGGATCAGCTCAGCCTTGCTTCTTATTTCCCCTCCCCCTCTTCCACCTCCTCTCTTTTCAACATTTCTTCATAACGCTCATACATCCAACAGCCTACAACTACATTATCATTCCCCTTCGCTCTATATTTTATTTTCAATTGCTCCTTTCAATCAACTTACATACGAAGCCAGGATCTTGGATCATTCATTCATCTGTTCTTCCTACATACACACACATACACAAACACATATACAGTCTTTACATTTTCATTTACACGTATCACTCAACTGCACCCTTCCCCCCTTCTTTCCATGCGCTCAAAAGATTAACAATTGCACACACAATTCCTCTTCACACACTACGTTTTCTATTGAATTAATTCAGGAACAACACATTGACGACACACCCACACCCACACAAAAAAAAAAAGAAAAAAAAAAAAAAAAGAAAAGAAAAGGAAACAGAAAAAACAGAGCTGGCTAATTTTTGGCCATGGTGGAGATCATTTGGGGCGATGAACCAGGAACAGGTCCAGAGGTTGATATTCCTTTAGGAGCTCTCCGTCGCAACATCCTGATCGTGTTCGGAACCACCCTCACCGTCATTGGACTTGTCTCGACCTATTTGTTTCAACAAATCTCGAAAAAGGATAATAACCTTCGACAACGTGGTCGTTACCTTGTGACACTTCAAGGTTACTTTGGCACATTTTGGTTTGCGATCATTTATGCATTCCAAGCATATAAATATCGTTTCCCATGTGCAGTCCTTTACTGGGGTAAATGGAATGTCGGACAAAAAAAAAAAAAAAAAAAATTGTTCAACTGTATATTTTTTTTATATAATATGTGTGTACAAGCCTTCTCCAGCAGGTGCAACAAAAAAAAAAAAAATCCGAACCAATTTTTTGCTCACATTTTTTTTAATACAATGGCGTATGGTCTTTTGGATCTTGCATCATTCCAAATAGGGAGTTACTTAACCTTGGTACCATTCGTACTCTTTGTTCTCGGCCGTAGTTGGCGTCTCATCACGCGATTTCATCGTAACAATGCCATTTACCACGCACGTTTCATTGAACCATCCGATCTAACAGTATTGGGAAGAAGGGGTAGTGTGAATGGACCTGCTGTATCTAGAGAGCAGCAGCATAACGGAAACAACAGCATCAACACTGGCACCAGCAACAGCAATAGCAACGAAAAACTCTTTGAGTTGTCACATCACACTCTGGAAGAAATTGAACAATCTAAAAAATGGTATAATCGCTATAGGACCGTGACCGATCGACAGATATTTTACTTTGGTGCCGGATACATGGCCATGACTACTTCGGTTGCCATCTATTACCAGTTCCGTTCCCCAAATATCTCTATTAACCCTCTGAGCTATAACTGCCATAGTGGAGATGAGGTTAGTTTTTTTTTTTTTTCCTTCCTTCCTTCCTTCCTTCCTTCCTCCAGCTATCTCTACTTGTCTATTGAAGTTACCAACCCTAATCCTTTTTTTTTTTTTTTCCTTTCTTCCAGTATCTGCTACCATATAGTACCATGATTTCCTTCCTTTTTGTCTTGGGGCCATTCATCATTACACGACTAAAAGATGTCAAGGACGGTTTCGGTATTCGAAAGGAACTCATCTTTACATCTCTTTTTTCGATACCATGTGTTGCCCTCTACTTTGTCATGCCCGCACTCTTTCCAAACTTCACAAGAAGGGTTTTGGATAGGACCACTTGGATGGCCCTCATCCTGATAGCCAGTCACCTTACCAGTACATTAATCCCCCTAGTCCAACATTTTCGGACCTATCCTCATCAATGCCAATACACTGCCAGAGCATTTCAGAGAAAAGCACAGCGCAAGACAACTCCAGGAACCTTTTCAACTACAGCAACAGAAGCAACAGAAGATCAGCCATATGATTCTGAAAGTAAGGCTATTGCAAGGAACATTGCCGGTGGTGCGCCGGGTTTCAGACCAGAAGTGATTCCTCTCTATGCAACATCACAATCAACTGGTTTGGATAATCATCAACAACAACGGCCATTCCCTTCAACAACTGCTGTGCCTAAATACAGTGATCTTGTCCAAGGAGCCGTGGATGAATCCTTCCTGGATGATTCTCATCGAAATAACAGTGGAAACAATGTCAACTCGACGCTCAAGGGCCTGACCCGGAACCAGAAACGGGAACGTTTCGGTCTTGGTCTTAGTCTTCGAATGAATAACAGCCAGGGCACCAAAGTCGAAAATAAAAAGACAGATTGGGATGAGTTTATTCGAACACTTGAAGATCGTACATTGTTTAACAGGATGAGCGCGTTCACTGTTCGAGAGTTTTGTGCCGAAAACACCCGTTTCCTATACGAGGTATCACGGTTGGAGAAGAGGGCTTTACAGTATGAACATCTACGGGATTTGACATCAAGCTCATCATCGCACGACTTGTTGCAACAGACTGCCGCCACAGCATCTTCACCTTCAGTTGCTGAAACGACCACAGACGTGTCATCGACTTTGCCAGCATCGGATAAAATAACAAAGTCATCTTCTGTAGGGACCAGAAATTCGGTTATATCACCCCTCCCAACTCACTTTTCAAATACCGGCAACGGCTCGGCTAGTAGCCATCAGGGACCACATCGAATCAAAAAAATCGTCTCTGCATCTTCTGTTTCATCCACTATGCCAATCCTAGTTCGTCGATCCTCTTCGTCCTATTTTGATGATTCAGAGCCGTCTTCTCCATCGGGAACGTCCTTTCGACAGCATGGCTCTAATAATTCTTCTACAGCACTGCCAGGACTGGAGGGAGGCGTTGGCGCTCAAACAGATTATCTTAATCACCATTATCATCAGGACAATACAATCCAGACAGCATCGACAACGCCAGCACCATCATCAACAGCGGCTTCAACGATCATTAACATGGGACCTTCATCACCTCAAGAACACGATAGCGCACCGACCACGACTAAAAGATCGTTTGCGCCTTTACCGATGCCACCTACATTGTTGATCCACTTCGAGTACGTCTACAAGACGTTCATTGTTAGTGGTGCGCGTTTGGAGCTTAATTTGTCTCATAAGACCCTGCAAGAGATCCATCAAATGGCTCGACGTGGCGAATGGCGATCAGGAATGTTTGATGGAGCTATTTATGAGATTCAGGAGCTACTCTTCCGAGATGTCTGGCCCAAATTCGTCACCTCATCCCAAGGCTTGAACTACAGTGGATCGTCACCCGACACTGCCACTCCAGCTAACAGGACTGATTCTAGCGTGAGTACGAGGGATAGAGCTCATTTACAAGAGGCCATCTTCCCAAGTGGGAGTGGACCATCCTCGACCCATGGATCTAGTCATGACAATACAGCGCTGTTTGTTCCATTTGATCAGCAACAGCGTCAACAGCAACAACGTCAACAGCAGCGTCAGCAGTCTTCCTCTTCTCTTCAGCGGAAGGCCACCATCCCCGAGCCCCCCTCCATCATGCTGACTTCTCAAAAGTCCCCCCTATCTAGAGGAGCATCTTCTTCTGATACTGGTGCAGGCTCTGCGAACGAGGCGATTATACAAATGAGTGCAGGAAACAGCGGCAGTGTTGGTGGTGGTGGTGGCTACTATAATGGCGGCTATTATAATTACAACAATGGAAGCGGGAGTGCTGTGTCCTTTAATATACAAGGAGCACCACACCACTACAACCATCAGGGCCGCACAGCAGCATCAGCATCAGCATCAGCAGAAGATACATTTCCTGAGGGAGTATCTCGATCAGGACCAGGACTCAAATCCTGGTTTACAAAGAAGAGTCGAACAGGGATGGCATTGACCTCCAATAATACAGAAGAAGAATCTTTGGGAATCATTGAGCAGAGTCGAAAGAGTATGATGGATCGTAGGAGTGGTAATTCGGATTTATACTCGAGTAGTCTTCAGAACGCCTCTGTGCTCAAGTGAACAAGAACAGATGGCAGATAGGATGATGCGACAAACAAGCTTTTTTACTATGACAATTTTAGACTTTTATCATTTACAATTACTACTATTATGCAACAACTACAACTACAACTACAACTACAACTACAACTACAACTACAACTACAGCTTCTACAACTATACATATATTTAGTGCCAGCACTAAGTAACTAAGCATCAGCAATTGGCTTTTTATTTATTTATATTCCGCCCACTGTATCATAGCCTTCCCATTCCCATCACAATAATAATATATACTTGTCAATGTCAAACATAAATATATAAATATATATACATATTGTTCAGTTCACTTGGCCATGATATAAAGTATGTATTATGTTTTATACACTAACACGCAAAAAGCATTCTCTTTTATTACTTAGGGGCTATCTTTGTAAACGCTGATCAAACTTGGTACAAATAAAGCTCCCCATTCACCATTTTTGTCACTATTGCGTATAATTCTTTCAGCTTGGTTCCTGATTGAAATAGCAAGTTGGTCATGAACGCGTTTTTTGATATAAAGATCAATCCTTTTCTTCTTGTCCTACTTATATTTTATCAAAGCTCATGCCTCCTCCTCCTCCTCCTCCTCCTCCCTCGCCCGAAGACACCACGATAGTGGTTTCGAGGAAGAAGCCTTCTCCTTGAGGCAGATATGAAAAGTTAGAGTCGCTAAAAATCATATGACTTTTTTTTTTTTTTTTTTTTTTTTTTTTTTTGGATTTGATATGGGGGTAAAGTGCAAGTGCTGACTGACAGGGCATGGACCATGGTGGCTAGGATCATGAATCCCAATTGATAAGTCAAAACTAGTCAACGACTTTCTGGCGAGGACTCTACTACTTTATTTTACAGGCGTGGGCGAGCTAAAGCCCAATAACAATGGCGAACAAGGTCAAGACCTTCCCTTAATCCCAAAATGCACGGCAATTTTGTCGATTGGAGAAGCTCCACCAAGAGAATATAAGAGTGAGGATGAGGGGTAAGGCAAGTTCATCTACACTTAATTGGGTATTCGCTTCTTTGTATTTGCTATTTTATATGTCTGAGATTCGTTATGCCATTGGATGCTTCTGCAGACAGAAGTCCTTAAGAGTGATCAGAATTTCTATGGCAACACTTAAAATTGCTAAAATAGATGGGAACCTCCAACCGGGTTCTTTTATGAGAAAGCGATGAAGGATGATTATGGTTGACATCTTTTTTTTTTTTTTTAAGCATGTGCACATACAAAATTCATATGTGTTTGAGTGTGCACTCTCTGTTCTGTAAGCTGTGTGTGTAATCAATCTTTATTAACTATTAACACTCGAGATTCCAGAATAAGTGGTGAATGATGTCTGATGGTAGAGCACTTGGTCAAGCAGGCTGAAATTTTAACAAGCATGCTGAAAAATTGAACCAGCATGCTGTAAAAATAAACCAGCATGCTTGAAAATTGAACCAGCATACTGGAAATAAGAAGCAACATGCTGGAAAAAAGAAGCAGCATGCTTGAAAAACGAACCAGCATGCTGGAAAATCGAACGAGCATGCTAAATAATTGAACCAGCAATGCTGGAAAAATTAACAAGCACGTGCTTCTCAAAAATCGCTGCTGCTTCCTCAAAAATGAAGCTTTGATCATACGTACAAATGTACAAATGTACGAAGAATAACATATTTCCCAGGACAACAGCCCTACAGCCTCAAATTAATAAGGAAATCTCTCAACAAGATGGAATAAAAAACCTAAATAATGTGGTGCTGCGATCCCATATTCGATTCTCATCCCACACAATGATGACTTGAATGATGATGGAGGGGCTTTATTGGTGTGCCAAGTATATTAAATGTCTACATAGATGGGGTTCCTAAGAAATGAAAGAGTAAAGCTAACAAATAGGGTTGACCTTGACTCATTTTTGCGTGTTGGTGTATATATATAGAGAGAGAGAGAGAGATATCTGTTCCGAGCCTGCGCTTATTTATGGGAAGCCAAGCATTCTAGCATTGTTCTCGGAAAGGACTTTGTAGTCCTCGGTGGCCTTCCAAGCCTTGATTGAAGGATCCGAATCAATAACCTCCTTGACCTTCAAGATACCAGGAGTCTTCTCGGGCGAGATCAAGCCCTCCTCCGCAGTGATCATCTCCAAAAGGCAGATGAAGAAGTAGGCTCTGAAATCAGCGAGACTCAACTTGTTACCAACGAAATGGCCATTGGTTCCATTGTCCTTCAAGTGCTGCTCATTATATTTGATCCAATTGGCGATAGGGCCTGCGACCAGCTCTTTCCTGTTCTTCTCCTGAAGCTCCTTGTCGTCTTTGACAGCGAAATAGCGGACAAAGATCTTCGAGTTCACATCCATGAGCTGAGAGACAAAGGTGTTGATGGCAGTCTCTTCGAACAAGTTGGAGCCGTAGAAACCAAATTTGCGAGCCAGGTAGCGTTCAATTGAATCGGACTCTGCGATCTGGAGGGAAGTCTTGCCATCAGCTGAAATCTCCTTGAGCAAGGGCATGACACCAAAAGGTGCCTTGGGCTTTTCCTCGGCCCAATTGTCGCCAGGGAAAATGTTGGTGAACTTTGCGCCAGCGGCTGCGAGGATGAGGCGAATGGCAGTGGCCAAACCGTGGACATTAAAGTAGCGTACCTCAAAGGTGGTATCCTTCTTTTGGCTAAGCTCGTCGAAGGCGGCAGCTTGAGCGGGATTGAAGAACTCGTGAACCATTGTGAAAGGAATGTTAGTTGCTGATGTGGTTGTTAGCTTGAGACTGTGGTGCTGATGAGGATGAGGAGAAAATAAAAGAGAGGAAAGAGGTAGGGGAACCCGTCCTTTTTATACCTCAAATTTTGATGCGGATATTGTCTAAAGGCTGATGTGGCAAGTGATGGAAGGCTAAAGAAGCGCTCTCATTTTCTACATACTACGCTGATCCCAGGATATTTTCTTTTGCATAGATCGCGCCTTTTCCTTCTCCGATCCTAATCACTGAATTAATAATCGACGATGATTGCACTACATGTACATACAACTTTCTTGTCCATTGATTTTTTTTTAGTCTCATACTTTCTTTTTTAGTCATTAAAGAATGTCGTAGAAAAAAAATAAAGAAGGCTACGTACACTTACCTGAAAGAAAGTTTAGTCAAAAATAAAACTTTGAAGAGAAGCGCTATCTTGCCGTTTTTTCTCAGGATGGGCTGCCAAAAACGTCAGTCGTTAGCCACATTGACCTCATTAACAAAAGTGTAAACTTCCATCTTAGTTGATGAAGTCTTTATGTATGTCACGTATGAGCTGTTTTGTCAGAGGTTCAAAATAAAAAAATATAGAAAAAAAAAATCATTTTGAACAACTTTCTCTCCGGTGACTGCATGTTCTATGTGCTTAATAATCCCAACTATTGAGAATCTAATAAAAAATAAAAAAAACTAGCAGCATGAGAGCGGCGTAAAATTTGTTTGATGGGGCTGAGGTTATTCAAAATTAAATAAAGTAGCGCATTTCTTCATTGCGCAGGGCATTTGTCAGCACTCAGATTTGCCCATCATTTGACACCATTCTCCCATGCGGTAAAAAAAAACCAAGTTTCTTGTATCTAAAAACCGGCTTGTGGCAGTTCACATCGAGCGTCATCAGCGGGTTGGCTGTGCATGCTTCACCTGAAACGAGAGACTGATGAAGTCCTCGTTGCCTATTCGTGGTCACGTTTTTTAAAACAATGGGTCACGATCTTCCCTGGATAGGACAGTCGCAACTGGTGCTTTTGATGTCTTTTGACTATTGGTTTATACAGAAAACGAACTGAATCATAGATGTGGGGAATTCAAGAGTGACAAATATCTCTATTTTTGCGAAGCCCCAAAGTGATATGAGCAACTATCTCGTTGGACACAGTAGTCACTAAAGAACGCAATGAGCAGCACATCCTGGATCGAGTGAAATATAAAATAATATCAATAAAGTATTCACTAAATAATAGACTCAAGTCATGAAACAATATCTCGAATTCATTAGAAGAAACGATAAAGATATTGGGAAAATAAAATATAAAAGGATTATGCCTTTATTATTGGACAACTTAATAAACTATTAGTTCTTATTATTTGATAGCTGAAGTGTCGTCCGGTGTGCTGGCGCCAGTAGCCGGAAGCGAACGCATGAGGATTAACAGAGAATGTGCATTTGTTGAGATGCCAGCTTGGTTCTACAGACGCATCTGTTTTAAGATAACTAAGCTGGCTCATTCGGTAACTTTTCTCTAGAATAAACAAAACATCTTAAAATCGTTGCATTGGCTGTTCCCGAGATAGTGAACTTCAAAACCGTGTCCAATTATTAGGACTGATAATGGTAGTCGTGGATACTCCTAAAAGTGCTTTCACGCGGAAAATTAAACAGCCTAAGATGATCCTCATTAAGACAACAGAGCTATCGTATTGCTCTCGACTTCCAGGCATAGGGCACGTAGATTGTACGATTCTTCTTTTCGTTCCGCTGCTTGCTATACTTTTTGACTGACGAGATGCCTTGCCTGCGAACAAAAAGTATACATGATGTTCTATTGTGAATACCATGCATATATGAGAACAAAGCGCAAATATGCAAAAATAGGAAGCAAGTGCCCTTGTGCCATTGCATAGATGCAGTGGAAAATAAAGGCAAGATAAGAAATCGGTACGTAACTTATCGAAATTATTAACATTTGCACACAGGCAAAGGTCCTGCTTTTTGGCAGCTATAACGGTCCTTGCATGTCGTCCTTTACATTAGGTTCCAAAGCATCGAAGAATTTTGTGTTCGGGTTAACTTTGACTTCAACAATTATTTCAGTATTGTCATCAAAGCAGTATTCGACACCGGACATTGTGTCCGCTCCATCATATGTCTTTTAGATGACATGACAAGAAACTCGTTCTACTACGAATCCTTCTTCATGATTTTTTGTCGGATAACAGTTCCTGTAAATCCTAAGTTCTGTACAAAATACATGTACTGAATCACCTCTCCTTCGGTGTTTTTAAATATAGTCCACGTGTTAAATACGCGCGGTGTTTCATTATGGAATCATTGTGTTTGGTATCTGTGTATTATTGAACTTGAGATTTTTTTTTTTTTTCTCCGATCCTTATTCCAAAACATCTTTCATTCAAGACTCTCATTCAGTCAAGGACAAAAAAAGAAAAGGATCCCCTTTTTTTTTTTGCTCATTCCATTCAGAAGATGAGCCGAGGAATGCATTCAACAACTGATGCTCCTCCTATTGCAATAGGTCGAATACAACCATCCGTTAATACAGTTCTAGATCTTGCACGAGGGAGTGAACAGCATATTGTTCGACTTTATTATCTTCCTACGCCCAACACCAATGGATTCACAACGACACATACCATTGTCTCATCTTCACTCTCACCTTTACCTTCCTCCTCTTTAACTTTATCCTCACCTTTATCTTCTCCATCTTCTTCACGCGCGAGAAGTAGCAGCAATGTTTATCAACCAGACATGAAGAGAAATCATCATGATATATGGTCAGAACAGGAACACCATCACCGCCATCACCAACAACAACAACCACATCGAAAGCAATATCAGAAACACAAGAAGAGAGCCTCCACATTCTCATTAACTGAAGGTCCTCGACGACATTACCGACGCATCTGGCATTTGACACGAGTATCTGAACATGAACGTGGAATTGTTCATTTAGCAAGAATGCGAATCTCGACCATGGTAACTACCAGGTGCTTAAAAAAAAAAAGAAAAAAAGAAAAGAAAAATGATAAAGGAAACTTTCATTCAGGACTTTATATTGATATCTGAAAAAAAAAAAACTCATTATCAATCGGTTTCTATATTCTTTTATATATATAGATCATCCCAACCTCTTCACTCCCTTTCCTTTCTCACCTAGTATCATTACGCCTACAGGGCAACATGTTGACAGAGATTCCTCTTCAAGTCTTTCGTCTTCCTTCCTTGAGAGAACTGGATGTCTCTCAAAATTTACTCACAGAGATCTCCGGATTGATTGGCTTATTGGCCCCTACACTAGAAGACTTGTTCTTACAATCCAATCAACTCACCAGTTTACCTCAACAAATAGGTCGATTGAAACGATTGAGGCTTTTGGATATTGCGGATAATCAACTAGGATGTATTCCGGTGGAAATTCAACGGCTCGTATCAGGATCATTTACTACAGCTGCTACGAATGCTACGGCCTTTGCTACTACTGTTGCTATGACAGCCACTATGCCTGCGACAGTTACTGTTGCCTCCCCACCTGAGACATTGAATCAGGCTGAGGGATCCTCTAGCAATTCTGGTAATATCAGCAATAGTAACGTCAACATCGACAATAGTAGTAATGGTAGTAGCAACAACTCAACAGAACATCAGCACCCTCAACCTCAACATCCTCGTCAGCACCATCTTCTTTTTCATCCCCCACTTCCTCGCTTAAGCGGAAATGCTGCCCCTGCTGCTGTTGCTACTCTCAACCCCAGTGTATTGCTGGGCGTATTGAATGAAGAAGGCGGTCATGATGATGATGACTATGTGCAAATACGCCAAGGAATGAAGTGTTGGGCGCGAGGAAACCGATTTTGGCAGGCCAGGACACCCTCTTCATCTTTTTCTTCCTCTCCATCCTCTTCTTTTTCCTCAACAGGCTCTTTAATCAATGTGATGCCTTTATCTCCAATGAGTGCAATATCATCAGCCGATACAAATAGCGCATCAACAGCAATAATACCAACAATGACAACCAATCCAAGTTCAAGTCCAAGCCCAAGCCCAAGCCCAAGCCCAAGCCCAACTCCAACCTCAACTTCAACTTCAATTTCGACCCCAATTCCAGTAGCTCCAGTAACAACATTCTCATCATCACCTTTATCGTCATCACCTTTATCGTCATCACCTTTATCGACACCATCACCCACCCCTCCATCTTTTTCATTAGTTTCTACGTTCCCTTCATCTCAAGGATCGATGCCCACATTACCGTCCATGGAGTCGCTTACAATTTCATCAAGAAATAATAACAATCCTACCACTTCTACTGCTGCTAGTTCAGCCAATAGACCGAGCTCATCATCATTTGACTCCAGCGGCATTAATCATAACCATAACCATAACCATAACAACTACAACCACCATGGTCACTATCATCATTATCATCATTATCGTCAGCACGTCTATATCCAACATCCTCAACATGCTCATCACTCAATTCAACCACAACCTAATCAAGCTCAAAACCATAACCAAAATCAATACCAATATCATAACCAACATCATGATCAAAGCCGAAACCAAAGGTGGAGTCATCATCAACATCAGCATCAACAGGCTCCAGGTCCAGAACATTTAGTTGACAAGCGTGGGTACAGTAAGGATAGTTACACCTCCTGTTCATGGACATTAAGTCTTGCAGATATCTGCTCTCAAATCGTGGGAGAAAAACTTTATGATGATCCACACTATTTTTGTGAACCAAAAAGTTGTCCATTCAAGAAGCAGAAACGGAAACAGAGCCAGAGCCAGAGCCAGAGTCAAAGTAGGAGTAAAAGCAAAAGCAAGAGCAAGAGCAGGAGCAGGAGCAAGAACAAGAACAGGAGTCAGCAGTCTCAACACAAGAGGCAAACCCCTTTAAATATGGGTGCGAAGCAAATAGTTGGAATGGATTTGATTGAAGAAGAAGGAGATGATGATGATGATAGCAATGATGATGATGATGATGATGATGATAGCGATGGCTGTATGATCATGTTGATGCCGGAATGGATGATGGAACAGCCAGGGTTTGCTCATTTATTTGAGCTACGTAAATCTTTGCTATTACAGCAACAGCAACAGCAACAGCAACAGCAACAGCAACAGCAAACAATTTCAGGACAAGAAGAAAAAGTCAAGGACGACGACTGGATTGATTTAACTCATGAGAGCCAAAATCAGGGTCAAAGCCAAAGATCTAGCTTTAACCGTCTCGCTTCCTTTGAAGAAAACGAAAACAAAAACAAGATCAAAAACAAGAAATCAGGACCTTTATTGCTGTTAAATGCTGCGCCACCCTCCATATCTCTTACACTTGAGGAAAGAGAGATGGAATGTGAATATTGTTCAGTTTGTCAGAAACGACTGTATTTTGCAGGGATGCGTTGGAAGGGACTTGGAGTGATGGATGAGATGATCGTACCTTTGGAGTGGATCGCTTGTTCAGTTCAATGTAGAGCTCGAGCAGAACATGGAGAGGGACGGGATCCTCATAGCCGTCAACACCAACAGCAGCGTCAACATCAACATTATCATAATCAAGAACAACAACAGCAACAACAGCAACAACAGCAGCAACTTGGCAATCGCAATTCTAGCCGTAACTCTAATAGGGTGTCCTATAATCCCTCAAATCTTCCATCATACGGTTGTTCTTCCTCCTCCTCGTCATCTTCTTCGACTATGACACCAACGAATCAAGGAAGGACATCAAGGGCATCTCGGAGCACTAGTATGAGCATAAGTGTCTCAACTCAGCCTTCATCAAATGTAGAGTTCCAACATGGGAATCACATGAAGATTCATCAAGGGAATCAGCAAGGCCTATCGCCTAGAGTCTCTCCTGCTACAGAATCAGCGACAAGTCCAGTTGTGTCAGTAGAAACAATGGATCACCGATACCGACAGCGGAATTACTATCATTATCAACAACAGCAGCAACAGCAGCAACAGCAGCAGCAAGAGCAGCAGCAAGAGCAGCAGCAGCGAGAGACACAATCTCTGACACAGCCACGACCACAGACACAGTTTCAACCAGTAGTGCAACTCAACTCCAACTATAGAGAAAATGTACTTTATGGCTTAATTAAATCGCGGACTCTAAGGAGAAGGACTCGGTCCTTATCTCTTTAACACAACAAAAAAGAAAAAGAAAAGAAAAATATATATATATATTATATATTATTCCTTTCCTAATGGAGAAAGAGAACCCGGTTTTATCGCTCCGTCATTTTGTTTAATTATTTAATTGTTGATGTATTAGGTGTATTAGGTGTACATTAATGTCTTTGTGTTCATGTGTGTGAGTGAGTTGAGTGAGTGAGTGAGTGAGTGAGTGAGTGAGTGGAATGTTGTTTCTGGTATGGATATGATAATCTGATCCTGTCTATCCGATCGGAAGATTGATTGCTTTTTTTTTTTTACATGTCACTACTTGTGACGAGGTTTGGGGAAAGGAAGCAAAGTCATTGGTAACTCTTAAGAGATGAAACATTGTAATACATGTATATCATTTTGCCTTGTAGGTTTTATATATGAATTCTTTATTATTATTTTTTTCTAGCTCAGATGGTTGAATGTCATGCTCATTAGAGGTTGTCTTTCACCTCGGATATACCATTTTGAATTGACTCGGTTGGATGGGATCGAGGTTGGAGAAAGTAAAAGGACATCTCAGATTAAAGAAACATATACATGTATATATATATACCTAAAGATCGGGGAATAGATGAATAAAGAAAATAAAATAAAACCCTATTTTTTCTTTCTTTTTTTTTTTCTTTTTTTTTTTTCTTGGGAATGTTTGGAACTCGGAAGCGGAAGGAAGGGAAGGGAAGGGAAGGGAAGACAAGACCTTGAAATGAGTTTTGGAGGGAACGGGGGGTTTAGTGTGGATTATGTTCAATGTTTCGAGTTGGGTGTTTCGTATTTCGGATCTCCAGTTTCGAGTTTCGAGTTTCGAGTTTCGATGATCTTGGTAACTTTAAGGACTATACCAAAGAACAAAAATGAATATATATTTATATAATAATAATAACAATAGTAATAATGTCGGATGCCATTTCGTTTACTTGCTTACTTGCTTACTTGCTTACTTACTTCATGTGTTTATGAGAGATAGAGAGAGTGAAAAGAAAAGAGGGGAAAGAATTCTCACGTCAATAAACAATTACCCTAAACATTCTGTCGTCATTAAATTAATCTTTTTTTTGTTTATTTCTCGGGTTGCTGGGGCCTAAACCGACTAACCGGAAATAGGAGGTTTAATGAAATGATGTCCGTGGTTTCCTCCCCATGGTGGTGGACAAGGTCATTTTGGTAAGCACTTTAGTATAACTTTCTTTCTTAGTGAAATTAGTTTTGGGTCATGGATAATATAATATATATAATATATATATAAATATTCGTTTTGGCACTTGAAGGACGGCTGTTCTTAAACATGTATACGTATATATATATATATAATAAATATGTAACTACTTAATTGTTTAGCTGGTAGGGGAACCCACAAAGAGGAACCGGACGAAAAAAAGAATAAATAAAAATGATACAGCTTATATTATGGATATAATAATAATACATATATATATATGTATATATATATATACGTATATGTCCCTACTTGAACATGGCTAAGCTTTATATAATACGCTGATTGTAATCTTTACTGGATCAATTACGAATGATCACCTTCTGCATGGATATAACATAAGACATCATCGGCGATCTATCTTAAGAGTTTCATATAATATAATATAATATAATATGTAAATATTATTTATATAGTCCATAACACATGACTAGTTTTATTCTTTTTTCCAACTAGTTTTTATTTTTTTTTTTACTAGTTTCTATTTTAGTCCGGGTTCATTGGGACTCACTTTATACACTCTACTGGCCCCAGCTTTAGTAATAAAAGAAAAAGAAAAAGAAAAAGAAAAGAAAAAGAAAAAAGAGTTTTGAATCAATTTCTCGTGTCTTGACATCAATTAGCTTTCCATGTCTGAGGATGGGAGCTACTTTTTTTTTTTTTTTTTAAGAAAATGATCGACTAATCAGCATATACGGATTCATATATTACACATGTGTATATAAAGATGACACTATAGATTTGCCAAAGGAACTTTAAAAAAAAAAAGATCGAGGAGCTACATCTGCGAAATTGCGATATCATTTAAGACATATGGATATTGAAAGAAAGTAAGAAAGATAGAAAGGACGACGAACGAAAGAGAAGGAAGGAAACCTTTTTTTTTTAAAAAAAAAATAAAAATAAAAAATAAAAAAAATAAAAATAAAAAATAAAAAAAATAAAGAAAAAGGAATGGGGCGTGGAGATAGCTTGAATTGGGTTATAGTTAATATGATAATGATGTTGATTGACATTGACATTGACATTGACATTGACATTGATCTTAACACTGATATTGAGATAATTAATAATGAATGGTGATGATGACAATGACAGTGATGATGATGATATATATATAGCTTTGTGCTGTGCTGTTGCTGTGCTGTACACGCAAGTTTAAACAAGGGCTGTTTCGCACTTTTGCAGCAAACAGGTTCACGTTTTTTGTATAGATATATATATATATATATATATACTATATGCTGTACCAGATTGTCTAAAAAGCTTAAGATCCAGGACCAATGGGCTTCTTCCCATGTTACCATCTCTTACTTTTATTTTGCTCCAATTGCTCTGGTAACGTTCTTTTTTGTTGTTTCCAGTGGTAAGAAGTTTGTACAGTTACGTGTATGGATGTACATGTTATTTGTACATGTGGTTCTTTTAGATAAAAAAAAAAAAAAAAAAAAAAAACGCGTCAACAAAAGTATATTTGAATTTTCAAAAGCAAAAATTGTACACAGCAAAAAAGAAGAAAAAAAAAAAAATCCAATGTACTATTTTGCTTGTATACGTGTTTATTGACAATGCCTCTTAGACTTGTAATGCCATGACGATTTGTTATATCCCATGTGTTATACCACATCGTGTTCGATAATTCTCTCTGACGAAGACAACGCCTCAAACCACGACAAATGAATGAAACTTTGTGTACAAGTTGTATGTATGATTTCTTTTTGGTCCACTTTCTGCTCTCCTGCACGTCGAATGTCATTGTGCTCTTTTTTTCTTTTTTTTTTTTTTTTTTTGTTTTCTGAGCACAGAGAGAAACAAGTAAGAAAAGAAAAAAAAAAAAAAGAGCATCTATCCATCCTAGTCTATGCTTCAACAACAACAATAGGGAAAAAAAACAGCGAAAACAAAAACAACCAGAAACATCAATGAAAAAATGGCACGGCCTTTTTTTTTTTTTTTTTTTTTTTTTTTCCTTTGTGGTTCCCCTCCTACCCCCTCTCTTTCTTCATCACAAACAAAAACTGAGCAAAAACAGAAAAAAAGAAAAAAAAAGCAAGACATTTCACAAAAAAAAAAAAAAAAGAGCGATGAAAGCAGAGAGCAAAAGTAAGACATCTGTTATACAAAAAGAAACAACAATAACAACAACAACAACAACAACAGAGAAGACACACTATCTATTCATCTCTCTCTCTCTCTCTCTCTATCTTTCTCTCCCCTTTTTGCTCGCTCGCGGCTCTTTTTTAGATGCTCATAGCCCATAGCATTTATACTAACATACGCGCCTAAAAAGATAATAAATAGAATTCCGCGGAATGAACCCCAAAAATTTGGCAGAGTATATGTCATTGTGTAAATAAAGCATGTAAAAAGAAAAGGCATTACAAATAAGTTGAGGAGAGCATACGTAAAAACAGAAGAGCGCGAGATGTTAATAGATAGATAGATAGAAACATAAAGAGCATCGTTTAAATAATAATAATAATAATAATAATAATAATAATAGAAAACGCGAACGCGGTCTTTGGCCAATAACCTAATTTCAGCTACTTCAAAAACACGCGGGTGGTTCATTAGTAATAGTGAACCCGAGAAGGGTCCAGGTGATTCTAAACTGGAGTTATGGAGAGAGGGCCTGTGTTTCCATCAGAGGTAATGTTAATGTATTGGGATAATAATATCTTTACTCTTCTTTTTTGTTTTGTTTTTCCATTTTCAAAGACTTTGGGTTTCTAAAGTTGAATACTGACTCGATTTCATGAGTCTCAGAGGTTGGGAACAGAGACATATTATATGGAGAGAGTAATCAAGGCAACAAAAAGACTAACGGGTAAAATTATTAAGGCCAGGCCAGGCCAAGAATTTGCAAGCAGCAACCATAAAAACGCGCATGTTTGAATGTAGAACAGACGATAGGTTACTTTTTTTTTTTTTTGGCAACCGAAAAAAGTTCACGGTGGTCTCAATGGTTGGTTCTTCTCTCTTTCTCTCTCTCTCTCTCTCTCTGTCTTTTTTTGCCCTTTACTCCTTCCTGTCCCGTTTCCATATCTTTATTTTATTTTATCTTTTTTTTTTTTTTTTTTTTTTTTTTTCCCGTCTCCCGATCCTTTTTCTTGAATCAGAAAAGAAAAAAACTTCATTCGTAGTTGTGTAGTAATGAAGTTTTAGAAACAAAACAAGAAAAAAAAAAAGTTTTGCTACCTTATAGGTACCGTCTCCAGGGCTTATTCGTAAACTCTATTTGGAATCTGGATCAAGTGGGTCCTTTTGAAAATAAAAATAAAAATAAAAATAAAGATAAATAAGAAGAAGATCCAGGGAGGGGTGGGTATTTTAGTATGAGAATAATATGACATGACATGTATGTATGTATAATTCATGTACCAAAAAAATAAATAAAAAATAAAAAAATAAAAATGAGAAACAAAAGTAAATGAGAATATAAGACAAAAGGAAAAGTAAGAAAGATTTACTTTATTTTTTTTACTTTTGCTCAATTCTCATTCGATAGGGTTCAGGTGAATTATGGCCTTTGTTAATATGCGGGGTTATTTAAGCAAAATATAAAAAAAAAAAAAAAAATCTTTAACAGGAACTCCATCTATCCCAGTCCATGCATAATACAATAAAAAGCTGTGCGGAAAGGATTAAAGGGAAGGCGGAGAAGGGCAAGATTAGCATTGAGACAAACGAAAGGACGATCGATCGAATCGAAAAAAAGTAAAAAGTAACATGCATTGTGTCTTATATTAAATATACTTTTGGTGAATCCCATCGGGTTTTTCCGATTGGGGGACAGAGAGATAATGAGGATCACTTTTATGTTTCCGCCTCACTCTCTGTTCTACATGCCACCGTAACCACTCTAAAATATCTTTTCTGTCTGACTAAGAGAGGAAAAAACAGAGAGAACGTGTATGTGAGGTGTGTGTGACATTAGGAGGCATCTACGAATTATAGATCTGTTGCGTAAACAACGCGTCGTTCTTTTTTTTTTTTCAACATTCCTAGGTTTTCTTTTTTTAATGGTGAGGTGGCGAAGGCATATAATATACAGTTTTCGACCGATTATCTGAAAACTGAAAAAGGCTCTGGAAATGAGTAAAATAAATTAGAGAGAGAGAGGAGAGAGCGAAGGGAAAAAAAAAAAAGAGGGTGGTAAGGAGAACTCATTAATCGTACACATCAATGTTTGAGATTCGCGAACAAAGCGCAGAAGCATTACATTTCATTTCTCTCTCTCTTTTTATTTATTTGCTTGCTCTTGCTCTAGCTCAACAAACAAATCAACAAGAGGAAGTGAGAGCATTTAGGACAGTTGGAATAGAGAGAGAAGAGAGAAAGTAAAAAAGAAAAAAAAAAAAAAGGTCGGCTTGTAGAAAAGAAAGAGGGAGAAAGAGAGAGAGAGAAGAGGGGGGCGTGGTTATCCTTTTTGTGATTAATGGCGATGATAAATATTTATCTTTTGATACTTTATTTTTCTCCTTTTTTTTTTTTTCTTGAGCGTAGTTGCCTCAATCATCTCTTTTGATTTGTTTTCCTCTTTCCTTTCCCTTTTTTCCCTTTTTCCCAGTCGGTCTGTTAGCTTTTTGGCTTTGTCAGCCTGACCAGCCTCTCAGGAGCAAAAGTGAAGAAAGAAAGAAAGATAAAGGAACGTAACATTGAACAGAAAGAAAGAAAAAACCGTTGTTTATTTTAGCGTTTTTTTTTTTTTTTTTTTTTTCTTTCATTTTCTTCATTTTTAATTATGATCTCGAAACAAGGAGTAAAAAATAAATAAATAAACAAGCCAACTATCCCTGCATCTGGTTTAGCGTCAATATATATTTTTTTTTTCAACAGATGTCCTTTTTTACCTTTTCAACGGCTCTCAAGAAAGGGTGGCGAGCAACAAAGGGGTGAAGAAAAAAAAAAACTTTCCAGCATGCGTATAGACTCAAGCTCAGTGCGGTAAGCAATGCTCTTTTTTTTTTCTGGTATACTTTGCGCATAATGTCAGAAGGGTAGTACAACATGTAGAATCTTTTCCACACAAACAAACAAACAAACTTTTGTTTTTGGCGTTCAAATAACAAAGAGATAGTCATGAGAAATGAAGAAAAATAAGGAGACGAAAACAGTGTGAGAGAATAAGCGTGGCCAACCATAATAGAAAGAAGCAACAAAGAGTCAAAAGGGGATACAATGACAGAAATGAGAAATTAGAAAGTGATAGAGAGGCGTTTCCTTGTCATCAACTCTATTCCCTGCATGACATAACCCATTGAACCTTTGAGCATTTTTCTTTTTCCCGACCTCAAACTTCTCCCAGCAATTTTATATATCCATACAACAAAACAGAACGTTCAAAAAAACCTTTTTTTTTTTTTTTATATCATTTGTTGCATGGTAACCAAGGTCTGTGTGTTCACGCCTCTTTCTCTCTTTCTTTGTGGCCAGAGTGGCAAGTGGCGAGTGGCAAGTGTAGGCTTATAGATCATATAAACATTCATCCCACATCTATACAAATACAAATAACAATTACGCATATTGCACATTATACACCTTATTTACTATACACAAACATTATCAACTCCATGTGTATATCATGTGCCTTCAATTAACTTTACACCTCATTGCTCCATAGCTTCATTCTCCCAATTTGTTGTCATTGTCATTGTCATTGTTGTTGTTGTTGCTATATATTACTTCTTGACGCCTCTTTCTACATTACTCTATTTCCCATATCTAACGTTAAAGGTAAAGGCGTGGAATGAGGTACGTGTTGCGCCTTCAAAATAATAATAATAATAATAATAATAATAATAATAACAATAAATAAAAATAAAAAAAAAAAGTAGATCCCGCCCCAACAGATTCTAATCTCTATAGTCCTATAGTCTCTATAGTCTTTATAGTCTCTTAGTCTCTATGTTTCAAAAAAAAAAAATGTACTCCTACCTAGTCCTCTGGTCTTCCTCTCCAGTTTGGTAGTGGGTCTTCCCCAGCTTCTCCTCTCATTGGCGACCTTGACATCTGCTTATATAGCTTACTAACTATAGTAGGCATAATAGTGGGGAGGAGGGACACATGGTGATCATGATGACTTTTTTTTTGTACTCCATGATCCTTTCACTCCTCGTTGACTGGCTAGGATTTATCTTTAACGCGTTTTTAATTTATCATCCTACAATCTGTCTAATGAGATCTCTTCAATCTTTTTTTTTTTTGTTGTTATATGTTTTTTTTCCTTCTTTGTAAAAAAAAAAAAAAAAAAATTGTAGGCGGATCTTGGAATCCAAGTTCCCAGATCTATCCTGGTTTTTATTAATAATAGCTTTCTTTTTTTTTTTTCCCCCTCATGATCATCTTACGCCCAATACGACGACGACGACGACGACAAAAAGGAGAAAACGACGTCTGGTTTTAAAATTACTACTTTTCTAAACGACGACTAACTGCTAACTACGACAACATTTTTTTTTTTTTCTTTTTTGATTCTAAAGAGAACTTTCCATATAGTATTTATACATATAATATATAATATATATATATAATAGTGTGTAATATCTGCAACCTTTCTGGAGGTAGAGGGGCGCTCGGATAAAATAGATTATCAGGATCTTTACTCTTGACCAATATCTAAGACTTGGT